ATATGTTGATAAATTCAACAAAAAATACAACAAAATAGAAATTATATAGTTATTTTATAAAAAATATTGTAAAATAATATTTATTAATTAATATTTTGGTGGATTACCAAAATATTTTATTTAATTATTTATTCATTCATACAACGTATTAGATTATCTAAAAATATTAATCATAAATTTGTAATCTATAACTATTTTTGATTAAATAAACATAATATTTACTTTAATTATTAATAAGTTTATAGATTATTTAAAAGTATTTTAAAATAATAAGCATAAAATGATGATATAGAATCTAATCAAAATATTTAAGTGATAAATCGATAAAAGTATTTTAAAATTATAATGATTCAAATGTAGCTCTAAAATTATTTTATATTAAAAATCTAAATATCGTATTTAGTCATATCTAAGTTGGTTGATGATTTCAGTTCATAATTTTATAAACTAATTAATTTAATTTAATGTTTCCATAAAATATTCAAATTTTTCTTCTTTAATTACAAATTCAACTTTTTAGCTGGGAATTCTGGATGAAGCAAAAAAAATCTGGATTTATTTCAGCTATTATTTTTACATAAATTAAGTAAATATTAGAGAAAGAAATAAATGTAATAAATAAATAAAATATTTAACTCAAATAACTAATTATATTAATTATTCATTTCAAGAATATAGCCAACCGTGAATCTCTTTTGCTTAACTTCTAATATTAGCACTAAGAATCAGATCAACTGGGATCAAAACTAAAATTTATCTTAAAGAATTCATCTATTTCTAAGCTAAATAAACCCATAATATGGAAGTTATTGAATATATCAAAAATATACTATAAGTAATTAAATTTAATACCTTATGCCTAAGCCTAAATAATATGCTTAAATAATAGACATAATTTGATTTGCTATCGATATATTTTCTTCTTAGAGTAAAATGAGAAATTTTCGCATTATTTATAAAATATCAGTAGAATATGATATCAAATAATTATTGAATTACTATGTATTGACTTCCTATTGATTTTCAGTTATATTGGGATTATATAATAAAGTAGTAAATTCAATGTTGAAATCCTAATTAATAAACTTAATGAATCCAGCTAGATATCCCAATGCCCCATTTTTAGTAATATCACTATAATCATCTTTGCTATAAAATAAATTTTATGATTACTGATCATATTATAGTTAGATTAAATGAGGTTCGCACATTGGTAAAACAGTGGAATTACTAGATATACATAGATCATTATTCAATAAATCATCAAATCTACTTTTTTCGTTATTTTAATTAGCGTTATCTAATACAACAGTAGCCATATTATTTAAGATAGGTGACAAATTATTCTTAAGAAACAAAAATAATTCAATGATATATGTTTAATTTATAAAACTGAGATTATTATTAGGTAACAAATTCTCAGTTTTTATTATACCAGCTAAAATAACAGCTGCATCCATATTATGTCTAAATTATACCATGCTTAATGTAACCTCTAAAGATGGCTAGAAGTCATTGTTATTTTACATATGGATCAAATATCCAGTCATTAAATATAAAGGCCAAGTCAAGGCTAAGGTAAATGTAAGAATAACATTAACTCTGTTTATATAATAGGTCTTTTAGATTCTTGAGTATAATGCAGTGGTTGATTTATAATTATTATTAATTTTATCAGTTTCCTTTTAACTTATAAGAACAGCCTTTTAAACTTTTTTTTTATCAGAATATTTGAACATAAGATCAGAAAAATTTGTCATCTTCCATTAATTATTTGTTTCTAAATCAATGTAATACTTATATGTGCTTCAAATTATAATTTATTTTTAAATCATAAAAAGAGGAAATGTAAATTAAAAACACGAGTTTTCTATAATAGTTGATAATTTTTATATCTAATCAAATGCCTAAATTTCATTTAATCTTGATATCAAAAATAAAATATGTTTAGTTATTTAATCAACAAATAGCCAAATTTTGAGTTAAATTCCAACTAAAAATAAGATTACACACATTTCGGCTAGCATAATTTATAAGAAATCTCCTTTAACTTCATTTTATGTTTCTAGAGTAACTTGAGTAATTTAATCAATCAGTGAATCATGAAATTCCATCATAATAACTAAATTTTATCTTATAAAGCCATGTGTATAGAAATCAGAATAATCACAATCTTTAGTGCATTTTAAATTTCTTCTGTATAGATCTTCAGCAAGCTCAAAATATATCGAATAAAATTCATGCAGAGTAGTGTTTAATGTAACTCTTTCATTATTTTCTATTATTTTACATGGAAATGTAGTTATATCCAAAGCTTTTGCCAAAATGGGAACATCAACTATATGATCAAACATAATTTCTCTTCCATATTCATACATAATAAAAAGTTATTCTTAAAGTCTATTGGCTAAAAATGGACTCAGCTCTAAAATATTCTTATCATGAAGTAATTAACATAATTACTAAAATAATACACCAAAATAAAAATAATTTATGTTTAAAGGTTTTCTAACATTATTGATCTGATCAATTTAAGTTAATAAATTATTTTCTATTTCATTAACATTAATAATATTAATAGTCAAAACACCACAACAGATTAATATTAACACAAATGAAATTTTCTTAAGAGGGTTAATTAATTTTTTATTATCATAAAGTTATTGAACTATTGTTAGTGCCTCTTTTGAAGTTGAACTTGTTGAAGTTCTAGATGGATTTGATTAAAAATCTCCAAAATTATCTTTTTATTTTCTTAATTATGATTTTTGAAATTTTTCCAAGATGTTAGATTTCTTTTTTTCACTCTAACTGTTTGATTGCACTATATCTATCTAATCTTCCTCATCTTAAATGAGTTGGTTTTTTTTATCAATTTATAATTGTTCTTTAAGCTACTCCTAATTTTCAATATAATTCATTTCATTTTCTATATCATTCACTTCTTCTAATATCCTTTTATCAAAAATTTTTGGTTAAACATATTATGGCTATAAAGAAAATTAAGATTGTAAAAATAAATTTGAATTGCATCTTTTTGTATTAGTAGCCAGAGATATATAACCAACTGTTTATTATTCTGATTCAAACACTCTTTCAGTATTGCCTAATTTTTACACTATTAATCTTGAATTTGAAATTGATTATAATTTAGATTAANTAATAGTTGATAATTTTTATATCTAATCAAATGCCTAAATTTCATTTAATCTTGATATCAAAAATAAAATATGTTTAGTTATTTAATCAACAAATAGCCAAATTTTGAGTTAAATTCCAACTAAAAATAAGATTACACACATTTCGGCTAGCATAATTTATAAGAAATCTCCTTTAACTTCATTTTATGTTTCTAGAGTAACTTGAGTAATTTAATCAATCAGTGAATCATGAAATTCCATCATAATAACTAAATTTTATCTTATAAAGCCATGTGTATAGAAATCAGAATAATCACAATCTTTAGTGCATTTTAAATTTCTTCTGTATAGATCTTCAGCAAGCTCAAAATATATCGAATAAAATTCATGCAGAGTAGTGTTTAATGTAACTCTTTCATTATTTTCTATTATTTTACATGGAAATGTAGTTATATCCAAAGCTTTTGCCAAAATGGGAACATCAACTATATGATCAAACATAATTTCTCTTCCATATTCATACATAATAAAAAGTTATTCTTAAAGTCTATTGGCTAAAAATGGACTCAGCTCTAAAATATTCTTATCATGAAGTAATTAACATAATTACTAAAATAATACACCAAAATAAAAATAATTTATGTTTAAAGGTTTTCTAACATTATTGATCTGATCAATTTAAGTTAATAAATTATTTTCTATTTCATTAACATTAATAATATTAATAGTCAAAACACCACAACAGATTAATATTAACACAAATGAAATTTTCTTAAGAGGGTTAATTAATTTTTTATTATCATAAAGTTATTGAACTATTGTTAGTGCCTCTTTTGAAGTTGAACTTGTTGAAGTTCTAGATGGATTTGATTAAAAATCTCCAAAATTATCTTTTTATTTTCTTAATTATGATTTTTGAAATTTTTCCAAGATGTTAGATTTCTTTTTTTCACTCTAACTGTTTGATTGCACTATATCTATCTAATCTTCCTCATCTTAAATGAGTTGGTTTTTTTTATCAATTTATAATTGTTCTTTAAGCTACTCCTAATTTTCAATATAATTCATTTCATTTTCTATATCATTCACTTCTTCTAATATCCTTTTATCAAAAATTTTTGGTTAAACATATTATGGCTATAAAGAAAATTAAGATTGTAAAAATAAATTTGAATTGCATCTTTTTGTATTAGTAGCCAGAGATATATAACCAACTGTTTATTATTCTGATTCAAACACTCTTTCAGTATTGCCTAATTTTTACACTATTAATCTTGAATTTGAAATTGATTATAATTTAGATTAATTTGCACTATTATTGTTATCTTTAAAATGTTATAAACTTGAGTTAAAATATTAAATTTATTTTATATCTTTTAGACCTTCTTCAAATTTTTCTGAAATTTCTGAATTTACATTACTCATTTACTAAGATCTACTTTTCATTCCATTATCACTAATCACATTTACCGACTATTAATTATCCAAAGTGGTTTAATTAGTTGGTGCTCCTACTTATGATAATGTCGTTGACCACTTTTTATATTCTTTTATAGATAATTAGAAGAAGCCAAATTCCCCTTTTTTAAATTTAAGAGTTTTATATTAGAGACTATAATGAATTTCAAGTGAAGAGTTCTAATTATTATTATACGTTATTTAACGCGTTATTAATTCATTGTATTCAGGATGCAATAATATGATAGGGTTTTCACTAATCATAATTAAATTTTTTAAATCTTTGGAGAAGTCTTTATCATCATAATTTTCAATTTGTGTGTTTTAGGACTATTGAGAATATCTTGATTAAGTTTAAGATTTAAGAGATTTAAAATTAGAATTGTCTTGTTTCTTTTTAAACTAAGATAATATTAATGAAGATGTTTATAAACATTCCATATGATTATCAGGTATAATCCATTATGATTTTAAATTATTGAGTAAATAATTTGATGAAGAGTTTATTTAAGCTTATAGTTCCTATGTTTAATTTATAATTTAAGGAATATAATATGCTATTAATGGCATTCTTATCAATAAATCTTAAACTGAAAGTAATTGGCGAGAACTAATTGTTTAATCTTTAAAGGCCTCTTCATAAAATTATTTAGTAAATCCTAAAATTCTCCCATCTACCCCAAACAGAATTGTTTCATTCTTGGATTGGACTTTGGTCATAATCATATTTAGTATAAAATCCTATTCATTATCATAAAAGTTATATAAGTTTATATTGCATGGTTCCAAGTATCCAGACAACAATTCATAAAAACTAGATTCTCCATGAATCATTAGTCTTGAATAACCATTAGTAGTATAATTGTCCATCAAATTGTCATGAATCTAAGCTAAAAATTTAGGCATCAATTATGTGCAATGCTTTATGTGCTTAATTGCCTCATCTTTTTCATTTAAGAATTAACTTAATTACTTAACATTGAGATCAATGAGTTCTCCTCTTTTTCTAACTAAACTAGTTTTCAATATTATTATTCTATCTAAAATACAAGTATTAAAAATAATTACTTTCTACTAATTGTACATTATCTAATGATTCTTCTTCTTTAAATCGCTCGCTCTTTAATAAGTCTTCTATCTATTTTTCTAACATATAAGCTAGATAGGAATTAGTATAAATTCCAGAATAATATATTTATAAAATTCTCATTGTAAGAACATCTGTTGATCTTCCATTTTTTAATTTCATGTTTTCAATATCGAATCTTTCTTCAAATTATAATTTGCATTTCAACATCTTCTCAGTTGTCTAAAGTGTATCCCCTAATAGATTGTCTATTTCTTGATATCCATTAATTAATTTATTCCAAAATTAGATTTTGGCATTTAAAGCCTTACTTAAAATTGGAAAAAGAATATCATTTGAATTAGTAGTAGTATATGCAGATTCTGCATCTAAATTATTGGAATGTTCATTAGAACTCTTCTTTCCATTAAGTTATTAAGCTTCTTATTAAAATTATTTAACTCTATCATTCAATAAAGTACATAAATTTGCATAAGAAGATTAATGATAAATGTCTTCGGTTTTAACAGTGATTAATTTAATTAATCCCTTTAATGGAGCATTATTAGCTATATATTAACAATATATTAATATATTTCTATTTTTATTAGATTAATCCTTTGTGTTTGCCATTTTTCTTAATAAACAATCTGTTATTGTTTCAACTCTTTTTGTTTTCCTTGGACAAACATGATTATTAGTAATAGTTCTAAGTATGATAGCATGTTTTGAATTTGTTCCCATGTTTAAGCATTCTTCTATTATCTAAATATAATTAAATATTTTAGAATACTTAGATTGTAACAAAATTGTCTTATTCTTTTGTAGTAATATAGAATGATAATACATAATCTTAAACTTATTAAAGGATTGATACTAGTAGTAAACTAATCAATAAAATATCAAAAAATGCTAATTTGAGTACAATTCCAACAGTAATAACTGAAGAAATACATTCAATTATTAGGAAATGTTTCTCATTTATCCATTTTAATGATGATATTATATACAATAAATATTTAAGAAGTAATAATATGACTCTTAAGGATTGTAATTGATTTGATTATTTTAAAGCTATAATTGAAATTAAAAGTAAATTTTCCAAAATTTTCTTGGGAATCGACTAATCTAATTTTAAAATATTATTGTCATCCATAATTGTTTCACAACGAGCAAAATAAACATGAATTCCAGTCACAATAGCCAAAAATATTAAATTCATAATTGAGAAAAAGTAACATAATTCTTTGTTTGAATTTAAATCTGATATTTGATAAAAGGATTCATTAAAAAAGATGGCAAAGCTATATAATAAATTATGTTAATATTTAATTATATATGTAATAGGTATTGTTAGTATTAATGGATAATTAATTAGAAATTTATGAATTATTGTTTGTGTTGCTAAATCATGATGAATTGCATATTTGATGATTAAAAGTGGAAATATCAAATGTAATACAAAAAAGAGAATAACTACAAATCCTAATTAAGTGGAACTAAGACTATTAATTACAAAAAAGTAATCGATTATTTAAGTTAAAGAACTAAATATAACAAATGATACTTTGTAAACATTCCAGTTTCTTGTATTGAATCTTCAATCAAGTATAATTCTTAAATTTTATTAAGTATTGTAAACAAATAATGCAATGCATTTGATTATTTCTAAGAAGTTGGAGGGTGAATAATTTAGCAAATTAATTTGAATAATTTCTCAATAGATTATAACATCTTATTAATAATAAAATATATAAGTATAAATAAATGTATATATAAATTATTCAAAAATCTATCCATTCATCATTATTTAAATCAAAATCAGTTTGTGCTTTTCTTCTTTACCAACAATATATTAATGAAATAATCAAAATTGAAGCAATAATTGTACTTAAACCATAGAACCAACCTTTTTATGTTTCATACTAGAATTCAATTAAAGATATTGTAGTAAAATATGTATTTCCTCCTGTTAATCGAAATGTAATATTTTTATCATTAGAGTATAATGGCATATCCAAAAAAAAAGTAAAAGTACTAAAATTAAGATAATAAATATAGGATGAAGTTAGAACCAAGATATTACCTTTACTCCTATTTTCAGTAAATAATTAATAAGACACTAAGAAATCACTTTGTATTTATGGAATTGTGTATCCTCCTTATACTCTAATTGGAGTTGATCTACTATATTATGATATATCTGTTAAATCATAAACTAACAATAAAATTTCATTTTCAACCTTTCTATTTGTAAAAGCAATGACCAAAGTTGATCCTTAAACTTTTGGGGAAGATACCATTTAAAAATCTGCTGAATTATAAGGAGCAATAGTAGAAATTATATCTTAAAATTTGATTTCAATCTTTGATTTATCATGGATACCATAATTGATATTTAATAAGATAAGAAAACCTAATTATTCATTAGTAGTTATTGACATTATTATTTCTTTGAATTCTACTTTGATAATTAAGAAATATTAAATATACAAATTATTGATATTTTTGAAATATAAATTCAAAATATCGAGGGTACTGAATTTGTTCTAAAATTCAATTATTGAGTTAATCTTACTGTAATTGCCAATAATATAATTTAAAGTATTTTAATTATCTTAACAAAGATAAAATACCACTATCAACTGATAATGCTAAGCATTTTTAATTACTATCGATTAAAAGCCGACTGTATTACATTATGTTATATTGACAGTTTATTATGATTAAAAATTATAATAGCATAATTATAAGTCAGTTGTTAAGAAAATGATCCCATCAGAAATAATTAAAAAAGGACTTTCTGACAAATACATTTCTTCAGAAGGTAAATATAGAATTTAATCATTTTGAATAATAGAACTATTACTAATTTAAAAGCTTATTATGTAATAATTAGTTGAATTTTAACAAAATGAATAGAGTGTATCATTGTTAGCATAAGATTAAAAGCAGCTTTGAGTTTAATTTAAAAATAATACAACATTTGTATTAAAAACCATAAGTTATTCATAATTTTGGAGTACAAATAAATTATTAACTGCAGTTACAATATTAAATTATTAATTATTCTAAATTGAATTTTATAATTGAACAGGACTTTATATATTCTTTATACATATTTGATGTTTATCATCTTCAGGTTATAATTCATAATATAAAATTTAACCAATTGTTGATACATTATTAAAAGTATAAATATATTTCAAATCAGATCCATCTTTAATAGTTATACTAATATTTTATATATATATATTTAATTAAGGATTAAGAATTGAAAGACTCTAATTATTTGTAATGTATGATGCATTATCTCCATTTAATTTGGATCTAATTGTAAAATTATAGATAGTATTAGGAAGATATTCAAAAGTTTAGTAATCATCATTTCTAACGAATTCAAATGTGAAAAATGGTAAAAGTGAATAGAGTACATTACCAAAAGCTAAAACTGATAAGCCATCTACTGCTGTACTAGAAAAATAGGATCCATTAAATTATATAGATGTAAATAAGGATTGATGATATGACATCATTGGATTATAGACTAAAGTTTAATTTTTATCTATTTGAACATAATAAAATAAATTATCAGAATAAAAATTAATGTCTTTCTATTAAGATACACTCATTAATTATTTTTCATAGAATGGTTTAATTAAATTCTAGATATTCCAAACATCAAAACAAAATCCTTGATTACATTTATAAGATAATATTAATTTCTAATTTACTATATTAATTTATTAAATTATATAATCCACATAATAAATGCCATATGGTATCATTTTAAGAGTAAAATCTATTACAAATATTATGAAATTATATTAATTAATAACAAATACAACTGAAGATTAATGTTATTGATTAAGAGTCATACCAGAAGGATTAAAATCAACATATACTCCTAGATAATTTTGTATTGTCTATTAATCTACTTTAAATTATTTAACATTATCAAATGAATATAATAGGATTGAATTATCAAGCATTAAAATATAACAATTAAAAGTTAATAAAAATTGATTGAAATGTAGAGTTTAGACAGTTGTATTTGATAAAATAGTGACATTATCCACTTATTATGTAGCAAAGTAAAAAAGTAATAAATTTTAGTCAAAATTAATACCAATAATAAGTACAACTTATTATCCTTAAAATTAATATGCTAATTGTAAATCTCTCAATATATGATAGTTTTCAATATCTAAATCTATTGTAGAATTAGAAAATATTAAACCACCCAATTAAAATGAATACATTGTCATAGATTTATTCTATATACCCACCATATATGTAGTTTGAATGTTAATTATTTACATCTTCTAAAATTCTTAATTAAAATCATAAATTTTAGAGAATGTAATATTTTTGAAAGTTCCTAAACTCTAATTATTTTAGTTATTTTAAATTTCAAGCAAAGGTCCATTAATATTTTTGATTTATTATACAAATTTTTTCTATTATAATGTGTAATAATTTTGAATTTAATTCTCATATAATTAATAAATACCTTAATCATTCAAATTTAATGTTTTAATTTGTAATTTTACATAACAAATATTAATTCCAAAGTTATTAATGGCAAATATATAAATTTCATCCTTTTTTTTTTTGGAATCAATAATCGAATAATATCCACTTAATCTAGGTATTTCTATTTAATAGACAAAAGTATATTGATTAAATATGAATAATTAATTGTTTTATTAATTGAAATATATTTAACTATTTGTAAAATTTTAAATCTATTCCTTACTAGTTTATCTTAATAATGTCTTTGTTTCTAATGAGATTATCATTAATGAATTATTTGTTTATAAAATTAGAAATAAGTCATTTACATAAAATTATATAATTTCTGCATTTTCTACTATATTGTAATACATCAAACTTTATTAATATAATTCTTAATCAAGTTAATCCTCACAAACTAAAAGGGAATAAATAGAAAAATCACTCTTTAAAAATAATTAATCACATTCAGAATATTTATTTATTGATTAAAATATGGTCATTTAATAAGATGGAGGATTTATAATAAAAAAGTTCCATACTGAGAATTTCTCATCCTCTGTAATTTAGAGCAATAAGATCACAGGATTATTCAAAACATAAAATGTATTAACTTCAATTCCCTTAATTGAAATTTCAACATCTTAAAACGTTGATATCCATGTTGTCACATTAATAAATGATTGATCTTCAGTTTTATTATACTATTTTAAAAGTGTTAAGATTTAATATTCTTCATAATACTATGCATAAATTATATAATTAATTGAATAAGATGTAAAAGAATAACTATTAGTTTTTAATGGTAAAGGTAAGTTACTCTAATAAACAAGTTTTAATTTCGAACCTTCTAAGTTATACATCTATAATATATTATTGATATAACAATCTATAAAAAATTCATCATTTAATGTAAATATTATGTTTAAACAATTTAAATCTGAATCTATATGTATTATTTACACAATTTTAAGAGATTAATCTTCCCAATTATAAATATTTATAGTATTATTATCAGAAAGTGCTACAAAATGAGATTTATTATTTGCTATTGATCTAAATATATATCCTATAGTTATTATTATTTTTACTTGTATGATATGGTTTTCCTATAAGGTTCATTGCATTCCATAAGGTGACATTTTCTGGACAATTCTTGCATTCAAAAATCAAGTCTTCTCCTTTAAATAATTCATTCATAAACACATTGTAATATTCTTGTTCTGTTGGAAAGAGGTTTCTCTCTTTTTCATAAATTTGGCAGCAAAATACAACTTAGATCATAAAAGCAAAAAACATTTTTGTTTTAATTTCTCCACAATAAGACAATATTTATTAAATAAACATATATACTCAATAACTTATTTATTTTTCAATCTTTTTGTCTAAGTTAATAGAATGAAATAGAAATTTATTGATTTTGTTATCATTATTATATATTCCATATATATTTTTGATTATTTTAATGATGATTTCTCCTTCATTTTTTGTTTAAATTGAAGTTCAAATCATGCTTAAAATATATTATTAGCCTTTTAAATAAAAACTAAATTAGTTCTTTTAACAATGAAGAGGATAAATTACTATGTATTTTAATAATATGTTGTTATTAATATATTGTAAATAATTAAATGAAAAAAGCAATTTAAAAAGCTAAAAACATTCATTACATATTGCACTTTGATCAAGCAAATATAAGTGAATCTGTTTTGTTATTCACAAATTTCTTATATTTAGCATAGCTTTTGAATTTAGGCAAACATTTTGAACCGAACTCAGAAATTGTGTAAATATGTCTTATATTTATAGAACTATTTATTCACTTTTGAAAAGCACATTTATTTTAAATTTAATTCCAGAAAAGTATTTTCCTCATATTTAAATTCTTTTATTCATTTATAATTTATCTTTAGCAATAAGCATACTTACTGTAGTATTGTTAAATATTAATCATAATTCAAAAAATTGGATATTATTAATGATTACTATTAATGTTACCTTAAATGTTTACCCTAATGTATTTTTCATTCCAAATCTATGGTTAAATATTAAATAATGTTTTACATAAAATATCTTATATTTCTTTATTTCATTAATCAACATAATTTTTACACTCATTATTACTTTTTTTATAGTGTTTTTTTAAAGAGGAGATTCTTTAGCATAAAATGAAAATATTACTAATACTATCATTATAATTAGAATCTTACTTAAATTAACAGAATTTATAACCATTTATCTATCATTTTTAGATGATACAATTTCATTTATTCTAGAATAGTTTATATTAATTTGCATTATCTTTTTGAACCTATTCAAATTAACAGCAATATCTGCAAATAAGGTTTAACTTAGTATATTATTCTTTTTATTTAATTTATCTTTATTAGCTGATTATAAAATGATGGATTATTTATTGATTAGTATATTAATATTATCATTACAATAATAGATACAATTTAGAAAATTATAATAAATATTGTTTAATTCAGATACAATACTTAGTTGTTAATTAGCAGAAAGAGTATATAAGAAATGTTTAATTGATAAATAAGCAAGAATTTAATTATAAGTTTTTAAAAATAATCATAAATGTACAAAATGTAAGGCTTTTTATGATATAATTGAATGTATATTAAAAAAGACTTGTAAGAATGAAAGAGATAAAATAATTTATGCAAATTTTATATCTAAAAAATGGCCTTTAAGAGCCTTAGTAGAATTATTAAAAGAATAGAATGAGGATTTCTATTTTTAATCAGCCATTTTAACATTTTAGAAAACTAATGAATCTACCTTTGATATTACTAATTATATTTATACATCATACAAATCATAAATAGAATGTGAAAGTATCAAAAGTAAATTGTTGTCTTTAATTACTTTTATGATTAAATTTTGGAATTAAACAATTATGAATTAACTTGGAATTAAATAATTTTATAAATCAGTTTAGTAAGTAGGCAAAAAAATAGATCAAATAAATAAAATAATGGATAAAGTATATGATATTAGAAATTGTAAATTAAAAAACAATTAATTTAGTGATATTATTACTTTAAGATTATTATAAATTTATTATTGTATTGCCAATGTTGATCTTATTAAAGTATATAAAATTTTAAAATCTTAGGCATAATAAATGGAAGATAAGATTAATGATTTATTTAGAAGTGACAAATTCAGATAATCTAATACAATTGATAATAATTAATTAGCAACGAGTAAATATTGTGCTATCATTAGATAGATCCATGCTTCTAACAACAAGTCTTATATACAATACTAATAAATTGCTTTAACCAAATTACTAATAAATAAGTTTATTTTTTGATGCATAAATAGAAGAAGTTAATTTTATTAAAACTAGTATGGAAATGATGCCTTAATTTATATCTAATGTACATGATTAATTAATTGAAAACTTTATATAAAAAGGATAGTCTCGTTTATGTTAATAAGGATAATAAACATTTTATTAAAATTTATAAGGCTATATTGTACCTTGTAATATTCATTTGATACCATTATAAGGATAGAATGATTATCTTATTAATGCAATATTAACAAAAGATTTAAATTATAATTAATGTATTATATTTGGTATGAATGGAAGACTTTATGGTATGACATAAGACTTTTTTGAATTTTCGTTATAATCTATGTAATTTGATACTTATACTAAAAATTTATCAATCAATGATTTAATTGATAAAGGTTCTTTAATATAATATTATATTGAAAATATATAAGAATAAATTTAACTATTAAAATAGTCAATTGAAAAACATTAAAATTATGTAATTTTAGAAGTATAATCTTAATGGTAATATCCAGAAAATCATTTGAATTGTGTTTTCAATACAAATTAATTAATCAAATAATAATATAATTCTTCAATGAATTAAATGTTATCTTTTTCAAATTTTATGTCTTAAAAGACTTATTTATAAACATCAAAATAAACTGAAAAGTCAGCTTAAATTTATGAATTTGATGAATCAGGATCATAAAATAAAGAATTGATGATTGATGGAGTTGAATGGTCAATTTTAAATTAAAGTTATCATAATTCTATTAGATAAATGATAGATTAATTTAGTGAGAAATAAAAGACAAATAGAATTAGATTAGTAATGATCTATTCTTTATCTTTTAAAAAGATATCATTTGGTAAAAGATCTTTAGGATATTTTGTAATGGAATTAAAAGATTATCGTTAAGAATTCACTTAGAAAACAACATCTCAATATTTAACCACCTATTAAACAAAAAAAACAGAATCAAGTTAAAAAAATAAGTCCAGTTATAGTTTTCCTGCAAGTGATTTTGATGATATATATTCTGAAAAACCTATTATAGATGATGATTTAGATAATTAAATAAGATAAATTAATCTTAAAAATCATTTATTGTATTTAAATAAATTAGAAATAGATAAAAGAACTATAATTTAAAATGAAAATTAAATATCTTCAATTAATGTAACTAAATAAAAAATGTAATCATATGATTTTGATAATTCCTCAAGATTATTAAAGATTCAAACTGATAGATAACCTAAGAAACATCTTTTAACTACAAGGATAGAATTATAAAGTATTAATATATAATAAGATGATGATGATATTATGTAGGAAGTAGAAAAAGAATTTGATGAAATTGCTTTTGAGAGAAAAATGATAAATAATTAAGAATAAGATGATGATAATTTTGATATATAAAGAGATAGAAATCAAAAAGATTGTTATTAAAAATAAAAAACTAAGATTATTAATGAATAATTAAGTAATTAAACTTTTACAAAATAATTATTTGCTTTAAAAGACACATTCTAATATCTTGAAAAGATTAGCAATAATAAGTTTACTATAAATTCTCTTTAAAAATTTATATATTTTTCATTTTGTGTAATAATACTATTATTGATAAATGTTGTAATGGACTCTTTGAAGGCATATACTCATGTGTAATATAATGATAATTTTATAATCTAAACTTTAGACGAGATCAAATTTCATAGAATATGTGCTATAAAATTGAGTTTATTAATAACAAAACTTTTAGGAGAATATTCTATAATTAATAAAAATTAATTTATATTCTAATTGTAATAAAAGTAAATCTAAAATATTTATGATTATAACACTTATGATCAATAGTATTTATTAATTAATACTTATGAATCTAATTAATAAGTAACTTCTGAATAATTTAATATTTTGTTATAATAATTTGATCATGATATGAGAAAAGTTTATTATAATGCAGAATAAATTACATTTATAAACTCTACTTTTTCATTTACTAATGATACATAATTCATCTTTAATTATCTTTATGATATTGTTATACATAAATTAGATAATTATGATGACTAATAAGTAGATTATATATCAGCATCCATTTTTATTATTTTATATATACTTTTAATAGTTTATTAAATCAAATTTTTATATGCTAAATAAAAGGTTATTATAAAATTACTTAAATTAGCTCATCAAACTAATATCAACAAAATACAAAATTAAATAGCTAGACTTTCTACAATTAAAGATACATTTGAATGTAATAATTCTAAAAATTGGAAATTAACCTCTTATGTATAAATAATTTCAGAAGATGTTTAGCATGAAAAATCATAAAAAAAGTAAAATCATGATTTAGAAGGAAATATTGGACATTAATATTTATATCCTAATATTATAGCTATATTATTTTTGTGTTTATTTGCAGCGATGGGATTATTCTTTTAATTAATTTATTATTAAAAAGAGTATTTAAATATATAAAACTAATTTCTGAAATTAAACATAATGATTGATCATAGTTTAATATATGGAAGTCTAATAAAAACATATTATATTCTTAAGATAACAAAATCATTAGATAATTCAATAATTGAGAATTTCAATGAATCAATAAATAATTAAATAGATATTACAAATAATATTATAGATGATTTAGAGAGATTGTAAGAAAGTAATCTACTTGATTCTTTAATTAATGATCAATGTCTCTATTTTTAGGATATGATAGAATATTGCAAAAATAAATAATATCCATATAATGAAATGTATTAAATAATTGAAAGAGGAATTATTAGTTTAACAAATAATATTTAAAAAGTTAAGAATACTGAATTTAATTATGAATTAACAACAAAATAATTTTAGAAAGAATCTACAGAATTAATAGAGTACATAAATAGTTAATCTTTTATAAATACTTTTTTAATATATTTTTTAGAGAGTGTAAATATATTAGATAAAGAAATAGAAAAAATATATTAAGTTGGATAAGATTAATTTAATAATTATGTTTTGATGATATAATTATATGAGATTGGAGTAGGGATTAGGTAATAAGATAATTCAATATTTTTAGTATTGGTTTAATGTATTTATTGTATGGATATTTAACATAGATTTATCATAGATCAGACTTTAAAATCATAATATTATTTTTAAGAACAATTCCAAATGAATAAATGTAGTTAAAAAACATTTTACATTAAATTAAAAATATAGTTTAAGAAAAATGAAAGTATTTTATATTTCATTGAATTTAAACTAAAACGTTATTTTTTTCATTTTTGAATTTCTTAACTACTCTTTTTAATACTTTAGTATTGACTATAAAATTAGTAATGTCATTAGGAACTATTTTTCCAAGTTTCCTTAATTTCCATCCTTTCTTTATGGCAATAAAATAGAATGAATATAGAGATGTTTCAGGATATAATCTTTTTTTTCCAAAGTATTTTTATGCTCTAGCATATCTATATTAATCATAATAATATATTTACCTTTTAATAACAGCATCATAATTATTCAAAGGTTGATAATATTAAAATAAAGACATTTTATCAAAATTTGAAATCAACATAGACATAGTTGGAGCAGAAATATATATATTATTATTCTATGTTGTATTATCACCAATTAATGTAGGTTATTCTTCATTATGTGTTCTTGTTCTATTTGTAATTTTTCTTGCTTGTTCTCTCTAAGTTGAAATTTTAACTTCTAAATCAGATTAATGTTTTTATTGCATTTATGATTTAATTATTGGTTTTGAATGATCCTCATTTGATGCAGTTCTTGAAAGTTATCTTTTGATTGATCCTTTTTATATATTGTCATTTGATTTCTATTGGATTACCTATTACTTTGGGATAATCACCTAATCCTATTCTTCAGAAGAATCTTTAGAATCACTTAATTCCTCAACATTCCAAGTAACTATTTTAATATTAAACATTACTTTCTTTCTTTTTTTAATAATCACCACCAAATCCAGCAGTTGCAACAGTTTATCTTTAAGAATTCTATCTTCTAGAATAACCTTTATTATTTATTTCATCTTCATCTGGTTCTTATTATTATGTTTATCTCTAACTTAATTTACTTAATGTTCTTGATTAACTTCTTTATTAATTAATTGATGAATATTAATCTAATATTATTAAGTATAAATACCTTCTTCATCATCATAGGCATCATTAATAGGTAGAGTATGTGAATCACCATCATCAATATCAATTCCTCCTTTTTCTTCTTAATTAAGATCTTACATTAAATCATGTGCTCTTCCTGAAAGATATTTTTACATAGATTATGATGAGGGTTCTTTATGATTTTTTTATCTGATAAATCTAGTGTTTCTAGATTATTCAACAGGATAGAGTTCTTTTTTTAGAACTTTTTCATGATCAGAACAATAATGTAAGATATGACAAGTATTGATAAGATGTCTGTTACTATTACAACTATAACAATTTAATTATAATGTAGAGTATTCATTATAAACCAATCTATCTCTTACATCACAAAACTTTTCATAATCATTTGGAAAAGATTATAAAATAGCTAAGAAGTTTTCTCTTTTAATTTTAAATGCTTTAGTGAATCCTTTTGAGATAGCAGTAGCACTTCTTGGTTTACCTGTAAAGAATGCTACTTCACCAAAACATTCATATTAAGATAGAAATTTAATGGAATTCTTTTTGATTAAATCTCCTAATTAATTTTTACCAGAAAATAACAATTCAACTTCTCCTTTTGTAATAATATAAAGAGAACAATCATCAATTTAATTACAAGTTATAATTCTTTCTTCAGGAGAAAATGATATTTCTTCCATTGATTATAATAAGCTTTTCACACATTATTCAGAAAATAATTTGACTATAACTCTACAATTTTTAAGAATATTTCCTCTTAATTAATATTATAATTCATCTTATAAATGCCTACTTAATTTCTTCATTATTGATCCTATTTCATCATCATTCATTTCTTATTCTTCTTACCAAATATATTCTAAATAACTTCTTATTCTTGTTTATAGATCAAATTATATCTTATTTTTAGACATAAAAGTATTAATTAAAGTAACCGTTCTACTATATTCCATAGTACTTTTATACATATTTGATACAAATATTCCTATACTGTTGACTGAATATGCAAATACTATACTAGCAACAAACATTGTTATATTATTCATCAATAATTCACTATTATTTTAAGCAGTTATATCACCATAACCTACTGTTGTCATTGTCATAGTTGCCCAATAAATTGAATAATTATATTTAGTTCCATTAGATCTATCTCTTAAATTATATGCATCAAGCCAAGAATAACTACTTGAATAATGTGCCAAACCATGCCAAGTACAACCACATATATGTGCTATAAATATTATTACCATTAACAATTTCATTAATCCAACCATATCATTTAATGATCCATTTAAATTAAAGAATCTATATTATTTATTTATAATATACTCTTATATTTATGCAAGTATTTTATTAATCTTTGTACTTCTTAGAATATAAAATATGGCACATAACACTATCTGGATGATTAACATAGTATTGTCTTAACTATCTAGATTCGGAATGAAAAATTAAGCAGAAACTGTAAATAAGGAAACCATAAGTTAAATGTAATTCATACCAAATCAACGAATGCATATTAATTGAAATAATTTATTATAACTCTTTTTCTGTCTTTTATAATTTGACCCTTGTAAATAAAAGCCAGATTCAGACCAACTACAACATCCAAAGCTAAAATTGATAATAAAATCATCTCTATAATCTTAGTATTTCCCATTTCAAATAATTAACTAATGAAATAAATTTAAAATGATATTTTATACGGTAACCAAAAGAATATCATTATGTAAGTTATTATTTAAAATACATCCCATATCACTATAAATTTGCTATAAGGTGTAAACACATCAATAAATCTCCAAAAGGCCAATGATTAAATAAAAGATTTACTATTTTAATGTCCTAGACTTGTAAAAGATTCTTATTCTAATTATAAATCATCTAATTGCTCTATCTAATACTTTGTCAATTGATGTAATTTCCTTAAATAAGATCGATTCCATAAATTATTAATGAAATTGTTTTACAAACTTTTAGCAATTATTAACCTTAGAAATTACGGTTTGCTATCTTTTATAGATTCTGCATCCTCTTAATCATAAGCAGATTAATATTCTGATCTTCTACCTCCCATTGTTTTAATTCTTTCCATATTCTTTGGAGTTCGTGCTTAAGAGTTCTAGATTAACAATTATTCTGGTGTAGTAAATGAATTACAGCTTCCTCCTTGAATATCTCCTTATTATAAAACAACTTTGTTGCTTAGAAGATGAGGAGTTGGTCCTTGGAATTCTCCATCTTAGAAATTATTCCTAAATAAACTATCAGAAGAATCACACATTTATATTATTATTCATTATAAAGTCTTTTCCAAACAATAAAGTGGGTTTCGATTTTCTATGAGTCTTTTTTGATTGCTATATTTATTTCTAGGGTCCTGCATGATTTTATAATTCCTCTCCTAGTCTTCTCAATTTATACCCTTTTTTTATTGTCAAAATAAAAAAACTATAAATTGAAGATTCAGGGAACAATCTTTTCTTACCAAATTATTTCTAAATTTTGGCATAGCGTTTTAGAATAACATCATAATTATTTATTGGAAAGTAGTAACTAAATATCTACATCTTATCAAAATAAGTTCCTATCTAAGTTTCTTGGTTCATATATCCATCTGTAAATAAACTATGATCTTTAACTCCTCTAGCAGTTTTAGTTCTCTTCTTTGTAGCTTAACGAACTATAGAATATACATATTAAATATAATACATGTTTTCTATTATTATTCTGATCCTTATCTTTCCTCTTATACTTCTTTAATAATAGTAATTCTTTTTTTTGAAGTCTTAGGATTAGTTCTATTATCTCCTTAATGAGGTTTTATTTAATAAGTATTGATCAATTTTTTTGATTCTGCAATCAAACTTTCAGTTTTAGGAGAATCTTATTATTATAATTATCTATCTTATTTATGTTATCCAAATCCAGCAGTCTTTATTGTTTCATGTGGAATTGCTATATTTCTTTTATATTTTTAAATTTTATTATTATCTTCATCTTCAGTATCATTTAAGTGTTGGGTAGCACTTATAGATTATGAATTATCTCTCATTTAAGCTTCTTCATCTTCACTTGTTTAATATATACCATTTTCTTCATCTTCATTGTCTTCAGAATCATTTTCAGTTATTGTATTAGTAAAAGCATATTATTTTGCTTTATTTGTAAGGATATGTTGAGTTAACCAAGGATGTAATTTACTTGTGTAACTTCTTCTATCAAATGATTTTCTCTTTTATTCTACTGGGAAATACTCTTTCTTTATCAAAGATTCTAGGTCTGCACAATAATGATGGAAATGACATTCATTTATAAGATGTTGATCACTCTTACAACTATAACATGATATAGCTTATGGTACTGACTATTTCATCATCAATTAATCTTTTAAATAACAAAACTTCTCATACTCATTAGGAAATAATGTTAAAATCTTTAATAATTATTCTCTTTTTATTTTAAACACTCTTACAAATCCTCTTGCAATTGCAGATGCACTTCTTAATTTACCTGTTATGAATGATATCTCACCAAAGTAATCTCCAGCCTTCAACCATTATAAACTATTTCTTTATTATACATCACCATTTTAATTAATACCTTCAAATATAATCTCAACTTCTCCTTTTGTTATTATATATAAAGAGTTATCATCCTATTAATTTAACTATAATTATAAATAGTTTATAAGTACCGTTATTATTCTTTCTTCAGGAGAAAAACTTTGTTCTTCCATAACAAGTAATAGATGTTATTTAAATTTAAGTGAAAATGTTTTTGTTATTATTTTACATTAATTTAATATGTTTCCTTTTAATTAAAAATTCAATTCATCTTATAAATGACTACTTAATTTTGATACAATTGAACCCACTTCTTCTTCATTCATTTATTATTCTTCTTACCAAATATATTGTAAATAACTTCGAATTCTTGTTTAAAGATCAAATTAAATATTGTTTTTAGACATAAATGTATTTATTAAATTTACTGTATGATTATATTCTTATCTACTCTTATATAGATTAGATACAAATATTCCTATACTATTTACAGAATATGCAAAAACAATACTACCAATTAACATTGTAACATTATTAACAGCTGTTTCAATATTGTTTTTAGCAGTAACATCACCATATCCTACTGTTGTCATAGTCATTGTTGCCCAATATACTGCTACATTGTATCTAACATAAAATTCTGTGTTTCTTAATTCATATGAATCTATCCAATTTGGATGTAAATTAATATCAGCTATGCCATGCCAAACACATGCACATATGTGAATAATATATATAATTATTGTAATCATTTATACTAATGCAAGTAGATCACTTAATTAACCATTCAAATTAAAAAATCTAATAATTATATTAATTATTGTACTCTTATATTAAAGCAAGTATCTTTTCTATTTTATTTAGTCTTAATATATAAAAAACAACTGCAAATATTATTAATAAGGTGGTTGCTTATTTTGTACTATCATGAAGAAAAAAATGGAATGTCAATACTGCTAATGAGACCAAGATAATAAATAATATAATACTAAATCGACAAATGCATACTATCTAATATAATTTTATAAAATCTTCCGTCTATTTTTGATTATTTATCCTTTATGAATAAATGCCATATTCATTCCAACCAATACATCACATGATAAAATACTAAGTATGATTATTTCCAAATAATGATTGTCTCTTTCATTCCAAAATTCACAAATCTAATTCATTCCAAATGATAATTTAAAAGGTAACCAAAAGAATATAAACAAATATAAAATAATCTAAGAAATATCCCAAAAGAATATAAATTTACTATATGGTGTAAATACATCCAAACTATCATTAGCAGACTCAGCAACTGAACTACTAAATCTTAAATCATCTATTGTCTTTATTTGATACTCTGTCAATTAATGTAATTTACGTAAGTATGACTTATTCCATAGATTATTAATAAAGTTATTTTATAAGCTTTTTGCAATAATTAATCTTAGAAATTCAGGTTTACCATGATGTGAAGATTCTTCTTCAAACACACTCTACCTACCAGTTCCAGTAATCAAAGTCTTTTTTATTTAATTTTTTATTGGATTATTTGGAGAAAGTTCAACAGGAACAGAGTATGAATTTTAACTGGGTGGTTATAAAAAATCACCCTCTTAAAATCCTACACAATTCGACATTAAAAGAGATTAAGGTCCTTAGAATTATTACTCTAATATTGATTTAAAGTAATACTTTCAAGTGATTCTGACATTTTAAATAAATATAATAATAATATTTTTCAAATTAATTTTCCTCAATGATAGTTACTATAATTATTCAGAAGAATCATACAACTTAATTTAAATAGGGTCAAATTAATATAATCATTCCTTTTTGATTTCATCATAATATTTTTAAAGTAAATCTGGATATAATTCCTGAACATATTTTAATAACTCCCCTGAATTTTTTGGTTTAATACCATTGGCTCTAAAATATAAATTCAAAAATAATACCTTGTTTTCCATTCCAATATAGCTAATTCATAAGAATCATTTGGAAATATAATATTTTTGCCAATAGTCTTGACTTCTACTACTCTTTCACAATGATCTCCATTAATGAAACTGCCTTAATGACTATAAGTCCCTATATGAAAAAGTTCCATTGGCAAAGAATCAATTGTAGTTGAGGCTATTTTATTGAATACATTCTCATATTCCTTTTTTATTGGCACAGGTTTATATAATTATTTTGCATCCAATAGCTTAATAGTATAAAGAGATGAAGTGCTAATTTATCGATTTTAAGTGATATCTAGAGATTGAGAATTATCCTAAGATTATGAAGATAAATCTAGTTGGCTTTCTTTAGGTTAAGTTATTTCTTGAGTTTATGGTTTACCCAATTCTGAAGACTATTATTGTAAATGACTTGATTTATTTTGATTCTATTCTTCAGATGAAGATAGTTCTTATTGGTTTATCATTATATTTTTTGTTATCTCTAATAAGTATCTGAAATGATATATTTCTGAAAATCCCTTTAAAAGTTGGCATTAACAATTGGGATTATATTAATTATTATTATTCAATGTGATTCTTACATTAACTTAACACTCTAATAAATTTATGTCATTATATTTATCACTAATTGAGTGTAATGAATCAATGAATTGAAATTTTAAATGATTTTGTGAATTTGTAATGAGTTAGTAGAATTGAATGTATAATCATTATGATATTTAATTTAATTAACGATCATGCAGACTCGAATTCAATAGTTATCTTAGCTTTAACCAGATAAAAGAATCCTTAATTATACTTTTAGTTAATAAGCTGTTATAGGACGTGGGTCTTATGGGATTGTATATGTTGGAATGAATATTGATACAAAGTATGTTGAAATTTAAATTAAAGTTAAGTTGTTGCTATTAAAGTTGTACCTTTACAATGTGATTAATAATCTCTTAGGAAGGAAATTGATATCATGAAAGATTTGGATTGTCCAAATATAGTTAAATTATTAGATGTAGTTCAAACACCAAATAATTGCTACATTATTAGTGAATTATGTACAGGAGGTGATTTAAGAGAGTACATGAAAAGACATGGATGTTTAACTGAATAATAAGCTTTACCCATAATAACATAGATTTTAAAAGGGATATTATAATCTTTTAAAAGAAGCATCATACATCGTGATTTGAAACCCGCTAACATTTTGATTACATCTGAAAATATATTTAAAATAGCTGATTTCGGGTTTGCAAAACGATTCTAACATTTAGAAGGTGATCTTATGAGTTCATTGGCAGGCACTCCTTTGTATATGTCTCCTTAAGTATTATTAAGGAAATAATACACATCAAAATGTGATGTATGGAGTGTGGGTTTAATTTATTATGAATTAATTGAAGGCAGAACTCCATGGAATGTTATGGATATATTGGATTTAATTAATAAGCAGAGAAATACCAATATTAAATTTAGTAACTTTAATTATTTATTAATTCTAGGCAAAAAGATATCACCTCTATCATAATAATTTATTTTGGGATGTTTATAATATGAAGAATAAAAGCGTTTAGGATGGGAATAAGTGTTTACACATCCATTGTTTGACAATAAATTCATAATGAAAGATATAGATTAAAAATCTTAAAGATCTTAGCATTCTACTTCATAAATTAAAAATGAATCTGATATTTCAACCATGAATGCAAAATTGGTTGCAGTGAATTCACCTCCATAAACTAAATCTCCTCTTTAAATTTACAATAAATAGAAAACTAGCTAAAAAGAATTATTATCAAAAGTTGATTCTCCTAAATAAGAAATTCGTTAATTATTTAATCATAGTAAAACTATGATGATCCCATAGACATTAAAGAAAGATAGAACTATTAGTATTGGTAATCAACCATAGAGTACTAGAAATAGTGGTAATAAGATATTTGGAGAAAATTAGAAGGGATTTTCTAGATAAAGGAGTGAAAATGATGAATTGTAAAATAATAAATAAATCATTCAAAATTAAATAGAATTTTTACTATTAATGAAATAAATTAGGATCTAATTACTTGATTATTCATAAGTCACAATTTAATAGACTACTGTATATAAATTATAATTTATCATATTGAAAAATATTATGATGAAAACAACTTAGTTGAAAAATTGTTTAATTGATGGAAATGTAAATAATTTAGAATTAAAGGATTTTGAAATGTTTAAATAGAGTGATACTTTTAAGAATATAGAAAAATAAATACTTGAATTACATTTTGATAGTTTCAATAACTTTTAAGAATGTTAATTACTTTTAAATGAGAATTATACTTAAATAATGAATGATTTGGAATTCATGGATATATTTAATAATAACTTTGAATATTCAATATAGTTTTGTAATTTAGCTAAGCATTTGAGTTTGTAATTTATTAAATGTAATAAATTCTACTATATTTAGAATATTTATATTAAATAATTTTGGGATATGAAAATCCTAAGATTTAATTATTTACATTTCTATTATGTAATTATGCAAAGTATGTTGGAGAATATACATAAAATGTAGAATTATTATTACAAAGTAGTAAATTATAATTAAGCAGAAACGAATGTATAAATTATATAGAAAAAATATTATTTAATTGATTACTTAATATATATATATATATATAGAATGAGATATATCATGATTATTAATTATAATTCTTTAGATAAATATGAAATTTTCTAAAATTTGCATCTGCATTAACATCATAATTTTATGTATAGTCTTCCTCATTTTCAAATACTACTTATTTAGTTGGAAAATATTTCTTAAATACTTATCTATTACCTTTTGCATATTCAACTGCTCTTCTAATTACTTCTTCATTTTACAGATTTTCTTTTGCACCCTATATGATATTTATCATAAAATACAGGAAAGCCACCACTTCTCATCTTATACAATTATAGAAAGGATTGCAATTAATTTTAATGATCAAAATCATCAAATTGAACACCTCTTAAGTATAAATCCATATTATCCCAAACAGAATGAATTTCATCTGTAAGCTAAGTGAATTAGGATGATACACTCTCATTTTTAGGTCTAATAGATTGTGATTCTTTTTTTGGTCTAATTTCATGCTCTTCTAGAGTAGGGTCTTTTACTTCTTCTTCTAAAGCTTATTTGTCAGAAGATTTATCAATTTCAATCCTTTTATCCTCTACATATCTCTCCTTTTCAACCTTTTCAACACTTGTTCTTCTAGATTATCTTAATGATAATGTATCTATAACAGTTCTGCGAAAAGAAAACTAACTTTTATGAGTTGAATCTCCTTCATCTTCAGACCTTGGAGAATTGAGAGATCCTAATGTAAGCATAGTTTTTTCAGATGGAAATTATTTGAATTATGGTCGTTCCTTTGGTTTAATAAATGTCTTAGTTTTTGTATGTAAACGAGAACTTCGTATATGCTCAGAAGATCTTGTGGGAATATTCATCATTCCAATGCTTTTGTGGTTTTGGAACATAATACCTTATTTAAGGAAGTTTGAGGGTTGAACGTACAATAATATTTCTATCAGCAGAAGCCTTTGATTTGAAGGTTCTATGATATTATTACATTATATAAATATAGACTTCTTAACATTCAGATTAAAATATAATAAATATATTAAATATATCAAGATGACAGAAGAAGATGATAGTATGTACTTTCTTAATTAGATATAATTGCCTTTGAAGAAGATGATGACAATTAGCCACCAAAAGCTCAGCCAAAAATATCCACCAGATTTAAACATAAACAAGTCAGATAACAAGAGATAAGCAATGAACAAGCCTAAGAGGCTAGTGAAGATGGCCCTGTTATCAATTTTACTAAGCTATTCAAGACTAGTAAAGAAGTAGGAACTGCATAAGGAATAAAAGTTGATCCAACATATGTAGCTCCAATGGCAAAATCTCTATTTCTTAATCCTGATGAGAATCAAGAAGAAGATGATGATCCTGGAGTCCTAAAATTAGAAGATCCTGAAGATTAGCCATTGCCTCCAGAAGAAGGAGATGTTTTTATTAAATCAAAATCCAACCGTTCCTAAAGAAGTACTCCTAAGAAAGATGAAAGTATATTGGATGTGATTCAGAAATATGATGGAAAAAATATAGAAAACAGTCTTGAATTTTCTGTACATCCAATTGGAAAGGGAACTACAGAATAATTCCCAGCCAGTTAAGAAAATCGTGATGAATTAGTGGACACTATCTTTAGTCAATAATTAAAGATAGGCATTTAATCAACTGATCCCAAAACAGACTTTTATGGAATTTCTATGTTGACACAAAAAGGTAGTTTGTTTTAGAATGCACTTAAAATGTCATTAAAACGTGCTTTTATGACTCCAATTCTACCATTTATTATAATTATTACTATTCTGGATTATACAATGACGTCAGTTAATGTAATTTTCTATCATTATTTATCTAGTAATTTTAATTCTTTATTATTTACATCTTATTACTTGCTACATTGCCAACATTTATATGGTATAGGGTTTATAAATAGGAATTAGAATTAGAATTCAAATTTGATAGATAATTAATATCAGTATTTGATTTTGCATAAAAACGATTCAGTAGTAGAACAATAATTAGATTATTTCCTGGATGCATAGTATAATTAAAGAAGGGTGAGAGAGTGCCTGCACCTATGATTATTCTAAGTGCTGAAGGTTAAGAACATGCTTAGGTTAATTTTGGAGATGATGTAAAGACATATAAGGTAGCTGCACCAAAATTATAAGAACCTGATTTAACTTATATTGATGGTTAATTAGAATTCAATTAATTACCAATATTCTCAGAAAATACAAAGGCTAGATTGAGATTGGATTTGGTAGAACCAATTGATGTGTAATTAAATTAGGAAAATTTAGTAGATGAAAATGGAATTGTAGAATCATCTTAATTAATAGGTGTTTTACTTCATTCATCTACTCGTTAAAAATATTTAAGAGAAGCTTTATCATTTAATTTACCATTATATTTAAATCCTTTGAATTCTGAGTTTTTCAGTATTGGAATTGCCATAGTATTATCAATTACATTTTCTATTGCAGGATCTATTTGGAGTAGCAGTAATAAAGATATGCATATTTACATAAGAGAATAAAGCAATTATAATTTTATTTCTTTGTTAATTGATAGATTGATAATCTTTAGCAATATTGTACCAATATTTGTAGAAGTATTTAGACCAATATTTTTATTATTGGCAAGAAAAAAGGTAAATGGTGATATTGGAATGGATCCTTAAAGATCAGGATAATTAACTAAATTGAATAGTTATATTGCATTGGATAATTTAGCAAATACAAAGTTTGTTAATTATGGTTAAGTATTAAATGAACCAAAGTTAAGAGTAGGAAAGGCTACTTTATTAGGAGGACCATAAGGAGAGAAAAAAGATAATGAAAAGAATAATGATGATGTTAAATTATAAGGATATGAACCAAAACCTAATAAAGAGATTATGGATGATTAAATTTAAGTGAATTAATCAACTGCTTTTGAATAAATAGATTTAGAATATGATGCATAATGTGATGATAAAGAACGTAGTACATTTGTATTTGAAAGAGCATTATTGACATTACCATATAAGACTTTGAATCCTACTTAATTAGCTATATAGAAATATTGTTAATTGGGTGAGTGTGTACAATTTTCATATGATGATAATTAAAGAAGTGTATTATTACCAAAGGAAGTATTAAGAACATATACAGTAAAATTGATTGTTAATACTGAATAATGGGATGCATATTTATATGAGATGCCATTATTAGAAGAGAAAGATTTAGAATCAGATGATGAAGAAGCATCAGATTTATAATAATTATAAGATAGAATAAAGAAAGATAGAGAATTATTTGAGAAAATGAATAGTAAAAGATATATTTGGGTGTTGTAGGCAGATATTGAAAGTACTTTATGTAAAGAACATCCACAATTATCATAATTTATGTAAGGAAAAGCTGTTTTTGAATATACATTCTAAGAATAAGAATATTAGAGATTGTACAAATAATTAGGATCATCTGCTTTTAAAAGAAAATATATTTAATTACCACCTTTTGCAGAAGAATAATTGATGACTTAAATTAAACCTTGTGGAGTATTCTAATTTTAGACTGTTGCCCATCATAATTTCCATTTATTATTAGATCTAAATTTAGCTATTATAAGATAATGGTTCTTTATTAGAGATGTAGAGAGAGATTAAACTTTATAATATTTGAAATAATATATGGAATGTATTGAATTCACAAAGGATGATTTACTTAATGAAATGAATAGTGTTAAAAGTTAAGCTGTTCCATTATTTAAATAATCTACAAGAGAATTTAAAGTGTTTGATAATTTATATAAGATTGATGATAAATTCATTACTTTAATTATTAATTAAGAAGTATTAGATTAAGCATTATCAGATGGAGAAATAAGATCACAATTTTATGAAGTTATTATGATAGCATCTTTTGTTGTATTTCATGATCTTAGTAAAGTGTAGATTGAATAACTTATCACTTTTTAAAAAGATTAATCTAAAAATTAAGCAATTGTATCTGTTGGATTACATGATGAAGATCTATGTTTATGTAAAGTTAACACTATTAGAGCAAGTGTTCAATCTTAAAGTGCTAAAAATCCATCATTATTTTCTGCCATGAGTCATATTGAATTGGTTAATTTGGATGGATTATCTAAACTTATTTTAACTCATGCTAGATAAACTCATGTCAGAACTGCTGGATTCTTGCTATTTATACTTTATAAGGGTTTCCTTATTACTATGTGTGAATTCTTTTTTTCCTTTTTTAATGGATACTCTAGTACATAATTATTCACCACTAGTTTCCACTTTATGTTTTAAACATATTTTACACCATTATATGGATTTTTGATCTTTTCTTTTTATTCTGATGTTAATCATCGAGTAATTAGAATGTTTGCTAGTGAATTCATCAAATGTCAAAGAGATTATTATTTCAATAAAAAGAAACTTTTCTTAATATTTTTTGATTCTGTCTATCAAGGATTCATCATATTCTATTTACCTGCTAATGTAAATTTACTATAATATATTATTAGATTTTATAATATGCTAACAATTCAGAGGGTATCATAGAAGGATTTTATTACATTTCCTTAGTTTCCTATTTGACTATCCTTTTAACTACCCAAATGCAACCAATACTCTATTTAAGCACTCTTTCCAAAGAATAAATGTATATATATATATATATCTATTATAGAGTTGTAATCATGTTCAACATTACAATTTGTATCTTGATATTATTTACTACATGTTCATCTGAAACTTGGAGTACTAGCATTCCATAATATATACATCATTTAGAATCCATTTTAGATAGTGTAAAGAGTGTTTTCATTGTTATTTTCCTATCTTGTATTTCTTTGACTCCTACAATAATCTTATAACAATTTGAGACTGTTTCTGATTCATAACTTATTAGGATGATCCATTATTATGAAGAGAAAGAAGAAATTGAAGAAGAACCAAAATAGAAACCTTAAGATCAGAAATTATCTTAACCAGTTGATACCAAATAATTATAAACTAAAGGATTAGAATAATCAATAATGATAGAATAAACTAGTTAAGATCAAATCAATATGTCTTAGGACAACTTATTGCAGAAATGATTATCAAACATATTATTATTTAGTATTTAATTTGTCATTATGAATAATAAATATAAAATGCTTTGTTTTAAAATCATTATTGTAGGAGATAGTAGTATAATATTATGGTAATATTTTTTAGATGTTGGAAAAAGTTGTTTATTATTGTAATTTACTGATTTGAGATTCAAAAATACTCATGATACAACTATTGGTATAGGATTTGGTTCTAGAGAAATAAGAATTATGGATTAAAATGTTAATCTACATATTTGGGATACAGCAGGTTAAGAGTCATTTCGATCTTTGACTCGTTCTTTCTATAGAGGGTATGATGCAATCAATTTTAAGAGCTATTGGAGGCATTCTTGTATTTGATGTTACAAGCAGATAATCATTTTAAGGATTGGTTCAATGGTATGAAAAAATATAAAGTTATGCTTGTGATGATATTGAATTAATTATAGTAGGAAATAAAACAGATCTTAATGAATAGTATATATATTGATTAAGTAAGAAAGTCGTCAAGTTTCATAAAAGGAGGGAATGCAATTTGCTAAATAGTATAATTTTGAATATTATGAAACATCAGCTAAAAGTGGATTAAATGTGAATAAGGTTTTTGAATATTTAGCTTAAAAAATTGTATAAAAAGTAAATTCTGGAGAGATTGACATTTGTTAAGAAGTATATATTTTTGAATATTAAATTTAGAATTATGGAATTTAATTAAAAAAATAAAAAGAAATATACAAACTTGAAGATAATAAATTAGATAAATAAAAATAAAAAAATACTTGTTGCTGAATTATATATACATTAAGTAAATCAATTTTGAGAATCATCTAAATTTTTAGTTTCTTATAATCCTTAATAGAATTAACTATTTTGAAGTGAATTATGTTTATTTCTAGGTGTAATATATTCTCTTGCAGTTTCATGGATCTATTTATAATATAATATTTTACAGATTCCATTTCTTAAATCATATCTAATATTTTCTATTATGTTGGAAAATGAATTCCTTCTTTTTATTAAACAAAATGAGCAGTAGCAGGTACAAATTAATGAAATGGTTCTTCTAAATCATTTTATATAATTGTATCTATTCTTTTAACATTTGAAATAGTTTATTCTAATAATCTTCTTAATACTGCATTATTGCTTGCTGCTGCTAAAATTTCTTATTTATCCAATTCTCCATCTCCATTTGAATCACAATTTTTAATCATTTCCTTAATACTTTATCTTAATTAATATTTATCACTTTCAGAAACTATATTTGATTTTAATACATTAAATATTTCTTTCTCACTTATTTTACCTGATCCATCAAGATCACATAAATCAAAGAATACTTAAAATTTTATATCATAAATACTTTTTAATTTCTCCTCTATTGTATCATCTTTTAATACTTCTAAACCAACAATTAATTCTTTATAATCAACTGTACCACTTTAATCTTCATCAAAAACATAAAATAGTTTTTCAGCAAGATTTCTATCTGCTCCTAATTATACAGAATTTAAAAGTTCAGAAAACTCTTCTTTATTCATACCTTCCTTCTTGTCTTTAGCTTTTTAGATAATTTTCTAATAATTAGAAAAGATTTAATCAATTGCATCCTTTCTATTCAATAATATCCATTATATTGTTTTCCATTTCATTTTAAATTTAGATTTTGGAGGAATCTTCTTTTTAAATTAAGAGATGCTAAACCCTTAATCTTTTTTTTATTTATTAATCATTATGCTAATTGAACCATTTGGAACAGGTAAAGCCTATTAATGAGATTTTGGATTCAAATTATATTTAGTGGTACCACGGAGTTTCTTTTCATAGACAAATTTATAGATCGATTCTAATCGTAAATGCTGATTGGCAGTACTTCTGTGTTTGAATCCTGACTTACTTTACATAGATTACTCATGATTTCTTCATCAAATGGTGTTTTGACAAGATCATCGAAAGCAAAACTATTTTCTGGTAATTTGCGATGAGTAGTAATTTGAAATGACTTCATTCTATGCATTATCGGAGGTGATTTTGGAGTTTATAGTGATAGTGGTGTTCTTTAAGATAATATGGCAGGAGTTGATATTTTGTCAATCGAATTAGGTAACTGTAAATGTGAAGGTCTTTTTTTTCGAAACATATTATATAATAATCATAAATTTGCATCAATTTATTATCTTACTATGCTATCTTCTGTTTACTTAACTTTATTCATCTACTCAAATTCTTTGGTAATCATATAATAAATACTATTGGTATTAGTAATATTTATAATACTATGTTAACAAGCTAATAAATAAAATAATATGATAATTGTCAAAATTATTATAAGCAATTCAATCATATTTGTTAAAAAATGAAGACACTTCACTAAAATTTAAATATTAAATTAGTTTTTGGTCTAAATAACTACAAATATGAATCTAAATGTTTATATTTGTCCTTAAAATAATATATTTTTACTTTTTACCTTTATAATTTAACATTCATAAAATAAGGTCAATTAGAATTATTAAAATTACTATCACATTTGCTAAAACAAAAAAGATTGATTCATACTAAAGTATTGAAAAATAATGAATAGATCTGTCAAAAAATCTAGTATTTCATATATAAACCTAAAATATTACTAGAAAGATAACTTAAATTAATAAAAATAGGCTATTCTTCTCTATTTTTATGATAATATTTATGCAATTATCAGTTCTATTATTATATTATTTATAGTATCATATACTATGCATTAAGATTATTATTCAAATAAATATGCCAAAAATGATCATTCTGTTCAATAACCAAGGAGTCGAATGATAACTACATAAACTATGTATTCAGTTCCATGTATTAATTGTGAAAATCTTATTCCCATAAATGAAATTGATATACACACTATATAATGTCTAAGTGTTTCAAAGAGTGTTAGTACATTACTTAAATCTAATAAAATAATGGATGAAATCAATTTTAAGATTTAGAAATTAAGGGATTCTGTTTTACAATTAAATTAAAAAGAGTCTAACTTAGACAATATTAAATACCTTAATAGAGCAGATGAAATGTCTGAATATATCCTTATGATTCATAACACAAATTAAATTGAACTACGTAAGTTGTATGATCTAAATCAAGAATTGAAAACAATAACTGAATCTTATAGAGGTTCTCTGGCTATTGCTCTCTATCTTGAACGTCTTCATTCTCTTGTGTTACAGAAACAAGCTTAAATGGAAAAAGAAATGCATATATCTAGAGTAGATACTTAAAAAATTAATCTTAGTAATTACAATTCTTAAAATAATTACAGTAGTGTTTAATCATTTAGATATCAATAATAACCTGAATAGAATAAAAATTCTCAATTACTCTTACCTTTTTAGAGTCCTTTTAATTGTAGACCTACAATAATTACTAAATTCTCAATTAGTTAGAATAGGAATCAATTGAATGAAATCAAAAGTGAAATTCTTACTAAAATTTCCACATCTCAATTTGATGAGAATGAAATCAATCAAAATGAATTTGATCTTAATAATTCAAACTAAATAAATTAATAATAGAGAATCTTTTATTCAAAATGTTTAACTCAGAAAACTAAATTACCTAATACACATTTATCTCAAAAAATACCCTTATTTATTTTATATAAGGAAATGCTTTAGAGGAATATTCCATCTGACTTATGGGATAAATTTATTATAGATGCTCTAAATAATCCTCACTTTTATATTGATAAGAACAAAGTATAAATGAGTAAAGGATTAAAGAATCAATTAGGATTCATGAGTTAGAAATTATAATTGAAACAAAGTATTCACAATATCTAATGATTTACAAATTATTTATCGATTTTTATATATATAATTAATATCATATAATTATTATTTAAATCAAATCCTAATGTAAGGAGCACCAGGTAATTTGATATCGTTTTTAGTTTATTTTTAGAAGTCCCAAGAAGATTTAGATTACTTGAAGAACTCTAAAATGGAGAAAAAGGTATTGGAGATGGAACTGTAAGCTATGGATTAGAAGATGGTAATATTAGTATCTGAAATTAATAGCTGAGGACATGTAGATGACAAATTGGAATGGAACAATCCTTGGACCATATAATGTAATATTTAAATTATATAATGTAGACTGCATTTGAGAATAGAATCTATTCACTTAAAATCACTTGTGGTCCACAATATCCTAAGGTTGCTCCCTAAGTCAGATTTGTTACTAAAATTAATCTTCCTTGTGTCTAACCAAATGGATAGGTATTTATAATTCAATTATACTCAGATTGATATTAATAAATTTAGCATTTTAAAAAATTGGGTATCCAAAAGTACTTTAGAAAGTATATTAACAGGATTAAAAAATGAAATGAGTTCTGCTGCTAATAAAAAATTATAATAACCACCTGATGGCCAAACCTATTGAGTTAAAATAAAATCAATATATATATATATATATATAAAAGTAAGAAAAGTTTATCATTTTTATTATTCCTGAACATTTCTTTATCTTTTATGTTTTATTCTCATATGTAAATTCAATGAAATCATAGACCCATAGCTCTTCTCACAATTCTTTGAGTAGCACTTTATAATATAATTACTAATTTAAACTTTATATTTCTTTTCTATCTAAGTTGAGGTTCTTCTGACTCTCTTTACTTTACATCTACCTTCTTACTATCTCATTTATTATTCCAATTTGTTAGTTCTATTTTTTAATGAATCCACTATCGATTTGATCTCTTTGATTTTCTAATTGTTTTTTAAATATATGTCTATCATCTCCTGTAACTATCTCGAATCGTACTTCTCTTTCCTTATAATACATACTTTACATTAGTCTAATTCATTGTTCATCTATATTTAATTTGAATTCTTTTAATTGATCTTCTATATTTCTACACCATTTTTCAATGGTTCTCTATTTATTAGATTTGTATTATCACTTATAGTGTCAGTTCTTATCAATATCACAATATAATACTTTTGATTAATGATAATAACTTTTTTAGTTACTTTTATTGATTTATTTAGCATAATATATTTATTAATATGTAAAATTGAATTAATCCTTATAATATCAAAATTTCACAAACTCTATAAATTATTTCAAATTCTAATAAAAAATTCTTAAGCAGACTTGAAAATTAATATTGTTATATATAATTAATTCTTATAATATATATTATATATATCATATAATGTATATTGGTTATAGTGTATACATTAATGAATTCTGAGAAATAATATATTTTAAATATTTGTTTGAATCTTTAAACTAAAATAATATTTGTTAATTCTTAAAAACTAATAATTCTTTATAATGATGATGTAGTATTTAATTCAATTTTTTTTGTTAATTAAATGATGAATAATTTTTATTAATAATTGTTGAATGATAATAATATAAATAACCTTACTTTTTATTTTATTTTATGTTGAATAATTTTAGATTTCTATTGTTAAACTATTTGAATTCAAAAAACATTAAGTATTATATTTATATTTTTCATCATATAACATATAAAAAACATAAATATGTTAGTCTGTCATTGTAAGTCATTTAGCATAATTGAATATTAAATGCAATGAATCCTGTAACAAGATAATTATTATATCATATTTAATTTAATGTCGGTTTATAGAGGATTTGCAGCTTATGATTATGGAAGAGAATATTTCGCTATATTTGTAAGAAGAAACTTTGAAACTTCATAAAAGTGGTGTGAAGTTAGAAGTGAATTACAAAAAAAGTTGTAAGAATAGAAAAAAAAGCCAGAAAACTCATTTGAAATGGAAAGTGAATATGGAAATTTCCTTTGTTAATTTGAAAAGCAAACAAGTTTATTATATCTATATATTATAGAGTGTTACTTTATATTGTTGAGTAATAAAAATACTATAAAAGAGGAATAATAGAAGGCTATGCAAACAGTTATTGAACAAATTAAAAAGGTTAACAATTACATCAAAGTACGTTATTATAATAAATATAGCTAACACGAGAAGAATTTGATTAGAAGCTAAAATAAGATATTTTAAATATCCTAACCAAAGCAGAAGAAGAATATATAGAAAAAAATGGAAATTTAGATTAAATTATGACTTAACATTCATAAGAAAAAAAGAAATTTAGAAAGGATTTGGCATAAGTAATTGATAAAAAGACAGAGCATAAATAAAAAGCATTTGAATTAATTGAAAAAATTATTATCAAACATAAAAATGATGATTCAGGACCACCTCAAAAGATTATATTTAAAGGCTTTATGATGTTTGATTATATTCGACAATATTTTTATATGTTGATCAATATAGGGATTCCAATTATGTAGAAATGGATAAATGATAGAAATGCTATATAGAAATTGATATTAGATAATTAAAAGAAACCATAAGAAATTATTTAATTAAAAGGTGAAGGAGGTCAATTTTATGCAAAATATCATAAAGAAAAAAGTATTTATTTTTTTAAATACATATTAGAATGCTATTTCATTCTATATACTGATGAATTTGTTAATTTAATTAAATAATAAGAAGTTCTTGAATAAATATATTAATTAATCACTCCTAATGATTAATATATTAAAGTATATTTAAATGGTTATTTTAGATGAATAAAGAACAAATAGAATCAAAATTTTCATAATAAGTAAAAGCTATCTTAGAACAGAATGAAAAAGTTGACACTGAATAAATTGTTATGAAACTAGAAGGAGATAATAATAATTATAAACAAAAGAATTTATCTCCTGAATAACAATCTGATAATAATGATCCTTTAAAGTCTAATGTTACTGGATCAATTAATAATCAACCAAAGAATATTATGTATCAATAAGATGAAACAAAACCACTTAATTAATGATTATTCATTATTATTAATATTATTTATATATTTAAAACAAAAAATATTAATATCAGATTGATCCCTTATCAATTTATACTATTTTTTAATTTATTATTATTATATAATTTATTTAATTATTGAGATAAAACTATTATAATCAAAAAGAAATTTATGATTTATTGAATGAAAAATAAGTTTAATTTACTATTCCATTTTTTAAATTATGTATAATTAAATCACTAAAAACAATTCATGAAAGAAGTATTTATAAAATATTCTTATGAAAAAGAATTAATATATATTTTCAAAGTGATGAAATATTCATATCTCTATTAGAATATTATAAATATAACATATATATCAACAAAAATTTTTATTGTAAACTTATTGATAAGAGAATGGAAAAGATTAGTGAATATAGTAAAAAAAAGAATTGACTAGAGTTTATTTTAAGAATTCAAAGAAAAAATTCAATCTAAAGTAATAGAACAGTTGTGAAGATACTATAAATCAACAAAACTTATAAGGAATAGGTTATAGATTTTGAATATTTCAAAAAATAATCTGATTATACAAAGTTTAGTATTATTTTAAATGAATATGTGAGTTTATTTAATTTCTTTAGCTATATTAATTAATATGCTTTTAATTACAAAAATTGTTATTTTCATTTGAATATTATTAGTATTCTAAGGATATTGCAAGCTTTCATTAAAGTATTTTGATTCATAGTGTTATATAATATATAAGATAAGAATTCTTCTCTTTTATATAGAAATATTTATATTTTTGATGAACCAATGATTTAATCATACTTTTTTTAGTAGCAGAAAACAAATTTTTTACAAATTTTCAATTTAAAACATATAAAATAATTTTATAAGTTATTAAATTAAACCATCATAAGAAATTCCATTTTGATCTCTAGTTTTTTAAAGATTTTAGTCTCTTATTATATTGCAAAATAATAAATGTAATGTTTCTCTTATAAAGAATTTAATTAGACTTCAAATATGTATCTAATATATTTATTTAATAAAGTTTGTTGCCAATTATTTCAAAAATATATAGAATTTTCTTAGAATTATGAAGCTACAAGACTTTAGACTGATTTATTGATTATCATCTTCCAAAGCTTTTGTCTCCAAAGGTTATAAACACTTTATATGAGATGGCATTCGGTAATCCCCACTATCGATCTTCTTTAAAACTCTTAACTAACATAACCCTTGATACTGACCCCATATTAGATACTCTTATAACATTTATATAATTTTTAAAAGCATATGGGTGTACATAAATGATAAGTAAATCTAGTTTATTAGTACCTTTGCTTAGCTTGATTATTACTTCATGAGAATGAATGTTTTTTAAGTATAGATTTGCCAATTTACAACAACTTTGATTGATTATAAATCATTATAAAAATATTATGTTACTTTAGAATAGGATCTTTAAAAATTAATTCACTGTTCAAAGGAAATTATCTGCTGGCTCTTTTGGAATTGTATACCTGGGATTAGATTAGAATACAAAGCAAGAAGTGGCTATAAAAGTGGAAAGAGAGGAAAATGAAGATGTTCGATCATTAGATAGAGAAGTATAAATTTTCAAACATTTGGGTTCTATGGATGGCATACCGAAATTAATTTGGTCAGGAGAGGAATTTGGTTATAATATAATAGTTATGTAACTGTTGGGAAACGACTTAGCTTATCATTTTAAGCAGTTGAAGCGCTTTACACTGAAGACAGCACTATTGATAGCTATATAATTGATTGATGTGTTGGAAAAGCTTCATTTTCAAGGTGTAATTCATAGAGATCTAAAGCCAGAGAATATACTTTTAGGTTCAGGTAAAGAAAATGGTAAAATTTATCTGCTTGATTTTGGAATCAGTAAAATTTATAGGGATTGCAATAATAAGCATATGTAATAGTAATAATGGATAGTTAGTCCCTTTAGAGAACATAGATCATTTTTGGGAACTACAAGGTATGCATCTATTGCTGCACATCTTGGGCATGAATTAAGTAGAAAGGATGATTTAGAGTCTATGATGTATATCATCTTATACTTTATTAGAGGGTAAATCTTAATTAATATCAAGATAGCTGCCATGGTAAAATATGTTAAATGTTACTGATGATGAAAGAACAAAAAAGGTAGGTGAGATGAAATTACTCTTACAGTAAGAAATATTTAGAGATTAACCTAAAGAATTTCAAAAGATATTTGAGTATTCAATATACAATGAAATTTTAGTTACATACGTAAATTGCAGTTTTAAAGTGAACCAAATTACAAGATGATTACATTCGAGCTAAAAAAGGCAGCTGAATCTTTAAAATTAAATCTTGATGGATTCTATGATTGGACTGAGATTAGATCTTCAACACATTATGATTCTTTGGTTCCTCATAATAGCACAGAAATGAAGAAATCTATTGAGAAATAATTGTCAGGTATTTTGAATTAACAAAAGTAAAATTATGTTTTCTAAATGTTTAGTTCTAATCAATTATTGGCTCCACCTCCACAATTTTCAAGTAGAAATAATCTTAATGGAAGAGAAGAGAATAAAAAACCTACATTGGCATCTTTTTAAGGTTGTTAAATTACATATTATTTTTTATTAGGTAGTTAACAATGCCTATCTGTAAATCCATTCTATTCATCTTCTAGAAAATATTCAGATAATAATGTTGACTTTGAAACAGATTTAATAAGTTATTAACTTAATGAATATCTAGGAGATAGATGTTTATGCTAAAAATATAGTAAACTCAATTAGTATCACAAAAAGTAATTCTAAAATTTTATTTAAGTTTTCGTTTATTATCCAAATATGATTAATGATTTAAAGGAATTATTTGTGATACTTATCTTATTTCTGTTTAATAATATTTAATTTATGTAATTATTAACTCTAAACTCAAATAATTTAATTGAAGAATTTCAAACTGAAAAGAAATATTAAGAAGATACTAAATAATTACTCTAATTGGTATGCTATTTCCTTTACCCTTTAGAAAGTTTAAGACTTTCATAAGAAAATGTAAAAAGATAGAAATGAAAAATTATTTAAAAAAAAAAGATAAATGGCTGTGAATCCTCCAATTTTATAAGATGATCAAATATATCCTTATTTACTTGATGAAAATGATTTTGAAGATGAAGAAATTTATCATATGAATAAATTTGAAGAAATTCAAAAAGAACTTGAAGAATTTTACTAATATAAAATTTGAATATTCTAGTTCATAATATTTGTTTTAATTTCAAAATTATATTTGTCACATCTTTTACTCAAATCTCTTTATTGCATTATACACTTATACATCTAATAAACTTTCATGTGGTAACAATACTAATGCTTATCTAATTGCTCTAATTTATCTTTATAATTTTCTAGTTGCAAATATCACTACAGAAAATAAAATACCTGAAACTGCTATCCCAAAAATTATATAATAGATTAAATAATTTTAATAATCTGTTTCTAAAATATCAACAGAAGTCGATATTATGGTTGAATAAAATTCTACTATTGCTTTATTTAGATCAAAAAAATATGGCATCAATATTTATATATTTTCACCAGTCTCCAAAAAATGAATAACTTCATCAGCATCTGTTTCTAATTCCCCATTTAATTCTTTTACAAATTTACTTGAAAAAAGTGCTTAAATTCTACAATATTTAAATTTAATTTTACTCTTAATATAATCCATTAAACCCTTATTTGAGATGTTCTCTATTGTTATTTATCTCCAATGGCTTAGGAAAATCTTAAAAGTATTGAAATTTACCATTCTCATAAAAACAAAAAGGTAATTAATCTCCTATATAATCACAAAGATCATCTTAAAAAAGACCTAACAATAGATTTTTATTATAATCACTAATTTTCTTTGATGCAACTATATTATCATAAATTGAATTATATTATTCTTTCTATAAATCTAAGCTATTCTTAAATTGAGCTAATAGTACATAATTATTTTCTTAAAAAAATCCATTTTTTTAATGATATTCTGGATTTTTTTAATAAATACCACTCTTTTTTTAATATTCACTTAATAATATCTAATTTTTTATCAATTAACTAATGATTAAACAACTATCAAATCTTTATTTAAATCTAACAAATTACATACATAAATTTAATTCAGGGAATGAATCTGTTATATTGATATCTTAGAATAGATAGGAAGATAAAACATATGATGTTAATATAAACCATAAAAAGAATAACATTAAATAGATATGTAAGATAGAATATTGAGTTTCCTAAATTCTTTAATTTAATTTAGCTCTTTATTATAACTTTTATTATTTTTTTTCACCTTGATGCTAATGAGCAAGTTTTTAAATTCTTCTTATTTGAGATATTCTACAAGTGAAGAATTCTTTAAAATAATTAATCTATTTCCATTTACTAATATCATTAATTAATACATCCTTAAATGATTTATATTTCAATAATAATAATTCTACATCTTTTTCTTGTACTCTACAAATCATTAGAAGTATGTTCTATTTATAGATATAGGGTTCTGTCCATAATTTAAATTAAAGTAATATAGCTACAATGATAATCAATAGTTGAACAAATAAAAAAACAAGATATAAAAACTCATAATTATCAATATTTGCAAAAAAATCACTCACAATATTTTCAACTACATTGCTTACAAAATCAATTAAATTATTGAGATTTGCCTTTAAGAATAATAGTCTTATTTATTAATTAGTTACAGATAAATCATCAGTCTCATCAAGTAATGTATCTAATGCATCAGTATATTCATTGACCATTTAATTAAATTACAAAAAGGAAATATTTTAAACTTAATATACAAATTAATTAACTATTTTAATTTCTGCCTTGTTCAACTTTCCTTGTTAATCTAGAATAGAGAATTCTTATTCTATTTAAACAATTAAATCTAATAATTCTACTCTTAATTATTTGCTTTCTTTTTGAATTCGATAGACATAATAATCTCCATATTTAAAACCAAGTAATCTCATTTCTAAATCTATTTATCCTAATACAGTAAATGTACAATATAATCTATTAAATTTATCTGGTAATCTAACAAGAGGAATTTAATATTATAGATTATTTGTATTACTTCTTGCAATAATTAATTCAAGAATTACTAAAAAGAGTAAAATTAGAAAAAGGAAAATTGTATTGATGAATACTTTAATAAGAGTTGTTTAATATCGTTAAGTATATTGTAAATTTCTGAGAATATTAAATACAGACATTTATGTTCTATCAGATGTGGCACTAGATTAAGACTATTTAGCATTGTCTTTAAATTCTAATTCCATTTCTTTATATTATTATATTACCTCTTCAACATTCTATTTATTTTAATTTTATTAAGAGCTACTCTTAGCATTTTCATACACTTATTTTTAATCTTCCTCTTCTTCTTCATCATAATCTACGTTAATTAAAATTTCTTTATTTCCTCTAGGAGAAACCAATTATTGTTATTATTGACTTTCATTCAAATATGATTATTTTTTCTGAGTTTCATCTATATCTTGATTGGGTATTTGATTGATCTTATTTATAATTGGAGGGTTGAAACTTATAGCATTATCATTTACATCATGTTCTAATTGGAATTCAGATTCATTAAAGGGATCACTTGGAAGTGTTTTTTTAATTGTACTATAATAACTAGTCGATGGATGATTGATAGACTTTTTCTTATTTAGTTTTTCAATATCATTAATTTACAATACAAATTAAGGAAGGATATCACCACCTAAAACAGAGAATTATAATTAAAACTTGATTGAATATTGAGTATCTTAATCAATATATCTAGATTAATTAAACTTTTATAAAAAATCATTAATAAATGATATATTTTATTCTTTTAAAAAATGAATAGAATTTATATTACCATAAGTTAAATAATTTTATTGTTCTGTGTCATTATTTTCAGTAAAATAATTTTATGATTCATGATTTTTAACTGTACTATTGGCTCTGCTAAAATCATGATCTTAACATAATTAATTGAAATTATTAATAGGAGATACTATAAAAGATTTAGGTGTTCCTCTTGCTTAAAATTCTGTTTATTACAATAATAATTCCTTATCCTCATTAATTTATTGAAATATACTCTAAAACCAAAAATATACAAATCCTTTATTTAATAACTGTTCCAAAGTAAATCCTTGACCTAGAATGCTAAAGAGTTATTCACTTATACCTAAGATCTTACCACGACGATCAAAAATAAGGAAATCATAACTCTATTTAACTTTTTATAATGCACCTGTAATAATATAATCAGAATCTTTTTCAAACATATGTAATAGACTAATATTTGCTGCTTTTATGAAATTATTTTTCATTTTAACATAAACTTCTTTAGAGTGTTCAATCAATAATGAATATCCTTTTTTCATATATCTAAATATAATTTTATCATGAATTTATTAAATATAAGTTGGCATCAATTATTCTATATATAAAATATTTTAGAAATCCTTTTCATCCTTATATCCAAAAAATTAAGCCAATTATCCTCTATTTTTATTTAAGATTAAACTCTTTTATTTTGCAAAACTTGTAGCAATCATAACTAAATCATCATTAAATAATGTTAAATTATTCACATTATCAGTTTGTATATTTCTTTCAAATTACATTATTTCATCTATTCTTTATTCTATATCTAAAGTAGCATGATAATCATTTAAAACAGCTGAATATAAAATAGATAATAATTTTAATTCTAATATATTGAAATGTACTAATCTTGTTTATAATTTCATAGGTTAAATGGCAAACCAATTAAAAAATATATCTCTCAATTTCCAAATCTTCTCACTTAAATTATAAGTACATATAGCAAATTCTTCAATTCTCTAATATCCTTTATCTAAATCTATCCAAAATTTGATTTTTGTGTCTAATATTTAAATCATTAAATTCAAATTATCTTCATATAACAATTCAGCTTTACGAATGTCAGATAATTATAATTTCTTCTCTTAATCTCCATTCTAAAGTTACTTCTTTTTTTCTGACATTTTTTCTTGCATTATATTAGAAATAACTAAAAAATAAAAAGATTACTTTTAAGAATTAGTCATATATTATTTCAGTTCTATATAACCTAATTATGTTTTCTTGCAAGCATTAATAATATACATTATTTTATAAAGTTGCAGATTTTCTATTATAATCCAATCCTTTGTTTTTATTTATTCAATTACTAAATTCATTATATTCAATACAGTTTATTAGATTTTTAAAGAGAAATTGTCATTTTCAACCCAAATACCATATTTATATTTAATATGACATAATATTGAATACAAATAAATTGGATTTGTTTTAGTTTAACTTAAAATATCAATTATAGCTAACATCTTTTCTAGAGTCATGGTTGAATTATATATTTATTTGCTAATTTATTATTTATACACTTATATGATTATTATAACTGATGATGATGAAAGTAACAAAATAAAATAAAATACTTCAGTTTAAGCAATTTCAAATGATGCTAATTTTACAAGAGAGACAAAAAACATTAATGAAGTTGCACTTATATATTTAAAATTGATTTCATTACTATAAGGCTGAATTATAAAAGAGTCAATAATAAATAGTAAAAACATAAGCACTAATAAAATTGAGCAAATAAGTTCATTAACCATTGATTTCACTATCATTAAACCTATATCACTAACTATCAACACTACATTGAAATATGAATATCTCCTTAGATACTCATTTCTTTAAGGTAAATAGTAGTTTCTATTCACCAGGAAATAGAGAATGTAGCATATGAAAATGGCGATAAAATTAATTATACTAATAATGAGATCTTCCTCTTTTTATATTTGATTGTTTAAGTGTTTAATTATTGGCATGAGTACTAATAATTAGTAATAAGTAAAGAAGCTTTATAATGTATATTTTAATTTTAACTTTGTAAATATTATTATGATGATCATCCATAAATAAACACAAATTATGTATGATATAATTTAGTTTAGGTTTGAACTATCAATTAGTTAGATTGGAGTTTAAAGTGTAAACCAATTAAATAATTGTTACAGAATTTGCAATTTAAAATCAATGTATGGTTTATCAGCAAATTTATCAAAATCGAATAATAAACTTATCCTCTGAAATGAAAAGATGATCATAATTATGGTGCTATTTATTTCTGTTTAACTTTCATTCATAAATTCAATAAAGTCTCTTGATCTCTCTTTGAAATATTCAATGAGAATTAAGCAGTACATTATATTATTAATTATTTTATCAATATCATTAATTTTAAATTAGACCTATAATTATATCATCAAAATTCCAAAGAATATTATCTTGATACTTTCATATTACTAAGAATTTTGACAGATGTTATTAATCTGATTTGAAATAGCATCTAATTATTAAATTTACATATTATACAAATAAAAGTTTAATTTATATCATATGTTATAATTCTACAAAAATACTCTAAGTTTTTGACCTATGAGCAAGAACATTATACTTATCATTACTATGGAATTAGCCTACCTAATATATAATTATACTATTCAAATCTTAATTTACAAATTTTCTTTTTAAAACAAATAACTAAAGAAAATTCATATAAATTCGTAATTATTTGACTTTAATTATTCCCAAAAGAATATTTCTTCTTTATTTTTTATTAGTTTGATTGTTTTTAATTTTTCTATAGACATATTTAATGTTGCAACTATCAAAGGATCTCTTAAGTGAAAGTAAATGCTTCTGCCCTATTAGTAATTTTGATAAATAAAATATTTAATTATAGTAAAGTATCCCTATTTAAAATATATTTTTTAAACTCTTTTAAATTGATTAAGGCATTATATATATTTCATATTTTTTATTATATGTTAAATCTAAACTCTATCTTCTACTTAAACATTCAAATAAATAAGTTAAATCTATCTAAAGGTTTAATAAATCTTTTTTATATTTCTTTATTTTTAAATTATATTATGAACATAATACAAAGCCTGGATATTTTCTATTTAGATCATAAAAGCAACTTATCTATAGAAATACTATTTATTTTTAATAATTTCTTGAAGTTGCATGAAAGTATTGCAATTATCAAATCCAATAATAATTGAATACTTAATGGAATTGTTATATCCATAAAATCACTTGTAAATTAGAAGCAACTTGGAAGTTAATTTCAATCATTTTTATTAGTTTTTATAATTTAAGTTTTTATAATCTCTCTATATTATGATTGTTAATGATCAAATTAACTATTTTTATAAATAAATGGATGCATTCTTTATTATTAGAATAGTTTATAAAGTAATATCAATGAGAAAATGATTAACACGATTACCTTAATGAATCTCTTCTTCATAAAAACTTGTATATCTTAATATCTCAGAATAAAATGATATAAATATCAATGTTAACATTCTTTTGAGACTTTCTATTTTGATAATTATGTTAGATGAGTATCTCTCCTTTTTTTCATTAATTAATATCTATTATTCTACTTTTTATGATATCAATTGGATCTTTAGATAGCAAAAGTAGTAGGATAGTTATCAACTCATAAACCCTATCATTACTTGTATATATCAAATTACAATCGAAACAAATATTATATTAATAGATCCATAACATATTGCGACTTCTTTAAGTTGATATATATGTTTTCTCATATTATGACCAATTATGTTAATGATTACAGTTTGTCCTATTGCTATTTTTCTAAATTGATTAATAATGTCTTCACTTAATTTTATGATATAATTTATTATTCATAATGAACATCCTTAATCAAACAAAATCAATCATCAATTCTAAACTGTTCAACAAATACTGTCAATCTTAGAACTATTATTTCACAAGAGACATCAATGAAATTCTTAATGAAGCCACTACTAAGTCAACTGTCAGATTCAAAGATTGGAATTGTTATGATGAACAAGTATTACTCTCATAATTAAAAAGGATGAATATCTAAAACGTGTCTATCATTTATCTGAATATCCTGTTAAGATACAACTTCTTTCTGAATATTATAAAGTATAATTATATCATTCATATAGTTTCATCATGATATTGCAAGAATATTTCAAGAACCAGTCTCAACTATCTTAAATAAATATTATGATAAGAAACGTAAGATTGAATATTATAGAATTGCCAAAATTATTGATCAGGAAAACAAAAACAATCCTCACAGACCACCTAAAGGAATCATAGGAGAAAAGCCCTCTCCTCTTAATTCATAATTAAGTCAACCAAATTAAGAATAAGATTTAGCTGAATACAATATCAAAAATATACAAATACTAAAAGAACTAAGTTGCCTTGATTAATTACAACAAGTAATTTTCATTTTCATATTCTAAGTAAATTGATAAACCTACTAAAATTAAATTTGATGTCTCTTAAACACTTAATGAAATCTGTAAATAAATTGCTAATTGTCCTGATCAATCATCTCTCTTTATTTCTACAAACAACAAGAATGAAGAAATCAAATTAAATAATTTCTTAAACTTCATTAATTAATAATAAAAATAATAATTACCATAACAGAAACAATAAACTAAACTAAGTCAACCTTAAGAAAAACTCATACATTCTATTATAAAATAAAGATTACCAAATAAATAAAAATCAACTGAAATTTAATCATTCCTAAAAACATAAAATTTTGATTATCCTTCTACTCAATCAACTATTGATTAAAGATAATCTAAAACTAATTTATATACTGAAGAAAACATAATTAAAATTGAATCCAAACTTAGTGAATCATTAAAAAATAGATCTAAATTAAGAGTTAATAAAGAATCTCTTAAATCAAGCTCACCTTCTAATCAATTAAATTTCAATTCAAATAATGCTTAATAAATACTCAAAACATAACAATCTTAAATAAAAATTAACGGTAATAATTTCATATCTAAATTACTTATTGAAGATCAAATAATTGAATAAGATTTCAAATGGAAAACTGGAGCTTAAACACATCGTCCAACAACTGGAACATCTAATCATTTTAATTATAGTCCATAAATTTAAAAAATGAAATTAGATAATTGTAAAATACTTAAAACTAAAACACATCATCAACCACCTTAATTTCATACTCTTAAAAGTTTACCAACTAATAGAAATAAAGAGATTTCTAGAAAAACTGCATCCCAAAATATGCATATTCGTTAAGGTTCCAATCAAGAAAGAATTATCACTCTTCAAAATGATTAACCAAGAACTTAATTTACAAATAATGTATTTAAAGAAATATAACCATACTAATCTTCAACACATCGAAAATAGGTTTCAGATAATCGAGCCTTATTTTAAAAGGATTAAATTTAAGAATTCAATTGTTTAACAGAAAGAAGACACAATGTTGAATAACTATTCAAAAATAACATCTTAGATTATAATAATTTAATGAAAACTGGTTATAACAATATTTAATAAGGCTCATTTTAAAATAATATTCATAATAATTAATAATAGCAAAGCATTTAATAATTGATTAGAAAAGTAGCTAAATAACATCAATAACTATATTTAAATAATTATAAGAATTAATAAAATCATTCTTGACTTTTTAATTTGTTTTATCATTCTATTTATTAAAATTATCATGAGTAATCATTAAGTAATTTAGAAATTGCCAACCTTAAATAATGAACGTTTAGAAACTCAAAGAGAAATGGATTAACATTTAAGAATATCAACTATCAGAAAAAGCAGTTTTTTACCTTCTCGAACAAAAAGTTTAGGATAAAGATTGCTTAATTTTGTAGGAAAATAAATTTCTGTCGATTATTAAGAACGACTAGTACTTAAGAGTCTTTAAGCAGAAAATAATAAAGCTAAAAAAATTTTTGAAATATTGCTTGCTCGTAAAAACAATCTAAAAAATCTCACTAATTTTCATTTGAGTTTTTTAAATGATAAAGCCATTGGAAATATTAGTTTTGTTTAAAGATAAACATCCTTTAAAATATTTATTGATAGGTTGCTAACTAAGAAACTTTTAAGAATCTTTAAGCCATTTGTGGATAATTTAATTTAACATATTAAAGCATTACCTTTATTATATCCAGAAAGTACAAAAATTGTATTATGGGATATACTTGCAATTTCATCTAAATTATACTTTTTATATCTAATCCCTTTAGAATTAGCATGGACAAATAGATCATTACTTTATAATAGATACTATTCATCAACTATAATAATGCTTATAATATTATTTATAGATTTTATTGTTGGTCTTAACACAGCCTATTATAATGCAGGATCCTTAATTACTAATCGAATTTAAATCTTAAAACATTAATTCACAAAATCATTTGGATTAGAATGGATATCTACTATAATTTTGATAATATTATTTATAATATGTAAAAAAACAGATACTATGATAAATGTAACTGAAAATCCTGTGTATTTAATTTTATTAAGTGTTCTCTCTCATTAAATTAATGTTCATTACAAAACAAGCCAATATGAATTAGCATTAAATTTATCTAAGAAAGTATCAAGTTGTTTAGAATTACTAAAATTCTTACTATTATTATTTTATGTCATACACTTATTCTCTTGTCTATGGTTTTGGGTACAAATTTTAAGTATTTATTAAGGTTGGATATTACAGTAAAGAAAATTATGAATTCACATGGTTAGACACTCTTAAAGATCTTTCAATAATAGATTGGACAGATGAATATTTATAATCATTTTATTATGTTTGTGTTACTATGTTTACAGTTGGATATGGTGATATCACTCCTAAAAGTGGATTAGAGAAATCAATCTGTATATTTCTGATTTTAATATCAAGTATATAATTACCTTATTCAATTAATACTGTTGGTTCAATAATTGAAAAAATATCAGATTATGGAGAAGAAACAAAAAATAAATTAAGAACAATCAATAGTTATATGAATAAAAAGAGAGTTCCTTATAATATATAGAACTAAATTAGATAATATTTAAATCATTATTGGGAATCATTATAAGGATAAGACACAGAAGAAGAGAAAGTAATAATATCTCAATTATCTGAAAATTTAAGAGAATAACTTATTATTTAAGCTAATAGTAGAATATTTGCTAAAGTTTCTTTATTAAAATAAAATTTTAGTCATTAATTACAATAAAATTTATTAAAAAAGGTATAATCTGTTTAATTGTAACCAGAATAAATAATTGAATTAGATAATAAAATCTCATGTTACTTTGTTGATGAAGGGGAAATTAATGTATTAATTGAATCTGGATTGGTTGTTTAAAAAGCAAAAAAAGATGATGTTATTGGTTTGGATAACTTATTTTTAGGATTTCAAAATAAAAATCAAAGACTTAAAAGTATTGGATTTACTAAATTATAAATCTTATCAAGACAAGATTTCTTATAAGATTTAAAGGATTTTCCTAATGATTATGAAAAATTCTGTTCTATTAAAGATGATTTATTATTTAACTTTAAATCATCCTATATATAAAAATAATGTGATTCTTGTTTTTAAACAGGACATGAAATTATCAATTGTTCAATGATTCATTATGTACCTTAAAAAGATTTGTTAATTAAAAGATAACAATATCCTTAATATTAATAGAGACAAGAATTTTCAAGAAGATATTATAAATTATCTAGAATTATGCTTTCTGAATTAGATAATTAAGAATTTAATGAAACAAAGTAATAGTATTTAAAAAAATATTATATACCTCAAATACCTAATGTTAATAATAATAAGATAAATGATTAAATTCTTTAAAATATGAATTAAGATGATGTAATTGAATAACCAGAGATAAAAATAGAAAATTTAAAAGTTTCAACAATGTTAAATGTTAAATAACCTACAAAGAGAGACTCAGTTTTAGCAATTTCTTATATACCTGGTAATAATATTGATCAAATTAAAAGAAGTATAAATAATAATAAAAAAATTGGAATTAATTAATCAAATAAAAAATAATAATAATTAGATATTTAATTAGATAGTTTAGGACTATAAAGACAAAATAGTTTAACATCTAGAAGATAATCATAAGCAGTAAATATGATGAATATATATTAATTGAGTTTAAATAATAATGCTTATAAATAAAGTTATTTGTAAGAATTAATTAGTAACAATTATGATATTAATTTTGATGATGAATTAAAACTAAGATATGAAAATTTAAATTAAATTAAAAATATGAGTCCTGATGATAAAGAAGCTATTGAATTACTTTATATGAAATAAATTAATAAACAGAAATATTAGAAAAAAGGCTTAATGCAATTTGAAACTATCAAATGTTATCATGATTATTATCCTTAATTTAATTTTAATAGGTAAATTAGTAAAGCAAATAAACCAGAGAATCCATCATTAAAAATTTTAATTTAAAAGTATATGAGTTATATACTTTATCCATCAGAGTTCATTTCAAAATTTAAATTACTTTAATAGGATTAACTTAGAGTTCGTTTGAATTCTGAGGAGGAGAAGTATTGATAATTTATATGCACATATACATATTATTATTTTAGTATAAACTAATGATTAATAATATTTTATAATATTTCTATTTCTTATTTAAAGAAATTAAAAAATTGATATATTGTTAGTTATTCTAGATAATATTTAATTTAACTTCTTTTTTTTAATATCAATAAATAATATTTTTATTCATATTTCTTTCTTTTTTAAATCTTGTATTTTTTGTTAAATGATATTTGTATTAGAATTATCTATTATCTGTAAACTAAATAAATTGAAAAATCATATGATTAAAAATTAATTTTTGAGCAATAATAAAAATAAATTAAATTTTAATATTTTCAATTCTATAAAATCAAATTATAATAAAAACATGATTTTATCATATTTCTAAAGAACTTAAATTCTACATTAATTAAAATTAAATTGAATTTATCAAGTACATAAATGTGATCATAAAGTCAAAAATAATCTTGATTAATTGTATTATAAATATTTTAGATTTTAAAACCTTCCATTTATTTTTATATAAATTTAAAAAGAATAATTTGGAAAATATCTGTAAAACTGAATATAAAGTAAACTATGATAAGAGAGTTGAATATTGTTCAAATAAAAAATTAACTATTTTAATAATAATATTCTAATAATGATTGCATATATTAACTAATGATAAAAATTATATCTCTATTTTTGTTTATTTTGTTTTTCTTATTTTCATAATTCATTATAAAGAATATGGAATTAGATAATTGTCCAAATATCAAATGAAAAATTTAATCCGATTTTAATAGTTCAAAAATATATATATATATATGATTTATATATTTAAAATTTACATAAAAAATTTCATGTATGATGCTTTAAATTAAAATTAGCTGTTTTTATAAATTACTCATTTCTTATTTTAATTATTTGGTGCTTATTTAATTGTTTATTATTCAAACATATCAAATGTTAGATAAGAAAATTTGATTATTTATTAAATGATTAAAAATAATATTAGACCAAGAGCTTCAAGTGAAAGACTTGATAAGTTGGCTGCTTTAGAAAATCAAACAAGCCTTGAATGGATTATGAAAAACTCTTAAATGTTAGAATTGAAATCAAATATCAAAATGATTTCTAAGGATTCCTTGTCAATTAATATTCATGTACCAGAACATGAAGGAGTGGCAACAATTTGGGGAGATAAATGGTTTGGACAAAAAAAGATTTCATAATTTAGAGGCTTATTGATTTATGACAATCAATTTTGCCTTGTTTTAAATGATTGTTTTATAGAGAAGAAAAGATATTAATCATCTCATTTTAGAGCATATTTTTTAAAGCTAATTAATCAAACAGGATAATTAATATTAATATTTTCACATCCATTATCTCTAAAATAATGGAATAGTTGTATTAAGAAATTTTGCAAAAGAAATAATTTTAATAAAAAATTTAAAGTAGTAGAATTGATATGTTAAAATTTTTATCAAATTTAACATAAAAAACAAAAATCATTATTTTCTTCACAGGTGATTAATTTAGCTAGCATTCAAAATTATGACTAAGCAGAATTACTTGACAATTATTTAAAAATCTTAAGAAATTCTTCTATAAGTAATTATATTGAAACAATTGGTGTTTTTGAAGAAAAATAAATGTTATTCATAGTTTGTAAATATTTTAAAGGAAATTCTCTTGATTAATTTTATAATTAATCAAAAAAATAATATTTGATTTAATAATAAATAGCTACTATTTGTATATCAATTCTACATGCCCTAAAATCTCTTTCAGAAGAAGAATTGTATCATGGTAAAATTTCTTTTGAAAATATTATTTGTTATAGTAATTTGAAAACTTAATTTGGAACTTATTTGATTAATTCACATTATAAAGTAAATTACATTATCATTTTAGTTTTATGACTAAAATACACTTTTTAAGTACATTTAATCTACTCCAGCTTATTTGATTGCACCTGAAATAAAATAAGGAATTACTCCATCAATTTAAACAGATATTTATTAATTAGGAATGATTTTAGGTTTGTTAACATTTTACAATTTTTCATAAACATTCAATCAAAATTATTTTTAATAGTAATCATCTTGTTTAATGTAATTAATTATAGAATAAGAAAAATTAATAATAAAATAAAAAGAGTCATATGATTATCCATAATTATTTAGTATTAGTTAATTAGATTTAATAAAACGAATGATTTAACCAAATCCTAATCTTAGAATAAATATAAATGATGCATTAAAACATGTTTGGTTAATAAATAATAAAGAAAAGAAAATTTAGAAATTAATACCTAATTAAATAGCATTTCCTAGTTTAAGAACAATTATAGAAATAAAAGATAGTGAGTGTGATATTAAGAAAACTATGAATAATTTTTCTGATGAAAATAGTTCTTTTGTAAAATAAGAGTAAGATCCAAATTCTCTTTTTGTACAAATAAAGTAACATTAAAATATCAATTCAGAAACTTTTGTAGATTCAAATGATGAGGATGAGAATTTGTTGAATGACAAAATAGAAAAGTTAAATTAATAAAATAATTTGGTTCCTTCATTTAAAGATCATTTTTGTATGTATCAATCAAGATGCATTTGATTTATATATTCTTGTTAATCATTTAAGATTATCTTTTATATAAGTATTAGTAAAACCAGAAGTTAATTTAAATTCAATCATATCAATCCATGATAACAACATATGATATAGATCCAGACAACTTAGATAATACTGAATGAGTATTAGATGAATTAGTTGGTTAGTCAGAATATTCTAGTATGTTATTGAGAATATATTAAATTAAATTTAGTATTTAGGGGAAGAAATTTTATATAATTCATAAATATTTATTTTTTAGATTGCCTTTGATATTGTTTTGATGAAATCAAAAATTCTTAAAACTGATTAAATTTTTGATATTTTAAAGCTTTCCAATCCCAATTATGATAGTCCAATGAATTTTAGAGAATTGAATGACTCTATTGAAATATATTTCAATACTGAAGAAAAGAAGACAGAAATAGAAATCATAAAATACCTAAATAATATGGGAATCTAAACTAAAACAGATCCTCTTTAGAAAGAATAAGAGTATTGGAGAAGAAAAAAATTAGAAACTTAAAAAAAAATGTTATCAATTTTATGTTTAACTGAGTCAACATAATCTCTAACATTGAATGAGTATGCATCTAAGTTACTTCATCATAGAGTGTCCTAATCTTCTTTTGAAGCAAGGATGATCAATAATACTTCTACTATGATTATAGAATGAAAATTTTTTTGTATTAACTTTCATTATAGTTTCATTTATCAACTAAGTTTTTTTTTTTTATTCATCTTTTACTCGTATTACATAATAATTAAGTGTTATCTTTACAATATGTAAGGTTAGTTAAATGTCAAATAAACCAACTTTATAACTAAATTATGAATAAATTGTTTAAACTAATGTTCATTATATTTTATGATATTACTGCTGTGAACGATACTAGGGTTTAAATAAACAAATTAATTTAAAATTTAGAAAACTTGAAATTTTGACTTGTTGTATTTATGCAAATTCTAAAAAATGAATTCTTTAATAATCTAATTTAAATTCGGTAAGAAATTTTTTATGATACTATTAAGAATATATTATGAATATAAAAATTTATTAAAACATGATTAATATGAATTATCAAGTTCAACGACAACACAAGCTTATATGAGCAAAAAAACATTAATCAATAAATCTTACACAATTTAAAGAATTTGATTGATCATATACAATATCATGATTAAGAAATCATAATTAATGATCAAATATATTTTAGAATTATTTGCTCTTTTAATTTAGTTATTCAACAGTAGATTGGATAATTTACTATAGAATTTCAAGATATCTAGCAAATCTAAACTCATTAATATTAAGAAGTTCACAGTTGATTCTTCAGTCATCTTTAAATCATTATTGATAACAGAAAGCCAATTAAATTCATCCATCTGAAAAGTCAAAATAGATTAAGGCTCAAATATGCATTTATTTAGAATACAATTCATATATATTCTTTGACTTTATATCATCCATTTAGAAAAACGAGAAATATTAAAACAATTCATGCATTAGATAAGAAGAATTTCTATATATTCTAAATAGCTATTTTTATAAACATATTAGATAGCTATTTTACAAAAATATTACTTGAATAAATAATAAATTTAGAATACTCAAACATCATAGTATTAAAACAATTCAATTTTTTTATATGTATTAATTTTTTAGCCTTATAAAATATTAAGCCGAGGTGATAACTTTAATTCACACCATTTATCAGAAGGGATAATTGAATAATCATAATTTTTTAAATGATTGATTTGATAATTACAAGCTTAATTTTCGATTAAAAATCATCATTATTGTCTTAATATATGTTAAAATTCTTTTTGGTTGTAAGCTATTTAATAACTTTTACAACTATAAGTAAATGAACTAAGTTAATAATATTTTTGTAAATATATGCAGCTTTATAAAGATTAATAACTAAATTATCAACTCATCTTAAAATGCTTTAACAAAGTATAATGTATATTCTATATATAGATTCTAATTATTTTTGAATATAAATTCTAATAATAAACCTTTGATATTTACTATTTTATTTTGTAAATTGAGTAGATATATTAGATATTTAAGGTAAATACTATCATTTCATATCAAATTTGAATCTCAATCATACATTAAATTTCTTATTATTTTATACATCTATGGTATGAAAACAATATTAATCCAATCTAAATATAGAGTTATATATCTGACAGGTTAATTTATAATACTAAATCATAAAAAAAGTAAAATTATGTTTTATTATCTGAAAACTCTGTATTGATTTTAAATTAATATTCATCAATAAAAGGATTTTTATTTTACTAAGAAATACTCTCATATCATAGTGCAAATCAATCTCTTTTATTATATAAAATTACATAAATATATTGATAAAAACTCTATTAAGAATTGTTAATAATTCCTATGATTTTTTGTTAGAAGATATTTCTAAATGTCCATAATACTAAAATATAAGTGTTCGATACGATGAATATTTTAAAGGCAATAGTTATATCTATAACATTTATAGAACTCTATAATGTATTAAATAAAAAAAGATATTTGATAGATCATGTTTGTATGAGAAAAGTACAAAAGTGTGGACAAAACCAATATATATTAACAGAAACAAATTACAACGTTGATTATTATAAATTATATATAAATATAAATGGATTTTGCTAGTCCTGCTTAAAAGAGATACCCGATTGAAAATATATTAAATGATGCAACATCCATGTTGAAGAAGGTATTTTAAAATTAACATAAAAGAATGGGAATAGAAAAGTTATTTTATTGCTAGATAAGCATTTTATGAGTTATTCTTAAAATGATGTTGCATCATTAAATATTTAGATCAGTAGAAGACTTTTAAAGGCAGCACAAAATTTATTAATAGAATATATACAAAGAGATAACTTATCTAAAGTGGATTTATTACTTGATAGAAGCAACTTATATATTGCTGTTTTATATATCAATATTTAAAAAAAATTGAAAAATGAGAAAGGAATAGAGTAATATGAAGAGTTAAACTCAGCTTAGATTGAATAAAAGATTGGACTAAATAGATTGAGATAAAGGATTCGATAAACTATATGTGTACCTGGCAATTTAATTAAAGCTACTCATTTGAATAGATTAAAAGAAAAAGATAAAAGTATTTAAGAATAATTAATATTAATAGTTAAGTTTTATATCAATGAATGTTGGGTTTTATTATTAAAATAATTGATAATATATGCAAAAATATTTAAATCTACAAATGAGATTCCAAATAGTTTGAGAATGATGTTTAAGATTGATTCATTTTTATCTATAAAAGAATTTCATAAACGAAAAAATATAGAGATGATTAAAGTTTAAGTAGAACATTACTAAAACTCAGGTTAATTATATCTTTAATTATGTGAATTCAAATTATCTTTGTAATAATACGATCTTGCTTTATAATTTTTATAAGATTTGATATTTGCAATTCTTAAAAAGAATAAGATTCCAAATGTAATTGATGATAATGATTTAAAACCAGTTGAATAATATATAATGAAAATTATTGTTATTCTGTATATAGAATCTTTATGTTATGAATATTTGTCTGAATATTCATAAATGAAAGAATGCATACATTTATCATAATGGTTATGTAGTGAAGTCTTGAGACTTGAGGATGAACATCAATTACATATATTGATTTATAGTCGAGCATAAGATATATAAAAATATTTTGAAGTCATTTTAGCTGAATGTGAAATAAGACATATTATTTTTTCATCTTTTTGTGATAATAATAATACTGAAATGAAAGCTATATCTGCTTAAGTTAAAGAAGATTACATGTAATTATTGAATGAAAGGTTTTTTTTTAAATTTCAATAACAAAAACTTAATAGATAATAATTTTATAAATTAAATTAGAAAACTAATTAATCTCCCTAACCATATTTACTTTATTCTGTACCAAAAGGTAGTAGAACAGAAAGAGAAACTACTCTACAATAAATTTCAAAATAATATTAATCATTTACAACATAAGATGGTATTGAATAATAATCAAGAAAATTTATAAATGTTGAAAGTGAAACTAAATTATTGAAATAAAATTCTTTATCTTCATTTTCTAGAAAAACAAGACCTACAGATTTTTCATAATATTGTAAAACTGAATAATCAGATTATCCTAAACTTGATTAAGAATTAGCTGGTGTAATTGTTAAATAATTAAAATAAGAGAAACCATTTTATATGTTATCTGATATTTAAAAAACTTGTTAAGATGAAATTTATGAAAATTAAAGATAATAATAGGATTATGAATTAGGAAAAGCAGTTCTTATGTTTAAAAAGTAATTTAGTAAAAATGTTATTACTGAACCTAAAGAAATTGATTCTTTAAAATAATTAAATAATTAAATTAAAACAGAATTTTAATTAATTTCAGGTTATTTGGAAGCATAAGAATAATTAAAAAGAAAGAAATAAAAATAAAAATTATTTGAATAATCTTAATAACCTAAATAAAAAAAATAAAGTCCTTTTAGAAAGATCTTAATAAAACATAGTAACACTTTAGGATTAAAATAAATCAAGAAAAAATTATAACATTTAGAAGAAGAATCTATTTTAATGAAAATGTATTAATAAATAAGTGATAAAAAAGAAGAAGAGAAAGAACAACCAAAACAAGAATAAATAATTAGAAAAATGATCTAAACTAATTTAAATGTAATATTATTTTATACTAAATTTTTTATAGGCAATTAAAGTTTTCATGGATGAAAATCAAAAAGAACAGGAAACTGCTTAAAATTAGCTAAGAAAAAGAAGACCAATTTCTGTATCAACATAAATGAAACCTAATATAAATTTATAAAGCACTTCACTACGAGATGTTATAAAAGATTTAGCAGGATCAACTTAATATCTTAGTACTAAAGGATAATCATCAAAAAATGCTACATCTTTAGTGGAATTGGCTAATTTAAAAAGAAAATTAAATTCAATTTAATTTAAAAGTCCTATTAGATACTCATAATTATTTAAAAAATAATAATGATAATATATATGTTATTATTTATATATTTTGTATAATATAAATATCTATTTAATAAAATTAAGTATTTTATTGTATAAATTAAATAAAAGTCATAAATTTCTATCAATTTTTCTAATAGTCATAATTATTGATTAATCCATTAAAGATTCATATGGTATAAGAATAATTGACTATAGTATTAATCTAACCTTTCTCTGAAGTGTTATAGCTCTTATTAAAATAACAGAATATAAGATTATTAGACAGCCAATTCCTGCACCAACATAATATTATAAAATCATCTCATAATCACTTTCCAAAATATCCAAAGTTGAGTTAATTATTGTATAATAGAACTCAAGTATTGCATAGCTTAAATCAAAGAAATATGGAAGAATAATTTGGATAAATTCAGGATTTTCTAAAAAAAGATTAGCATTTGTTAAATTAGTGTCTTTGATTCCATTTATTTCTAAAGTGTAATATGTATTAAGAATGGAAATAATTCTAAAGATATTTTAATATGTTACTATTAATAGATTCCATTAATACCATACTTGTATGTTTATTAATTATTCAATAATGATGTAGCTGAAGGATAAGTTGGAAAATATTAAAAAGTACCATTGTCATATGCACAAAATGGAAGAATATTTGGAATAATTTGACATAGATCTTTTTCATAAAGATTCAATAAACGATTCTTATTATCATCATTAATTTTAGATGATGCAACAATATCATTATAAATATTTGAATATATATCATCCATCTCTACAAGTAAAGGATTAAATGCTTATAATAATTCTTGATATTAAGTTTAAAAATATTTATCTCTAGTATTCAATTCTGAATTTAATGCAAAAACTTATAAGGTTTCTTCAATTAAACTCTATTAATTTTTAAGTAAAAAACATATTATCATAATTCCATCAAGATTTTATTTGAATTTCACAAACTCCATAGTTAATCTTAATTCTGGTAAATTATCATTCATATTTTAATTCATAATAATATATGCAATTAAAACAAATCCTGATAAGAATAACCATAAGAAAATTAAAAGTATTTTAATGTTTAAAATGGATAATGATGTATCTTAAATTCTAGATGATTTTTTTTGTTTTTATTGTATCATCTTTCCATTTTAATTACTCTTTGATAAATCGGATGATATTCTTAGACTCTAAAAACTGTAAGATTTTTTTGAATACCAAAAGCAATCTCTAAAATAGTTGATATTTTTGATTTGATGAGGATTACTGATTATTCTATTAAGTAAATATAAAGTCTTTGATATTGTTATTTCAATGTCTTTATCAGATATCTTACTGATCAACAATAATATAATTTATATGTATTTATAAGGTTGTTACCATTGATTTAATTGAATAATGAGGAAAATGATTATGATCCACAACATTATAGTTAAAAAGACTAATTATTCTATTTATGAATAATCAATAAAATTAAAAAAATCTTATTCAATTTCATTTACAATATTAATAGTAATATCTAATTAAGCTATTAAATTTCCTTTAAGAAATTCTAATAATGCCTCAATTTTGAAAACATCTTATTAAGTTTAATTTTGAATTTATAAATATTCGTTAATCTGAGAAGTATGTTCATTAACCATAATATCAAATTACAACATTGAAGTATTTTCTAATTAATAAATGTATTCATTAATTATTCTGATTGTTAAAGAAGGTAATTAAATATGAGAGAACTAATTCTTAAGTTCTAACATTAAATTTTATATTTCATTTCTTTTTTAAGCACTTTCATTTCTAATTCTATATTCATAATATTCTCCATATGATAAATTTAATAATTTATCCTATAACTATAATTAACTAATAGCTATAAATGTACAATATAATCGATTAAATCTTTAAGGCAATCTTACTAAAGGGATACTAAATTTTAATTCATCTACATTGTTCCTTTCAACAGATAATTCTACACTAACCAAAATTATAAGAAATAAAGAAAGACAAAAAGCATTATAAATTGCTTTTACTATACCATTTTAATATACAATTTTGTATTATAGATTTCTAATTAAATGATAGATTGAATTTTATGTTTTATCTGATGTTGCACTAGATCTTGATTAATTTTCAATTTAAATTTCAATTTATTTATTTCCAAATTCTCCTAACTCTATATTCTCTCTTTATGAACTACTCTTAATAATATTAGATTCATTTCCTTTGATATCTTCTGAGTCATCTTCCATCAATCCTTTTTGCATTAAGATTTCTCTATTAGATCTTGGAGATATTAAGTTACTTTCTTTATTTTCTTTATCTATCATTGAATGTTCTCCATTTTGGATATTTTAATTGAAAACTCTTACATCATCTTTTTCTTATCTTAATAATAATTTATTGATTATTGTTTAATTGATAATTAATTCTTGATGTAATTCATCCATGTCATCATCACTTAAAGAACTAATATTACTTTATTTTTAATGTGATCTTATTTTACTAATTGAACTATATGGACTTATTGTTCCAATGCTTTTTGGATTAATAAATTTTAATTATTTTTCAAAATATTCAGTAATTTATAAAATAAAAAGAGGATGATATCCTTACATTTTTTAGAATTATAAATTAAATGTCACTTAAAATCCAATTTAATTTTAAGTATATTATAAGATATTTTCATTTATGAAATCAAACATCTAAATAACATAATCAATCTCATAACATGATGGCTTAATTGATTATGTTTATTCAAATTATTAATTATTTTCTATAAAGAAATGTTATTTTTAATATGAATCATGAAATGATATTAATTCTTATAAATTTGTAATTGGTTGAATTTATGCTGTTTAAGTAAATAAAGTAAATTATTATGTATAATCCAATATAGATTCCATTTGTTAATTTATAATTATAAGTAAATCTTTGAACCAAAAATAGATATAAGAATTTAATATATTTTTATTAAAATCAGAATCATTTTAAATTAACAATTAAAGGACTTATTCTGAAAATCCCAATATTTTTCCAGATGCATCAAATATTATAAAATCATTATGTTCATAACTCTTCTTAAGTATTGCTGATAAGACATAATCATCCATTTCATCATATGAGGGTATTAATTATAATGTAACAAGAAATGAAAAACCAGAATAATATGATGGAAATACATCATGACTAGTATTAAATAACATTGACTCTCCTGTATTAAGAAATTAATTTAAGAATTTATCATGTTTAATTACAAGATATTCTGGTATTAATTAATTTAATTAAGATATTGATTTAAAGGATTCATCATTTGGAAATTTAAAATATTTTAAAATTTTACTCTTGTCTTTATTTAAAATCTATCCATGATTTTTCATCATGCTTATCTAAATAATTATAACATCATCATTCAATAAAGAAGTATTCTGAATATTTCTAGATAATACATTACGTTCTAAATTAAGTAAATCATCNTAATAATTTATTGATTATTGTTTAATTGATAATTAATTCTTGATGTAATTCATCCATGTCATCATCACTTAAAGAACTAATATTACTTTATTTTTAATGTGATCTTATTTTACTAATTGAACTATATGGACTTATTGTTCCAATGCTTTTTGGATTAATAAATTTTAATTATTTTTCAAAATATTCAGTAATTTATAAAATAAAAAGAGGATGATATCCTTACATTTTTTAGAATTATAAATTAAATGTCACTTAAAATCCAATTTAATTTTAAGTATATTATAAGATATTTTCATTTATGAAATCAAACATCTAAATAACATAATCAATCTCATAACATGATGGCTTAATTGATTATGTTTATTCAAATTATTAATTATTTTCTATAAAGAAATGTTATTTTTAATATGAATCATGAAATGATATTAATTCTTATAAATTTGTAATTGGTTGAATTTATGCTGTTTAAGTAAATAAAGTAAATTATTATGTATAATCCAATATAGATTCCATTTGTTAATTTATAATTATAAGTAAATCTTTGAACCAAAAATAGATATAAGAATTTAATATATTTTTATTAAAATCAGAATCATTTTAAATTAACAATTAAAGGACTTATTCTGAAAATCCCAATATTTTTCCAGATGCATCAAATATTATAAAATCATTATGTTCATAACTCTTCTTAAGTATTGCTGATAAGACATAATCATCCATTTCATCATATGAGGGTATTAATTATAATGTAACAAGAAATGAAAAACCAGAATAATATGATGGAAATACATCATGACTAGTATTAAATAACATTGACTCTCCTGTATTAAGAAATTAATTTAAGAATTTATCATGTTTAATTACAAGATATTCTGGTATTAATTAATTTAATTAAGATATTGATTTAAAGGATTCATCATTTGGAAATTTAAAATATTTTAAAATTTTACTCTTGTCTTTATTTAAAATCTATCCATGATTTTTCATCATGCTTATCTAAATAATTATAACATCATCATTCAATAAAGAAGTATTCTGAATATTTCTAGATAATACATTACGTTCTAAATTAAGTAAATCATCTATCCTTTATTCAATTTGAAATGTTATATGATAATCATTTAATACAGGTCCAAAAAGTAAAGATAATAAGCGTAAATCAAGAATATTTAATTTTATTATTTACTTTGAAATCATAAGTATATCTATTTCCATATCTGTAAATACAAGATTTTTTAATTCTTATATCTTGTCACTTAAACCTATACATTACTAAGCTAATTACTCTATTCTATCATATCCAATTGATAATGATTCTAAAAATTTATTTTTTAAATCAAGAATTTATATTATTAAAGGTATACATGTCTCAATTAATAAATGACTTTATTTAATTTATTATATATCTAATCTTCCTTAAATAGATTTTAAATCTTAATTTATCTTATGTGTTATTAATTTTGAACAATATATTTTTATTATTTAAAAATATAAAGATTAATAAGATGATTAAATTTAATGTTATTTTAGTTGGATATAAGCCAAATTCAATTTTTCTTGTGTCTAAAATATGAAAAATATTTTATATAATTGTAATTCCTCTTCTCTAAATTTCTTTTATTAAGAATAAGAGTCATATAATCTTAATATTAGCATTAATATATAATAATTTTGTTATGATTCTATTATCTACTTATTTGGCAATATTTTATATTTATTTTTAAGTATAAATAATATCTTACTTTATGCTATGGGATTGTTAGAATAGAATTCATCTGCAATTTGAAATAATAAACTTTTCGAAAGTTAATTTTATTCTAAATTTATAGAGTATGTGAGGATCAAAACTCTTTTCATTAATAAACTTAAAAGAGGGACAAGCATAAAACTATAAAATAGATATTCTTTCTAATTCATATTGATGGATAAACATTTAATAACTGAACCAAATAGTAAAATAGAAGAACAGAAACAATAATTCAAATTTATTTACATTGAATAAGGTTAGTTAAATATAGAATCTATCAATTACATTAAAAATAAGAGCATCATTATCATTGTTTAAACAATTTCTTCAAAATATGGTATGCTCATTAAAATGACAATTTCAATAAAATTCTGTAAATAATTTTGTATTCTATATCTTTTTGTAAATGGATTTTATATTGGTAATAAGTAATTTCGTTAAAAATATGAAAATATCATATAATTTATAAATATCGGTATTGTACAACACCAAACTAAAATATTCTTAGGATTCTAGTTTTAAATTTAATAGATATATATGAATGAAGGATAAAGTATCAAAATTTGAAAATAAGTGTAATATATATTTTGGTAGTGTTTCAAGAAATTCCATTATTTAATCTCAAATACTATTATCAAGATAGAAAGTATATGAAAAACCGCTATAATAATAACAATTACACTTTTAATAGTTGATTGTTAAATTTAACTTATTGGGGTTAATAAATGAAACCAATTAATAAAATTTTTAACAAGGATCAATTCTTGGTCCTAAATTTAATTTGTATTAAATACTTAATACTTCTTCTCATTAAATTGATCAAATCTCAATATGAGACTAAATCTTATTCCTGTGTACATGAGCCAAACAAAGTCAGGATTTAAGTATGTCTATTATTTCTATTCTCTGATGATCTCATATAAAGTACATAATTTTCTTTTAAATAATATAGTATTCATTAATTTAATCAATATTATAGCTTTTTCATATTATAATTATTTTCTGTTTTGAATTCTGGATGAACCTTTGAAAATGACTTATGATTAGTCATCAAAATCTACTATCTAGATTATTATTGCATTATATTATAATGATAACGATAGATAGAAATGTCAAGTTACTTTGCAGACATACTAAAATATATATTAATAATACATTTGATTAATTTGATACATATCAGAATTTTGTTATTATTAATTTTCTATCCAAATTTTTTTTGCTTCTTCTGCAGTAACTGGATTTCTTCTATCATAATCATCCAAGAATGTAGGACTCTTGGCATCATATGAATCTTCAGTAGCATTATCTATTCCTATCTTTAAAATAAATTCTAAGACTCTTTCTTTTGGAAGCAAATAAAAAATGGAACAAATAATGAAAGAAATCCATGTTGACCAATGCATAGTCTTAAATATTGTATATTCCCATATGCAATTGCCTAACTGAATATATAATAATCAATTATTACACTGTAAATCAGTATCAAAAGATCTATATAGAATTCAACCATAGCTTAAGCCATATCACTACCTGTAGGTAAGGGTTTTGAATCTCTTCTTAATAATAAGATCTTTTCAATCCAATAAATTCCCATGATACTCACAAGTGCAAAAAAAGAACATGCTGGTAATAATGGAGCATAGAAAAGAGCCATCAATAAAGTCTTTGCTATTGCTGGATACTTTTCTGCCAAATTAATCATTGGACCCTCAAATGCTCTTGTTTAAGAGGATGAATGTACTCATTAGCTTATTTTTGTGTTAATTTACAATTTGATCCCAATTATTTGATCTGTCGACGTATAAATAACTTCTTTAGATGTTCAAAATCAACAATAAACATGAACCAAGGCATAAATGAATCTGTCATAAATATCCACATCACATCTGAATTCAGACCTCCTTTTTGATACATTGTATTTAGAGTTGTTTCATTTTGACCTTTAATTAAGATATTAACTAAAAGAGTTAATATTGCTACATTAATAAACTCAGCCAAACCTATCTTCTTAGCTATACTTATATCATATTCAGTTTTAGTAGAATGCTATTCTCTTATAATTAATTTGATAATTGTAGATGATAAAATACTATTTATAAAGGAAATAATGAGTGAGGCTAAAAAACCTAGAAAATTGATAATTACAGCAGTTGTTGTAGGATCATAATCAACTTATGCATTTATGTATTCTTACATATAAGATAATCCAAATATCATGGCTAACCCTATAGCTAATAGAGTTGCTGTTACAACATTTGTAGTCACTATTCTTTTATATTATTCTTTTATTTCTATACCTAAATTTTCCCATAATACATCACCAGGTAAAGGTGCTTTTCTAACTATTATTGAATTTCCAAGAAACTTTCTATTTTAATATTTCTTTATATTAAGTTGTTCTAATAATAATTAGAATTTAGTCTATTTAAATTAATCACAAACTATATCAGCATGTTTTTCATAATTGAATGATAAAAAGATAACACCTGTAAATCTGAAAATAACATCCTTATATTTATCAACATAATCTAATTTTTCATGTATTTCTTTAATTTTCAATAGAATTTCTGTTTTTGATTTAGAAGACTTCTTTTTTTATCTTTCCAGATCCAAAACATGTGATAATTCTGCTTATTGTTCCTCTAATTCTATTTTTAATTATAAAAATGGCTTCACTTCATAAGCCATACAAATCTTTCTCAATTCCAATTCTTCCATACCTTCCTCTTACAAAAAGTAAGATCTAATATCTTCTTTTTTACAATTTTTTGGAGCATTGTAAATCATAATAGAATAATCAGATGCTTCTATTTCTGCATCATCAATTTCTAAACAAATTTTATTAATATGTCTTCGATAGATCAAAGTAGAGATCATCAACATAATCAAAGTTGCAAAATTTAAGTAACTAGCTACCACATCTAACTCTCTTAATTAATTAGATGCTCATTACTTATATACATTAGATCTTGAAAACTTATTGTAAATATCTTCTTCACATCCAGAATGTGTTTCTCTATTCTCAATCTAGCATCTGAATCCTTAACTATTATCATAAAAGGTATACACTCCTACTATTGATCTATATAATTTATTACACTAACATGTAGATGAGTAAAATTATTTGTGAGTAAATCACAAAATCAAAGTACAGAACTATTCCTGATCCTATGAAACTGAATTCTGATATAGAAACACATATTGGAAGGATTTAGTTTTTGTATGGATATCCACAACATGGACAGACACTTCCTTTATCAAAATCAGTAAAAGGCATTGGAGCTGCAAATCTTTTAGCAATACCATGTTTTTTGGCTTTCAATAGGTTTGGCGGTCTTTTATATTCATCATGATCTTATTCAGTTTTCTTCATCATATGTATATCAATTAAATAAAAATATTTATATTAATTAACTGGTTATGCATTGATCATTATTTATTGTATTAAAGTAAATTACATTATTTTAGTATATTAAATTTATTGTAATTTATTATTAATAAATAGATTGAATTACGTCGTGTTATTATATATAAATTCTAGATAAAATCATTATGTTTAAAGATACCATTAAATTGATGGTAAATATTTAAATCTAATAACTGATGTAGTAGCAGATGTAGATGGAAAAGTAGAAAAGAAGATGTCAAAAGATAGTCCAAAAATAATTATTTATGTCTAATTTTAAGAGCTAAAATAGCAGTCTTTACTTATTGATTTTGATATAGTTACTGAGCTAATACTATTTAATTGTAAGAACTTGATCCTTGGTATGATTCTCTTAAAGTATTTTAGAATTGGATGGTTATAAAACCTGAATAATTTTATTATGCAAATTATTAAATTAAATGTTCATATATTATACATTTAATGTATGTTAAAAATCATTTCTCAATTTTCTAAAAGAATGGCTCAATTTCCTCATTTAATTATAAATACACTTTCTTAAAATCCTTCTCTCTATAACGACCTCCTTTTGGTGATCTCTTTATTGCTCCCATATAATTAATAGTATTAACTTTATCAACATTCAATCCATATACTTTATTTTAAATATATTAAACATACATTTAGTAAAGTATTGCTTTATTTCAGGTTTATTCAATGAATATTTATATGGTTATAATTTGAATGCTACAACATTTTTCTCTAATTGCTTTTCTGCTCTATGTAATACTACAGATTGATCAAATAATGTTTCAATTGGTGTAGCTCTCTTGAAATTAGAAGTAGTTGCAATCTTAATTCCTTTTGGATTCAAAAAATATTCTCTAAAATTCAGAATTTTTTGCATTTATATTTTATTATATATTTTTATATATATTAATCTTTATTCTTTTTAATTCTTTTTCTCTTCAAATACTTGTTACTTCTATTTAAACTATAATTTCTTACATACTAATTTATGAAATTAATATTTTTAATTTTGTGAATATCTAAAAAATGTCCTTATTTGATAAATATTTAATAGATAACCAAAATAAAATTAATCATATATATAATCTTATTATTTTAATTATATGCCCTTTTCTCTTATTTTTTGAATATCATACATAAATAAAAGAAGTGATTTTTATTTCTTATTGATTCATTGATAAATAAATTTTTTGTGTTAGATTCTCTAAATATATATCTTAATATCACTCCATCTCTATCTAATATATAAATCAATTTTAAGCAGTCTAATAACTAATGATTCTAAACTTACACATTTATAATATCTGAGTTCTGAATATTAAAATCGATTATTCAATAATTAATTATTAATATATTGAATAATAAATTGAGAAAGAATTAAGGTCATTAAAAGATTTTATCTAGTTATTTTTATTAGTTCTTAATATTAAAATTCCCTTTCTTTTGTGTCATAGGAGAATTTCTGAGAAAAAAAGAGTATTCATCAAAAGATTGGTTACTTTAATCTTTCACAAAGAGGTTCTCTTTACAATTTGATTCAATTTGTTTCTGTAGGATAACAACAATTCAATAGTTTCTTCCTTTATTAAAATAATGAATTATCATCTAAATAATTCTAAACAATGATTAATCCATTTTAACGAATTTTTAATATTTCTGCGACTCTAAGCCATCTTAATTAAGTTTCAGTTGAAATGTGCTTTTTTAATCACTCTACCACTCTAGATCAATAATACAAAAGTTCTCTCCTCAAGAATTTCTTCATTTTATTTGATGATCATCTAAAATATTATTGAATTAGTGTGTCAATCAATTGTATTTTTTACACTGAAAGTTAGTATTTATCCCTATATAATATTTTCTCTGTAATTTAAACTCTTTTTGACTTTCTTTTTAGAACTTTTCCTAATTTTCAGATTATAAAAATTAATTATCGTCATCTTCTTAATCAAATTATTGATATTCATTTTATTCAAAAATTCATTCATTTCTTAATTCATTATTTATATTTATATTAATAATTCTCTATTTATAATTTGAATAAGCACTTTTAATTCATTAGATTGAATTATCCAATAGTATTTTCTATTTAGTCATAATAATTTAAGTTGATTTTATATCAATTTTAATGAATAGAGATAAACAATGTACATCTATTATAAAATAATACTTTTTATATTTTTAAAATAGTAAATAAACTGAAAATAAGAAAATAAGAAAATTTGCTTTTCTAAATATATGATATTATATAAAATAAAATTCACATGATTAAATATACAGAAATTTTAATTGTAATTGTAATTTTTAATTATATCTCTATTTTTATCATTTTACAAATCAGAATAATGGTGTAAAGATCTTTTCAAATTTGGTTTGTAACTGACTTAGCTGATGATGAAATTAATTAACAAAGGATGTAGTATATAGAATTTTAGTACTAAATTTTCATAAATATTGAATGAAAAGTCTAATTTCCTTATAAAGGAAAGCTTATTCAAAGGTTTTAATATAGGATTTATAAAAAGAATTGTTTCTCCTTTTTAGTATTACTAAAAATCAGATTATTTCTAACAGAATGAATCTGATTTACTTAATAAGTTTAATGATTCGCTCCAGGAATAAAGATCTTAGTAGATAAAGCATGAGGAACAAACCATTAGAAATAAACAACATCTGTTATTCAAACAGTATTAGTCTTAAGATGCCAAATATATTTAATTTTTACAGCAAAACCTAAATAAAATATAATAACTAACAAAATTAGCCAGTCATGTTTTAAGAAATAATTGCCAAGATTATGAATGTAAATAATAAGATTCTATGAGCAGCTCATTATCATCATAAAAACTAATAGGATTCAATTCTTATTAATTTTAATTAAATGTTTTATCATTAAGATATAGGGAGCATAAATGCTGTGTGACATTTTTTTTTTTAAATAACATTTTAATTAAATTAACAAATACAATGGGATCTTGTTCCTCAAAAAAATTCCAAACATACTATTCTACAACTAATTAAAGCTAAATCACTTTGGATTAACCTTTTCATAGAATGTCATGGGTTAATAAATACATACAGTAACCATAAGAACGAACAATTATGCCTTACAATCCAAACAGTAGATATTAGTTTTTATTCATATAGGTCTTGAATATTAGTATAACGTGGAAGTAGAAGGTGTAATATTTGATGTTATTGCTCCACCAGACTTTCTAGATGATGATAATTTGGAGCCATTCGAAAATGATGAGTGACTTTCCTTAGTTCATGATGCTAACTATATTGTTATTCATAATTCAAATCAATATTCAAGCTAAATTCAATTCAAAGTCCTTTCATAAAAAATTCTAAATATATATTTAGACATACAAAGTCTTGTTTTGTATAAATTTATTTCAAAATAATATTAAAATACATGGATCCATCTACATAATTGTGAATTAGATGTCTCATCATATAATTGTATGTTTAATCGTTAAACATTTTCTAAATTTAATAGAGAATTTTTAATAATTACATCCATTTATAAATTGTAAAATATTCACGATCCAATTAGACAATGCTCAATATTTAAACAACTTGCAAATATCATAGTACACCATAATAGTTTATTATATTTCTTATTAGGTATGAATAATTATCTGATTAGAATTAATCTAATTTTGTAATCATCCTAAATTTGTTAGTTTTAGAATATTATAAGTTTTTAAGGATGGTGAATGATAAAGAAGTATATAGAGCAAACGTTCAGTTATATATATATGGAAAAGTTTTGAAAAATTAGCTAAAGTCAAATTGCCAATTAATAAGTTAATAATCTTTATACGAAAGAATATTCTAAACATTCTTTACATTAATTAATGATATAAAAATTTTCATCAATTGAGTATATTAAAGAGTACATTAGCCTAATCTATTACAAAGGTGTACTAATTAAATAATCAAAATATCATTGGCATAGTTTCTTTATTCAAATTATAATTTGTTTGTAATCAAGAAATTTAGAAAATATTAATTCTTAATATAATCAGTTTTTGATACAAATACAAAATGTAGACTAATTATTTGTGTTAGACATTATAAACTTTTGACTGTATTAGTATAGAATATTAAATTCTTAAGATTAATAATATATCCATAGTATTAGTTTATTTAATATTTATCATAAAAATAAATACAATTAATTATTTGAGTTTATATTGTTATATTTCAACTATTATTGATGATTAAATAAATAATTAAATAAATAGATTGTATATAATAATTAGTTGCTTTTTCAACTTTATATGTAATTGCAGTAAAAAGCTTCAGTTATATTCCATCTTGCCTCCATATTGTATGTTAGACATTTAAGAATAAAATCTTTGCAATCTTGAGATACTGTTGGCTTTTATGGGAATTTTACTTAAAAAGAATTTAAGATAACTCTTTCCTAAAGAAGATACTATGTTATTATTACTTGAGCAATTCTTTCTTAAGACATACCTTCACCAAAAGGTTTTCTTCCAAATACCATTTCAAATAGTATCACTCCTATTGACCACACATCTACTTTTGTACTTATTTATATGTTTGGTTATTCCATAAAACATTCTGGGGGTAAATACCAATAAGTTCCTAAACCTTGAGATGTTAATTCTTATCTTGTTGTATCTTAATCCAAAACTTTACATAATCCAAAATCTGTAAGTTTAACTTCTCCTTTATGAAATAAAATATTTTATGGTTTCAAATCATAATGAATAATTTTAGTTGGACTGCAACTCATATGATGTAAGGCTGCTAAAACCTGTCTCAAAATCAATTTAGCTTCCTTTTCTGCAATCATTTTATATTTCTTCAAATGTTAATTTAAATCAGTTCCATCACAGTATTCAAGTACAGTGCTTTTTCTTATTATACATAAATGTACCAAAAAGAGTCTTAATCTATTTCTTAAGTATCATATAATGATACAATATTGACATGTTTCAATCTCTTATGAATATCATTTTCTCTCAAAGCATGCTTGATGTAATTATTTTTAGCATTTTCATTCCATTAAGGATTTAAATAATGTATTTTACATGCACATAATCTATATTCTTATAAATCAAAAGCTTTATAAACTTCAGAAAATCCTCCTTTTCCCAATAATCCTAATGTTTAATATCTTTAAGCTATTAATGGCCATCTTGGATCTGCTCTATAATATCGACAACTAAAGTTTCAATCAAAATTACTTTTATTCTTCCATAAATCTTCTTGTTTTATATGCTAATTATTATTTCTCTTCTTCTAATTTAGTTAATTTTAATTTCAATTCTTCCTCCTCCTTTTTTAATATACTTAATTAAAATTAAATTCTTAATTTCTTTTAATTTGCATCTAAATCTCCATTTATAAAATCTAATTCAAATAATTTATTCTATTTATCCTTTTGATTTTTTGTTTAAAATTTATCTTTTATTTCATTTTTCTATTTCTCTAATGAACTTCTTTCATTTTCTAACTTTTATAATGTTTCTTTAACTTATTTTATTTCATAACCATCTTACCATTCTTCCACAAATCTTACATTGTTCCTAGAACTTACAAACTCTCCTAATCGATATCTTTCCCTCTCTAAATATTCTCTCATTTTTTCCCGCTTTAATTCCTCCACTTATTTTAATGCTTCTGCAAATACATCTTAAGTACGCTTTTTAAAAGCATTATGTTATAAAATTAATTCTTAACGTTCACTTTCTAATTATTATTTCTCTTATCTTAATTGTTTCTCAATTTGTTCTTTTTCTAATAATTTCTATTACAACTTGCTAGATTCTTCATCTTATGGTTTTTGAATGGGTTACTAAACTATTTTTACTTCTTTTGATTTCATATAATTGGTTATATCATTTGTGTTCATTTTTTATTTGCTTTCCTCTAAGTTTTTTTACATCTAAGTCTTTCCTCCATTACCCGCTTCATTACAAATCTCTTTTGTATTTTTTAAATACTTATAGATCTTTTAACAATTTGGTAAATTTGCAGGAACTTGAGGAAAATTATCATTAGATGATTCTTCATCACTTTTTGATTTTGTATTCAATTTTTTTTTAGAAATTTCATTTTCAATTTTTCTTTTTTTCATTTATTTTTATCTATCTATAGAATTTTCAGGATTCTGATTAAAATAATTTGTAATTAGCTTTTAACCAGAATTTGATTATTGAATTTCTTCTGACATTTTAGGTTGTATTTAATTATTAAAATAAAATTGAATTATTATTATTCTCTTCTTAGAATGATAGAAAACTATTCTTTAGATTCATACATTAAATAAATATATATAAAAATAGTTAAAATTATTAAGAAAAATCAGAATTTATCTTTCCATTAGATTCTAATCCCTTCACACCAAACTCCTGGTCTTATAATATCATTAACTACAAGAACTCCATCCCCATGTTATTTTCCATTCTTCCAACTTCCCTTATATCTAGTATTTTCATCAATAATAAACTCTCCCTCACCATCCTTTAAATCATTTTTATATTATCCTTTATATGATCTACCATCTGGCCATTTAAATTCTCCATACCCATGCATTTAATTATTTTCCCAAGCTCCTTCATATTCTTTTCCATCACTCCATACAAACTTCCCTTAACCATGTAAAAAATTATACTAAAATTCCCCTTTATAACTAAATAATAATAAAATAAAATACTAATTTTTATTTGAATAAAAACATTCTCCTTCTCCATGTTTCATCGAATTAAGAAATTAACCTTTATATATTGTACCATCTGGATATTCCTCACTTCCATCTCCCTCTTATTTATCTTCTATCCAATTCCCTTTATATATTGTGCCATCATTATGTGTATACACTCCAAAACCATGACATTTATCATCTAACCAATCTCCTATATAAACATCTCCATTTTAATGTATTAATCTACCTATACCACATGCTTTATTTTATTACCAGAATCCCTCATAAACTGAACCATCTGGCCAAATTTACTTGCCTTTACCCCATTTCATACCATTTTTCCATTAACCTATATAGATAGCTCCATCAATTAATCTATGTGGTTCTAAGAATGGTAGTTTTTTATCTTCATCTGTAAATTGAAAATTAGTAGATCTTTTATTTGGATCATCTGAATTAATGAAATCATTATAACGAAATGGACCAAGTTTATATAAGGCTTTTTAAACAGTTAAAGCATAATCTGTAGGTGTTTAACTTAGTTTTTAAGCAATTTCTGGTTTTGGATGATGAACAACTGGAGATTCTTCTGTTTTAATCTTCATTTTATGATATAATTTTCTAGCTTTATATCCTTTGTAATGCTTTTAAATTTTAAGAGCAAATAGATCATATTCTTTATTATCTTCTTTAATAAGTTCAGGAGGGATAAAATTTTCGAATTTTTCATGTGAGTGTGTGCAGCAAACACCCATATTAATATCTGTTTTATTTGTTTTAATATTAATTATTAATATATATAATGACAAAATGATGTCTATTTATCATAAAATCTAGGCCTATGCTTTCAACATATTAATTTCATTTTCATTTATTTATATTTATTATTTCAATTATTCTATTCTCTTAATCCTTTATTATCCAACTAAAAATAGTTGATTCATCTTATCCTTCATTAAGTTCATTGATTTAAATAGACATTCCATTTCCTCTTATTCACTCTCATGAATGTCTGCACAAGCCTCACAGATCTCCACCTATGATTACCTAAAAACACTAAGCATTTAGCAAACTGGACATAATGCTTCAAAATCCTTCCCACCAAACTATTAGAAACATTCATCACATAAGCCTTATGAACATTTAACACAAATCAAAACATTTTCATTGCTTTCACACTATTAACAACATTATTATTTATTCATTTAACTTAATAATATTCATTTTGTAAATAATGATCTTTTCTAATCTTAAAATTTTAATTAATGCACTGCTTCCTCATCCAATCCCCAAACCTCAAATTCTTAGATTTAGAACTAAACTTCACTAGACAATACTTCATTATCAAATGTTTCACTTGGATTAGATTCCCCTTTACTAAATGAACTGCTTACAAATAAACCATATCTATGTTACTATAATAAATTTATTTTACTTATCTCCTGCTCCAATACTAAATCCAGTCTCATCAGCCATCTGATAACATCTATTTTTTTGAGTTCCTTTGAATATCCTAGTATGATTATATAGACAAATAAACAAAAATGATTCTCCTTAACCAAAAAATTCATTCTTAGATAATCTCCAAGAACTCAATAAGAATCCTCCAAATACTTTCTTACCTTAATCCTTAATGAGAATTACATGAGGACCAGCATATTCTGTTCTCCTCAAAAATTCTTAATAAGAACTACCTACATATTAACATTCATTTACCATGTCTATTTATAGAAAATAATAAGAACCATGGTTTAGTTTACAAATAAGATGGCATACCACCTGCTATTTCTAATACTTATTTCATAGAAATTATTCTACTCTCTTCACTCAAACTAACCTTAGCCTACTCTTTTGGTTATTATTATTATCTAGCCTTACAAACTTCCATTGATCCATTCTTTTCATTTATTTCAACATAATTGAAATTATAAACACTACTTAAACATTCTAAATTTGTTTCCCCTTTTTTCACTCTTATATTGAAAGAGTCTCCAATATATTATTCATGTTCATATTAAAGTTATTGTATTAAATATGTAAATGCTTCCATAGTTATCATTCTTTTGCTCTTTCCTTTCATTTACCACAATTCTCTAACAAATGTCTTCACTGTTTTTGTTTCTCCTTTTATAGCTTTTAATTCAATTAGAAGTTTCTTTTGATTTTCAGGTACTCGATTACCACAAATACCCCATATAATAATTTACATTAATTCAGCTATTGGATTGAATATTATTTTGTAAATCTCATTTACATATATAGAAAAGTTTAAATGATCTTCCTTACCTTTTTATTCCTTACTTAATTTCTTTGAATTAACTGTAAAAATCAAATAATCATAACAGATTTACAAATTTCCATGTATATGATCTCTATCCCACATATATAGGATAGGTATTGATATATTTATGGATTTAAGCAAATCGCGTTATATAATGCGCTTATTATCATATTACAATAAAACTTCTTAACCAGGAATCAAATGACAATGTTCTAATTTATTAGCTTTTTTCAATTTCCACACATTACAATTATTGAGAATAGCAATGTCGATTAAGGTTTGGCCTGGTTAAGCTAAACATTTTTAATTACATTGCATTTTTTATATTAATTAATAATATGGATCCATTAACAAGGTACAAAATGAAATTAGAAAAAGATAAATAACATTTGCAAGAGTATGAAAGAATTCAAAAGGAAAAAGAATTATTGAATGAGATGAAGTTAAAATAAAAATATGAGAAATTTAACAATATCCAACAGAAATAGGAAAGATAAAAGGAAATAGCAAGACTCAAGGCAGAATTAAGAAAAAATCATTTAGATAAAACCTTATTTTAAAGTTAATAAATTGAAAAAGAAAAGTTAAATGTATAATTGAAATTCTAGATTATTTAGGGGTATAAAAAAAAAATAGCTAAAACTCTTGATTCTTTAGAAAAATATGAAAATGGATACCATAAAGATTTTCTATCATCTTTGCACAGAAAACTTTCAAATCATTCTCATTAGATTGAATGTGTAAAATAATAAAGTGAAGTAATATTAGAAAGTAAGATTAATAAAGTTAATCAATCTCTTGAACTTCGATTCAAAAAATCAGAAGATGTATTAATTTTTAGATTAGTTTAGGTCTTATCAAATCTTTCTAAATAAAATAGTGAAAGAAAAAAAAGTGAAAAATTGAAAGTTGAAACTTATTAGTAATTGGTTCAAAAACATTAAGAGAAACTTTAATAGACAAGAGATTTGAAAGCATAATAATTTGAAGAAAAATTGAATAAAGTTGAAAAGCTTTAAAAATTAAAAGAATAATAATAAAAAGAGAAATAACTATTAAGATTAGAAGCTGATAAATTAAAAGAAAAAATGAGCAAAGAATTTGAATTAGAATTAGCTGTAAAATATAATATTATATATTTTTTTAGAAAATGAAGTCTAAATAAATTAAACTAATATAGAATTGATTATGAATTTTGTCATCAATCATTTTTATACTAATCTTTTTTATTTGATTCAATTTATGATGATATTTTTCTTTTTTTGCAATTTTTTCAATTACAATTATTGTATTTGTAATTTCTTATTGTTATTGAATAGAAATAGCATTAGATTATTTATATAAAGAATATGATAAGGATTTAAATTTTTTGCGAACCTTTTGAATCTATAATTTATAATTTAATACATTTTATAATATTTGTTTATATTTTTAAATATTGTGAATATAAGTAAATTATTTAATTAACAGACAATTATTAGAATGGATCAAAAATAAAAGGTTCAATCATTAATGAACAATTATGTAAAGAAAGAAATCAATAGGTCAGGAGTGGTGAATGTAAAAATTTACTTAAACAATTAATTATAACATTCGATCTAATTTCCAACTTTAAATCAAACTACATAAAATTTAGTGAATCATTTAAAAAATTTGTTAAATTCACCATTAGTAGTTGGATTTTAAACAATAGATTAAAACATACCTTTGGATTTCTATTTAACATAGAATTAAGATTTAGGATTTCTTACAAATTAGACAATATAATTAAAACCCTTACATGCAATATAGTAAGCTCTAATAACTTTAGATTCATTTTATTTTTTACAATGTATAGGTGTTGGTGGTTTTTCAAGAGTTTATTTAGTTAGATGTAAATCAAATGGTTAATTTATGGCATTGAAAATGATATCAAAATAATTCATTTAAGAACATGATAAATTTTAAATAATATAAAATGAAAGAAATATAATGGTTGCTTTAGCAGAATAAAGTGATTCACATCCTTTTTTATGTAAATTATTAAGTGTATTTGAAACTAAGAGTTGGGTTTGTTTTGCATTAGAATATTGTCCTGGAGGAGAATTATTTTAATAATTAAAAAGAGTAAAGAGGATGGATGAACAATAAGCAAAATTTTATTTTAGTTAAGTTTGTTTAGCTATTCATCATTTACATGAGAATGGAATTATTTATAGAGATATAAAACCAGAAAATATTTTAATAGATTAAGATGGTAATATAAAATTGGCTGATTTTGGTTTAGCTAGACCTAATATGAAAGATGATTTATTGGCTTTTTCATTTTGTGGATCTCCAGAATATATGGCACCTGAAATGTTATTAAAGTCAGGTCATAATTATTAAATAGATCATTATTGTTTAGGAGCTTTACTTTATGAATTATTGACAGGTTTACCTCCATATTATTCAAATACACCAGAATAGATATATAAAAACATTCTTTAACATGAATTAACATTACCAACTAAAAATTGTAGTGTTGAATCTAGAGATCTTATGTAGAAATTATTATAAAAGGATGTATTTAATAGATTAGGGAAAGAATTTGGAATATATGAAATTCTAAAACATCCTTGGTTATAGGATAAATAATTATATAAAATTCTTAATAGAAATTATGAACCACCATTTAAACCAGATCTTATGAAAATGAATTTTGATTAAAATGAAATAATTAGAGGAGAGAATAATTTTTAGAGAGATCTTCAAAAATCATTGAATTCTGAAAATGAAAATGTCTTTACACCTTTTTTCTCTAATTTCTATTTTTCTTCAATAACATAAAAACCTTAAACAAGATCATCTTCAATAACCTAAATAAATTCATCAAATATAGATGAAAAAATTAATAATCTATTAATTAATAGTAAGGCTAAGAATGTTATTTAAACTCATACAGCATCATAACCTAATATACATTGTTAATTAAAATAAAAAAAAGTATCTTAAGAAAGAAGTTCTGATAATAACAAAGAAAATATAATGAAAAATTTTAGTTCTTTAATTACAAAAACAAGCAAAAAACATAAAAAAAATAATTAAAGTATGCCTGATCAAAGTTGTGCAGTCTCTTCTGAAATGAGATCACTTTCAACTTAGAAAATAATTGAGTCATAAAAGGTACCATCAACATTTAATACAACTTTATTAAAATCATAATTTACAGAAACTGATGATGATTCAAGTGTTAATAAAACACATAAAACTCTTTTTGGAGAAGCTAAAAGTTTGAATAAAAACTTCACTAATTAATGCACATTATTGAGATTTTTCAAATAATGAAAATATTTCAATATAAATAAAGCATCATTATTAAATGTCTCTTATATTTTATTAAACTATCTAAATATATATATATATATTTCTAATTTTTATCAATTTTTATTTATCTTATTATTTCAAATATCAAAGTATAAATATTTATAATTCAATAAAGTAATTTAATATAAATATTTTCAATATCAATATCAATATCAATTTTATAAGAATTTCTAAATTATTTAATCAAATAAATGTATAAGAGTAAATGCTAAACTTAAATAAAAAATATAAAACTAAAAATATTAAAATAAGAACTATTTGTAATTAAAGTTTTGATTATAAAAAAATAAATTTTGTAAAAATAAAGTTAATTTTTTATTAATAATGTATGAACTTTTTAGATTTTTAGATAATAATTTTAAATTGTTCTCAACATGAAAATGTTGAAAAATATATTTAATAATACTTTTTTAATTAATTATCACAACTTCTATTAATGTAATTAAAACCATAATTAATGTTGTCTTCGGATGATAACTTAGATGATTACAAAGATCCTAATCTAGATGAAAGTGTTGATGATGTTGCTTAAATCAAAAATGATTTTTATGAATAGAAACCTTAAAGATTAAGTCTTCCTGAAAGTTTGAGTTAAAACATGTTAACATAAATTCAAGAATTCCCTATATTCCCTCCTCATCAAGAACTTTAAATTAAAAAAGCAATTACCTAAAAAGAAAATAGGAAATTTACAATCAGAGTATACTATTTTGTAAAGAGGTTCTTAACAAAATTATCAGTAAGTAGAAGACATAAACTCTTCTTCAAAAGTGTACATTTTTAAATTGTAGGAGATAAAGCAAGTGGAGAAGTTGAGAATTTAGTGTCAAATTCATTTTCAGTTAGGAAAAAGAAGAAAGGCTAATAAAGTTTTACATGTTATAATCCAATAACAGAACTATTAAGAATAATGCCAATCATATATCCTCAATCAATATCTAAAATAATTTGGGACTTATGTTTATGCTTTGTACTAATATATTTTTTCATAATGATCCCTCTTGAATTAGCATTTAATACATCATTAATGTATACGCAATCCATTTGGTTGACTACACCATTTTATCTATTTTTAATATTAGACTACCTTATGAAAATGAATACTGTATATTATGAATATGGATAACCAATTGTAGATCGTTACTTAATTTTTAACAATTATCTCAAAAAAGGTTTAATAATAGATGGTATCTCTTTGTTAGTACTCTTATGTGGATATTTTAATGATTATTTCTTTTAAAGTAGATGGTTAAATTTATCATTAATCACTTTCATTACACAATATCATTATTTTGCTAAAATAATAAGGAATATAGAAGAATCAATTCATTTAAGCAAAATTTAATCATCAATTATGAATTTAGCCAAATTGTTATTTACAATTCTATATTTTCTACACATATATAGTTGTCTTTGGTATTTTATAGGTTCATATGCAAATGATATAGGAATGGTTAATTGGTTGGACAGTAGACATTTATCAGAAGCTTCTTATGAAGTAAAATATTTGGAGGCATTTTATTTTTCGACTGTAACTATGATTAGTGTTGGATATGGAGACATAGTTCCATTAAGTATAGAAACTTCATTATATATTATTAGATTCTTTAGAGAAGATTTGTACAATATTATTTATGTTTACAACATGTGTATAGTTATCATTTAGTGTAAATACAGTAGGAGAAATATTAAATTCAATAAGTTTATCTGCAGAGAACACTACTGAAAAAATACGAATAATTAATAAATATATGAGTAGAAAGCATATAAGTTTTGAATTGCAATATTAGTATCAAATATTCTATTAATAAAATTAGAATTAGAGAATATATTAAAATATATTGGAGTTAATAAATGTAATAGGAAAATGAAGAAGAAGAAAAACTAATAACATCATTATCTGAAAATTTAAGAAATAAATTGATAAATGAAGCTAATTTCTCTATTATTGAAAAATGTGACTTATTCAATTAAACATTTAGTTTAGAGACTAAATAAAAATTAATTAAACTATTCAAGACTGTCCTTATAACTCCTGAATAAATAATTACATGTGAATTACCTCATTATAATGAACCATGTCTATGTTTTATTGATTATGGTACATTAAGTATTTGTACTAATTTTACGGATAGATCTGATATAATTTAATTTTGTTAAGGTTAGTATTTTGGATTAGATGAATTATTAACAGGTTAATAATCTAAATTATAATTGTAATCTTAATCTTTTGTAAAATTACTAGTTTTAACAAGAAGTGATTTTATCAATACTTTAAAAGATAACCCAAAAGATTTTGAATCATTTTGTAAAATGAAGGATGAAATAATGATGCATTTAAGGGATTCCAATAAAAAATGTAAATCTTGTAATTGTTATGGTCATGATATTTAAAATTGTCCAATTGTTCACTTTGTAATTGATAAGGAAAGAGTTATAAAGTCTCATTAATTTTATACTCAATAAGAGAGAGTTCCTGGTTTGCGTAATAGGGCTAGAATAAGGAATCAATTCAATGCTATATTTGATTAATGGTTTTTGTAAGAAATTGCATAAATGATGAAGAATCAAGAGGATTTACCTATAATTCAATTTTATAATATATAATAGATTGATCATTCAGAACCTTCTCAATCTAAAAAGCATATTTTACAATCTAAAGATTCTTTATTTGTAAATGAAAGAGGTTCATTCTAAAATGTAGAATCAAATACTTAAACAGTAATTAGTCCACCTAAAGTAAATGATCATTCAAATTTTTGTATAATATCTTATTTAATTAGATCCATAGAATAAAATAATTCGTAAAAATTATACAAGACAAAGTATTAGAATAAAAAACTAAGGTGTAAAATTAAAATTTTAAAGAATTATCAAAAAAGTAATAAAAATGTAACATTATTCAAAAATATTTACAAAAACTAATTAAATAGAAGCAAATCAAAAATTTAATAAAAATATAAAAGAAATAGTAGAAAACTATTTTAATAATCCTTAATTAAAAGAATATTTAAATAAATTTGAATATGAAGATCTATATTTCCTTAGAATGAAATGTAATTTAATACAATATTCAGAATATACTTTATCAAAGCCTTTCGAAATCTAAAAGGAATATCTAATTTATAATGTTCAAAATAATTTATCATAAATTATAAAAAGATCAGATCTTTATCTAGAATAACTGAAAAATAAATAATTTAGAGTTGATATGTATAACAGTACATAAATATTAATGTTAAGTTAACATGAGAGGAAATCTATCTTATAAGAGAGTCTTATTAAATATCTTTCATATCCAAACATTTATTTCAAAAAATATCATGATGTAAATAAACCAAATGAAACTTTTGAATCTATTGGATAATAAAAGGCTAAGGCTCTATTTAAAGCCTATAAAAAAAGATAGATAATGAGATAAAATGCATTCCTACTACCAATTGTTAAAAGAGGCTATACAAAAAGTTCTTAATAAATTTTGCATATAAATGCAAATGTAATTGTACCTGAAAACTGATATAAAAATTAATTCACAAATCTATTTCTTATTACATAACATCTTATGATGAGGATTGTTCTTCTGATGAAGGAGGTAATCCTTAAACTTCTAGTTCACCATTAGGTAAAACTATTACTGATTTATCAGCAGTGTAATATAAGATATCTTTAATTCCCTTATACATTTATTCTTATGTCAATTAAGAAGCACCTTCAATAAAAAAATCTAAGTCTTTAAATTTTTAGAAATAATAATCTCTTTCTTATTTTAGTGTTTCTATTTGTATAAGTAAATCCTACATTGAAGGTTGTTTCTTTTAGTATGGTTCCATATGAGCAAAAGAGTTTGTTTTTGGGATACTTGACGAAGATTATAACTGATTAGGACTATTAAAAGTGTCTCTCCTTATGCTGGTTCTAGATCTCTCTGGATTTCTTTTTGGAATAATGGCTGGTTAATCATCTAATTCTGCATTCCCTCTTTTGGATTAAGGATCATAGTCTTTAGGTACAACATGTTAATCCATATATTTCTTTAACCATTATAGAAACTCCAGATTATCTTAATATTTGCATTTCGTTAGCTTTTCTATTTCTATTGGTTTTTGTATTCCAAGTTTAGAAAAAGCTTATTAGAGAACTTTGAAATTATTAACAAATTCATATTCTTGTTTTGCTTTCCAATTTATCTTATTTAAGGCAACTAAGATTGATAACTATAAAAATACTTACCTTTACCAGGATGAACTGCATCAACTAATTAACAATAGACTGCCCCAGTTCCCAATTATTCAATCTTTTATAGAGACAATTTCAAGGTGTCATTAACCCATTATAATAGTTCTGCTCTTGATATTTCAGTATTCATATTAATGGGAAATAAAATCCAAATCTAGCTCAATTCTAAATTCTATTTTCCGAATTAAGCAATATAAGGTACATGATAAATCTATAAGAGGAATGGTTATTATTGAGGATTGTGAATATACTTTGAAGGAAATCTCCAAATTGTATATTCATTTATAAGGTGAGGAAACTTGGGAAAAAGGGTTTGCATGCATTGAATCAAACAATTTTAATATATTCTATTCTCAATTCAAGTTGCTTATAGATATAAATGATGAAAGAAACCAAGAGGATTAGAAATTGAAAATCTAAAAAACGATTGCAATTCCATTCACTTATTAATTACCTGAAAATATTCCTGGTTCAATGAAAAGAGAAAAGGACTTCAAATTAAGGATTGATTATAATATGTCCTTAATTGCTGAGACTCTAAAACTTGATAGGATCACACTTAATAAATTACCTATTATCATTAACTAATATGCAGTTAGACAAAATATTATTAAAACCATTTCAAATAGCCATATCATTCGTGGATATTTGAATAAGCATTAAGGAGTATAATTTAAAATAACTTTAGATTTCTAAATTAGAGTGTAAATATAGTGGAGAAGAGTTTTCGTTTGGTGATTCAATCCATTTAGAAATGATTGTTGATTTAAGAGAAAGCAAGCAATACATTTAAGAAATAGTAATTTCATTGAATAAGAGAACCACAATTATTGCTAAAGAACCAAAAGTTATCATAGAATAAATTTCTAAATTGAGTTTACCTGGAGTTGTCTAAGGCATTGTTTAAACAATAAAAAAATCAATATTACTCTTTGATTTTCACAACAAAATGGAACTTTCAACAACTGGATAATTAATTAAAGTGGATTATTTAATCAGAATATAAGCTTATTCAACATTATTTAATATCAATAATAATGATTTAAGAATAGATATTCCTATCAATATATTCCAAAGAATAATCAAGTTACCAGATTTAAAAATTGAATCCAATTAGATTAAAGATCTATAATAACTATATGATGTAAATATGAAATTAAATTTTAGGTCGTAAGACTTTGATTATCATTAAAATTAATATATAAATATTATCTAAAATATTATTAAAATATCATATGTAAAATAATCAATCTAGAATTGAATTTAATATTAGATTAGTGGCAGTCTAAAGAACAATAAAAGTAAATTTTATTAAAAAGATTGTTATTAGTATAGACTGTACTTGAAGTTTATCTCAAATATACTTCTAATATCTTTATATTAATATCAATTTCAAGTTGAATTAAATAATTTTTCATTATTTTTAAATAATTATAAAATAGATTTAAATAACTTAAGAATAATATTATTTTATTATACTATAATAAAATCAATATAATAGATCAAACTGGTAATAGAGTTAAATTACAACATCATCATATAAGTATCTAAATAGAAGACTTAAAATTATTAAAAAATAAGTATTATTCAGATTATATTTTTGAATTCAATTTGATATAATAAAACTTAATAATTATTTATATAAAAAATATTTATTGCTTTAATTTCAACATGTAAGGAGATTTTGAATTATATTTTAAGCATCAAGCACTGTTTATTCAGCTTCTTTCATTCCTTAAATAACATCAAATGATAAAAATCCATGTGGCATCCATTTATATTCAATTATTTTAACATCTTTTCCTAATTTCAATAATTTATTAGCTAATCTAAAACTCTCATCATGTAATGGATCATTAGTACCTAAAACAATTCTAGTTGGAGGAAATCTAACAAGAATTTCGTCACTAGCAATTGATGGTGACATCAATGGATCCAATTTTGCATCAAATTGTTCTGGAACATATGATGAAATGCATAATTTCAATACAGTATGATGTAATAATGGATCATTTAAAGAAATTAATAAACTTGGAGTAAACTGTTTGATATCTAAACACAATGCAGGATAAGCCATTAAAATACCATCAGGGATTCTTGCCCCAGATTTAATAATTTAAATAGTTAATGCAGCCACTAAATTACCACCAGCACTATCTCCTACTAATACAACCTTTTTTGGTTTAATATTAAAATACTTATCAATGTAGTTCATTATAAACATATAGGCTTACCAGCAATCATCTAAACCAAAAGGATAAGGATCTTCTGGAGCTTTTCTATAGTCAATAGAAAATATTGGCACTTATAAATTTTTAGCCCATTTTCTAGTATAAGTTTAATGTGATCTAGATGACATACTTACAAATCCTCCTCCATGTATATGTATAACTATTTTATCAAATACTTTTTGACCTTGTAGCAATTTTAGAGACTACTACATAAAACTATCAGTTTATATCTCTTATAGATTATAATGGCATAAAACTCTTACAGGTATTTTCTCTTTATTTTTAGTAAATAATTCTGGACATTTGGGTAAATTAGTGTTTATACATTCTCCACAATCATTTTAAATACGATTAATTTTATCTTCTTTATATTGTCGTAGTATGTTGTCTTAAACTAAACGTTTAAAAAGTTATGGAATATATATCTTTTTGTTATAAGTTATCATAGGAAATAGAAGAGGTAATAATTTACTTAGAAAACCACTCTCTCCTAAATTCCAGGCTTTAAATACTAAATTCTTATTTGGTTCAGCCATGAAATGATCAGCCTTTAATTTAGCATCTTTTTTTGCTACCAAATAATATAATGCTCCAAAACCTTGCATTACATTTTTAGCAGTTTCATTATTAAATTCAGATCCCTTAGAAATCATGGCATTAGCTAACAATATTCCTTCAGCTACTTTTCCATATGAATTTGATATCTATTCTCTAGTACCTAAAACAACTTCTTTTATAATGCTATTAAGACCTTACCATCTGGGATCTGTTCTATTATAACAAAATATATCATCATTATCTAATTTTGCAGCTCCAGGTAATTATTCAAGACATGTTTGTAGTTTCGATAAGTAGATTACTAAAGATCTTAATTCTTATTTTTCTCTTCTTACTTATATTGTTTCAAACAATACTGATATATGTGAAAGTACATGAGCAATAACAAATTCCAATAATATGCAAATTGCTTTCTAATTGAATTTCTTTGTATTCAAATTTATATTGTACTCTTCATTTATTGATTTACTCATAATATCTTTATCATTAGTAATTAATCCAATTTATTCAAGTTGTAAAATACCAATAAATGTTATTTTTATGGCTTAGAAAAAACGAGGTAGAAAATCAGCCACTTCATTATACATTTTTGTTAAGTCAATTGCTTTTTAATGAAGTTTGTTTAATAGATAGTAGGTTTCACTAAGATTTTGATATAATTCTTTAGAAATGACTTCTTAATTAAAAATAGAACAATTCCAAACTTTATTAATCACTTACCATTATGATTTCATTATATTTTCTTCCTATAATTAGTTTTCACTATATTTAACTTAAACTGGATCTCCATTCAATTATTATTTTATTTCAATTGATTGTATTTCAATTGATTATTCTTCTGTTTGTAATTCTAGACTTATATCTTTAGTTAGATTTGCCATAGACATACAAGAGTTGATCTGATCTTCAATAGTTTACATTTAAATTGTTTATATATTATATTATATTCAAATGTGTTTGTCAATTGATTTATGGAAGATTAGGTAATGATTCATATAGAACAAGAGATTTTGTGGAACAAATTTAGACTAGACTTCTACCATATCCTACTTTTCTTTTTGTTTTACTCTAATTCTGTATTCGATATTATTTTTCGATTAATTATACATATTCATGAAAATTGAGAGGATTTGTAATTTTCTTTAATGTTTCTTTAGGTTCTGTTTTTATTCGTTATTATTATTGAAATCTTAATGTTGATTAAGTATGTTATAATTCTTGTAATTTCTTTTGTTTAGTGAAACTCCAATCACTTGATTACCAAGTAATTCTCAATTTTTGTTTATCCATTATAAAATTAAATATAATATATCATATATCAGATAACATGATTTGAAATAATTCTTTTACATTCATTTTCTAAATTTAGATATATTACTCTTTAGTAAATTCTCCCATCATTGGTCCATTATTCTATTTAGATTCAAATTCATCATTCTATATTTAGAATATAATAATAATACTGATTGTGATTTGAATTTTAATTTATCTCCCTCAAAAGCTGCATCATTTTCTAAACACTTCAAAACATCAATCATATGATCATAAAATTAAAGTGCTTTAGTTTCATTTTAACCTTCCATTATTTCTGCTTAATTGGATAAACAATAAAAATAATTCAATACAATATTAGTATAATATGACCAATCCATTTCTATTTTATATATATATATATAATTAATACATTTAGCATTCTAAATTTCATTAAGTACTTTTTCATCATATTCTTTATATTCTTTTTTTCTTCTATTAATAAAAGATTCTAAATTGAATTTAGTATTTTCATAATATAATTAATAAACATAGTAATTTTCTTCTGTCTTAAATAAATTAATATATAAATACCTCTTTGCCTATTTCTTATAATGATTTACTTTGTTATTTTTATTAGTTTTTTAATTCTGATATCAATTATTCCAATTTCCTTGATAATATAATTATCCTCTTTGCAAGCATAAATTAAACATAATATTAATTTAAATTCTTAATCACTTTATAATCTTTTCTCAAACTCTCACTATTACCCAATGTTTCTTAAATTTTTAATTATAATTCTCTAATCATTTAAAATTTACTCATTATATTCTAATAAAATTAATCAAAAGTTCCTAAATCCTTTTATTATCCAAATTCTAAATAAGGATCTTAATATAATTATTCCCATGTAATTCTTAAATTTGGATCCTTTGTTAACATCCTTCTTAGTAATCTCTTAGCATCTTCACTAATCCTAACATTTGTTTTAGCTGGAGTGAAATTTAAGTCCTTAGCCTTTTCAATATTATCAAATAAATCTTTCTCATTCTATCCCACAAATGGATATTATAAATCAAATAACATCTAATAAAAAATAATTCCCAATGACCAAATATCTGCCTTATTATCATATCTTATTTTGCCTCTGCCTTTAAATACTTCAGGAGCTTTGGTATATGGTGTACCTACTTAAGTAAAACCTACTTCACCAACTTTACTAAGTCCAAAGTCAGCAATCTTAATGGTTTCATCATGAACTAATATGTTTTTTAGTTTGAGATCACGATGTATAACAAACATATCTTATAAGCCTTTAAAACCATTAAGTAATTATTTTAAGAACTCCTTTGCTTATCTTTCAGAAAGTGGTTATTTATTCTTCTCTCTAAGTAGTTTAATATAGGAATCCAGATCTCCTCCATTACAATATTCCATAACTAAATAATGTTTATCTTTTGTTTCTATATGATCTATTAAGCTAATCACATTTTCATTCTTTATTGTTTGCATGATTCTTTTTTCAGTTTAGAATAATTCTTATCTTTTTTTGACTTTTTCCAATTCTGATTTTAATGCTTACTTAATTGCTACTTGTGATTTCTAGAGTCATTTATTTAAGAATTACAGTTTAGATGTTTTCAGCCAGATAGACTTCTCCAAACTCTCCCTTTCCTATCACTTTCACAATACCATATTTGCCATCTAAAATTAATTAATATTTAGTTGCCATTTTTATTAATATTTATATCAATTATTACTCAATTACTAGGATAATAGTAATATATATGAATGTAAATATTGGTTGATTGAATGAATAAACATTGTATGATATTTCACTTTAATACACTTATGAAACAAATGAAATTTTGAAATAAATATAATAATTATCACTAATAGAAATCGAATAATAGCAAAAGAAATGAGTTAAAATTTTGATCAAATTCTTATAAAGTATCTATGATTTTAGTAACATTACTAATATCAAATTATATTTGAAATAAGCAATAAACTTGATTTGACTTAAAGATGTTTAAATAAGAATGTAAGTAACAGAAGATTGAATAAATTAAAGTTAAAGTGGATTTTAATCATGTTATGATTTAATTTACATTCTGTAAATGATAAGGCAATATATTTTAATCACATTATTTATAATATTTTTGATATGAAAAAAGTAGAGTCGATCAAATATATTGATAGAAACATCATCAATAAAGAAGTAACTTAGAATTCTGGTACTCATGTCTTAAATGATAAGTTTTTATTTATTTTAAATATATTAGAAAACATTCTAATGCATCTGAAACTCCGGAAAGAGCAAAACATTAGAGCGTTGACAGAATTTAGAAAAAGCGCCAGAGTTCTGTTGATCAATTTAATAGAATCCAATTTCATGAGTATAATAATTGATTTATTTTATAGGGAAACCTTCCCATAAAACAGCAACTATGAAAGAAATTAAGATAATTCAAAAATGTCTGAATATTCACTATAAAGTATTGAAAGAGAAGATATGATTGAAGATAGAGTTTATAGACATACTCTTCATAAATCAATTCATGTCTATAACAAATTTATCTCTTCTGCCTCACATTAACTGAATATGCAACAAAAATCAGAACCAGACCCTGAAAAACCAGGAATTGCTATGAATCTCTTAAATGCATTTAATTAGCATTAAGAAATATAACCTGAATATTTTAATGATATTGAATATGATAAAATTATACGTCGACATAAAAAATTAATAGAAAGAAATACAATGAAAGATCCTTATTATGTTAGATTAGTGAAATTATCAGAATTTTAAAGATTAAATTATGAATTGCAAGTAAAATTTTGTATTTATATAGAAATATGATGATAATTTGGCTTTATTAAAGTTAAGAAAATACTTTATTTATGTGATATATAGCATTCCTATAATGGCAAGAAAAATAGTAAATAATTTTATATTTAAAATATTGATGACATTTCTAATCTTATTTAATGTTGTATTGTATATTGTAGTAAAAACAAACGGAAGAACAGATACTGATCATATTGAAGAAGTAGTTATGATATTATTTATTTCTGAAATTGGATTAAGAATTATAGCCAGTGGAGTGTTTTTTAATGATTATGCTTTTTTTAGAAATATGGAAAATATTTATGATTTTGTACTCATATTTTTCACTGCTATGAATCTTTATTATCCTGAAATAATTATTATTGATATATCTCCTCTAAGATTAGTAACATTATTAATGTATTTGACAAATATATTTCAGGGATTGAATGTAATGATGACTGCTTTAAAATAATCATTCAAATTTTTAATTGAAGCATTAATGATAGTGATATTATTCTCATTGATCTTTGCATCAATGGGTATATTTCTATTTCAAGGTTTATTTAATTATAGATGTCAATATGAAAATGGTGATGAAACAGATGGTTGGATATAATGTAATTAAGATTAATGTCCATCTGATATGCATTGTATGTATAGTGATTATACACCTAAAATGCCAACATCTTTTAATAATTTAATAGGTTCTTTAGGTTAAATTTTAAGAACAATTACTATGGATGATTGGAGTTGGGTTATGTTTTTTACAATGAGAATATTTCATCCATGGATTTGGTTATATTATTTATTAATTATTTTTATTGGAGGTTTCTTTGGATTTAATATAGTTATTGCAGTGTTGAAAGTTCATTATTCAGAGGCAACAGAAGAAAATAAGAAAAGAGAAGAAGAAAAAGAAATATAAAAAAGATTGAAAGAAGAATAAGAATATCCAGAAAGGAATTTATTAGAAATACTAGATGTTGCACATTTAAGAGAAATTGGAATCTATAAAGTAATCAAAAAATACAGAACTAATTTAAATGAAGCATCATTTAAAAAATATGCTATTGAAGATCCTACTAATTTTAAGAAATCATATCAAACTACAAGAACATTATCAGCTAAATAAAAATAAATGGAAAGTGGAATCATTAAATTACCATTTATTGAATATGTTACAAGTTTTACATGGAAAAGATTTTTATTACCAAAATTTGATATTTTAGATGCTTTAATCAAAAAAATAAAAATAAAAAATTATACTGAAGATGAATTCAATATGAAAGTCATAGAAAAATTGAAAACCATTAAATTTTCCAGATTATAACCCTAAGTCAATATGGATGTTAAGTAAAATTATACTTCATCAAATGATGTTTTACTTAAGTTGATGTAATTCTAATTCTATTTATATTTAGTGATCTATAAGATTAAATTTAAAAAGAAAAGAACTTCAATCTAGAAAAAATAAGATCCACTAAATTCTAAATGATTTATCATGAAATGAAAATAGAAAAAGAAAAATTATATGGCAAAACTTAATTTGCAAAGTCAAGTTTCCCTACAAAAAGCAAAGCATAATCTCCATTTATGAGCATATACTAAAAGAAAGTTGAGTAGAGCACAGATTCTATTGTTAATTTTGAGTAAACAAATGTTAAAACTTTTAATAATATGAAAGCATCTTAAATTTTAGAAACTAAATATAAAAATTTCTCAATTTTTAGAAACGGATAACCATATATATATGTTTAAGGATATTATACAAATTTTGAAGGAGTCAGTGAAAAAATTAATCAAAAAATCCCATTAATTATTCATGATTAAGTCTCCAATAAATTCAAATATTAAGGTATGAGAATGAAAGAATATTAAAATCATAAAACTATTACAAAACATAATTGGTCAGGAAAAGATGTACTTGAAATTAATAAAAGAAGATTAAAGTATTTTCATGTAATTTTATTAATGCTTAATAAAATTGATATTATTATTTGGATTAAAGGAGTAAGAGGACTTTACATAATGTCATAAAAATATGCATATTTAATTGTGACTAGTAGATTTAGTCAATTCTTTTTTGATTTAGTAATTCTTAACAATTTTACATTTTTATCTCTATAAGGAATTGTGGATATTAATATCATATCAACAGTTGAAGATATTTCTACTATATTTTTATGTTTTGAATTGATGATGAGATTTATGGGTTTTAAATTCAAAGATCTTTTAAGATCTCCTGATTTAATTTTATAATCTATTATTGTAATCATAAACTTTTTTGAATTAACAATTAGTGATTATATGACAACCTATTTGAATGAATAAAATTTAAGATTAATAAGAGGAACTAAATGTTTACTGTTTTATAGATGCCTTAAATACAATAAAATGGCTATTACAATTGGTCATATTGCTTCTATGACTTTCGATTAATATATTTATTTAGCTTTTCTTATGTTTTTAGTAATATTTATGTATGCTTTAACAGGTATGGAAATGTTTGTAGGAAAATTTGATTAAAATGATTCACTTGGATAATTACATTCCTATGAAAATATTTTTAAATCATTTATGACTATCTTCAATATTATGACAAATGATGATTGGTATGGAGTTTATGTAATTGGAAGTGATATTAATTTTACTTTTTCTATCATTTATTCTTTTTCTTTGGTACTCATTTTAAATTATCTAACTTATGGTTTAGTTATGGCTGTCTTATTAGACGGATTTGGAAAGTATTTAAATTAACCAGTTGAGGAAATTCAGAACGAAATTCAGAAGAACATTAATGAATAATTATAACATATTACCTAGAATTCAGATGAAATACAAATGCAATTAGTTGAAACTAATTAAGAACCAATAATTTCTAATAAAAATATATCAAATGATGAGATCAATAAATCTAAACCTAATTTAATCTATAATCTAATTAAGTCAATAAGTAAATATTAAATGATATACAATATTAGAATAAATTAATAGAAAACTGTTATCAAGAACACCCAAATTATATGAGGGGATAGATTGTGAATCATCATTGTTTTTGTTTGAGAAAGACAATTTATTTCGTATTGCATTGACTCATCTTACATCATCAATGATATATATCTATATAATGGATATAGTTACTTATCTATCTATCATTGCTTTCATCCTTAAAACTTATAATGATTATGAAACAGATAGTGAAACATATCCAGATACACTTTAATTCTCTTGCAATATAATTCAATTGGCTGATACAATATTTAATATTATTGCAAAAGGATTGTTTATGGATCAAGGATCCTATTTGGTATCCACATTCTAGGTTTTCGATTTTATATATTAAGTTTCGAATATCATAGCTTTTGAAAGTAATCCTGACGATTTTAAACCTATCCTAAAAATTCTACTTTATTTAGGTTACTTTAGACCAATGAAATTAATGTATAGATTGAGTTGGCTTACAAATTTAAGAGAAGCCATTGGTAGATCATTATTTGATATATTCAATGTCATAATTACTTTATTATCAGTTTGGATAATGTTCGGAGTATATGGTATTATACTTTATGAATAATAATTTGGTTATTGCGAAGATAAGATGGCTTTTGAAGTTAATAAAGAGACATGTCTAAGTGAAGGTAAAATATGGGTTAATTATAAACATAATTTTGATAATATTACAATAGCCATTCCTACATTATTTGTGACAGCCACTTTAGATGGTTGGGGAGAAATATATTAAATTGCTGAAAATAGTTAAGAGGCTTCAATAGGACCATAAGGATTTAATTCCTATGTAGTCACTTACATATTTTTCTTACTTTTTGTTTTCATTGGATCAATGTTTTTCTTAAGTCTTTTTACAGGAGTACTATATACAAATTTAAAGAAAAATCAAAAAGAAATTGAAAATACAGAAGTTACTTAATCACAAAAAGAATTTAAAGAAATTTCATAAATGTTGATAAATGATTTCCCTTAATTCTCAACTCCACCAACAAATGGAATAAGAAAGATATCTTCTGATATTACAAGCAGTGTTACAATTTAAAAATGTTTATTTCTACTTTTATGGGTAGATTTCATTATCTTATTGATGTTTACATCAGATATGAGTGATGAATACTTTAGAGCTATTAATGATGTTCATAATGCATTAAGTGGGATTTATTTTATTTGGGTTATTTTATTGTTTCTTGCATTAGGAGTTAATAGATTTTTTGATAATTATTGGAGAAGATTTTATTTCTTTTTAATAGTGATTGCAGTAATTGATTTTATAGCAGATTATTCAGTAGATTGGATTATGATATATTATAAATCAACTCCAAATGATAATGGATTCTAATTATTACGTTTATTCTTCTCATTAAGAAGTCTAAGAATAATATTAATATTTTAAGGGTTTATCAATTTATAGAGATTAATAAATGTAATCCTATTTGCTTTGCCATATTTGGGCAAGATCTTTTCTATTTTGATAATTACAATGTTAGTATTTGCTCTATTTGGTTGTTAATTATTTGGTACAATAGATGCAGGATAAGTTTTAGATGACTAACTTAATTTTATGACAGCTGGTAGTGCAATGATGACACTATTCAAATGTGCTTCAGGAGATGATTGGAGAACTATTATGACAGATACAATGCATTATAATCCTTTATGTTGGGAAGATCCTAAATATTGTGGATCATTTGCAAGTTAAATATACTTTTTCTTATTCATGTTCTTTTCAACTTATGTTCTTCTAACACTCTTTTTATTAAGTTTGGTAGAATAATTTGAATCTTTTTTCCAATTATAAGACTCCCCAATTTAATCATATGTAGAAAATATTGATAAAATCAAAACAGTTTGGTGCAAATACTCTTCTGAAACTAAAGGACAAATGATGCATTATAAATTTTTATGCAAATTTCTCTTAGATATTGGTAAACCTTTAGGAGGAGGTGAAGAAGAGAATCTTTGGGATGTTGCTAAAATTGCCTCCTCATTTAAATTAAAATGGTAATTAATTTACATCTATTTTTAGTGATCATTATGGTTACATTCAATATAACCAATTGATTTATGAGTTGTTTAGGGTGAAATTCCATTCAGAAGTTTTTAAGGAGGGTACTCCTGATTCTATCAAATAAATTAAATAATTTAGTAAAGAAATGCAACTGCGCTTAATTTATTACAGAAAAAACAGGCATATTGAAAGATCGAATATTAGTTCAGCACTTTCATTAAAGGCCAACTTTAATATTCTTCATGATTATCTTACTGTTTTGATTCTCTTTAAAACTTGGGAATCTTACAGTAAGATCCTCATTAAAAAGCTAGCTATTAAATAGAACTAATTCTCTGATGATGCTATATCTATGGATAGTGAACTATAATAGAAGTAAGCATTCCACATTATTATTTAATTAGTAATAAGAAAAATGTAAATCATTTTATGGAACCAGATTTGATTGAAGCCTCATGTGAAGAAGCAACTATCAATAGTAATTTAGAAAATAAAAAACATCATCATACTAACGAAAGTTAAAATTATTCTAATATTGAATTGCCAATCTATAAAAGTGCTTCACCCTTCTCTATTTAAGAAGAAGATGTAAAAATTATCTTTTCTGCTGCAGGTGAAAAGTAACCTATAATATGATTTTTTATTTTGTTAATAACTCATAAAGTATAAATTAATATGATACTTTATTATTTTCATAAATATAATTAATTTACAAAAGCAACATTGCCAAATTATCATCATGAAATAGAAATATAATGTAAAAATAATACGTAACATCATGAAATATATATTCGTCAATTAGAACACTATAATTGAAAAGAAAATTAAATTAAAATATGGATAATGATTATTATGACTTTCTTGATCATTCATTAGATTATAAACCAAAAAAGAGAGGACAAAGAAGTAGCTTATCAAATCATTAATTTTAGCATTGACTGATTAAGAAATCATATTAAGAGAAAGAATGAAACTTGTAAAAAATAGAGAATCAGCAAGAAAAAGTCGAAAAAGAAAAAAAATGTATGTTGATCTTTTAGAAAATAAAGTAGTAGTTTTTATAATAAGTCATTAAGGTAGCTGGTCTAAATTAATAGTTATAAGAGTATAAACAATTATAAGAATCTGGTTAAGAAGTATTAAGAAATACTCAAATGTAATTATTCTTTGGAAAACCATAAAATTCTTAAGATTAATTGAATCATTATTTCAATGAAATTTTTGAACAAACCATTCCTAAAATAGCTTTATATTTTAAATCAGAAAAATCTAATTCTGTCTTGGAGTTGTGTTTTTAAAATTTTTATAATTGCTTTAATGATTTGAATATAATCAAAGAAGAGATGATTTAAGAATTAAAGTAAATGGAGGAAACTATGAAAATAGGCAAACAAATTCCTGAATTCTAAAAATTTGTCTAACATGTTAATTAATTAGAGTATAAGGATTAATTAGACAATATAGAGGAAGTAATTTAATAAATTATTTTAGGATTTAGGAACAATCATTAAATCAAATGACTTAATGCTTTCAGTAAGATAAATATATGAGTTATACAATAAATCAATACAAGTTACAAAGAAACCTAAACTTAATTGAAAATATATGTTATAATCACTACATATACTCTTATTGTTATATTTAATGTCTTATATATAATAGATAAAAAAAATAAATCTTTAAAAAATTCTATCTTCAATGTTGATATATGTTTTATTATCAAACAGCTAATGACTTATTTGGTATTTAGTAGATTATTAAGTTAAATGTAGTTAATATCAAATTAATCATCATTTTAAAGTAAAATTAAAGTTAATATTATTTATTTTTATTTTAAATCATTAAGTTTGTGATATATTTAATTGAAATGTTACAATAGATGAGATTCAATTTCCAATAGCAAATAAGAAAATCCAAAATTGAAGACTAATTAAAAGAAGCAAGGAAAAAGTATTATAATTATGGTGATAATTTCAATGAACAAATTATTTTGAACTAAAATTCTAGTTCAGAATTTTAATAAAAAATTCAATTTGAACTAAAGAACCTCAAGAAATAAATTGAAGATGATGAAAACTACATTATAAGTTTGGCCAAATCAAAATTTCTAGAAGAGATGGCAACTCCTACACTAATATAAAATTATTCAACAATAAATTCAATATTTTTTGAGATTTTTATCAAAATGATTGAATATGCTAAAAGAAATAACTTATTTTGGATAATACTATAGTTTAGACATTCATAATTCTTAAACTGTCTTTAATCTTTGGAATATTCAAATGAGTTTCAAAGATTTATTAATTCATTGATATGATTTTGAATATAATATATTTTGTATTATATTAATAAAGAATTAATACTAAATAAATTTAAGTTAATAAAATTTACTTTTTGATTATTATATATATTTATAATTACCTTTGAAGCTGAAATATCATTTTATAAATAAATAAAAAAAATAGATTAATAAAAATTATCATTATAATTGTGATAAGAACTTACTTAGTTATTATTGACTATTTGTAAGTATTTAATATATTTAATTAATAATAATATAAAGTCATTCAGAATTATCCACTAAATCTCCATTTCTAAACTCCTATTTAATAAGATTGCCAGCTCCATCTTTAAAAGTTCCAACCCCAACTCTGACTCCACTCCTATATTATCCAGTATATGTACAGAAATCATGAGTAAAAACACCATTGCCATCCATTCTATTTCTTGACCAATCTCCACTATACTTATAATCCTTGTATTCAACTATTCCTTGTCCATGGATACAATCATTCATCCATTATCCTGTATATTTCAATCCATTATTGAATACAGCAGTTCCTTAACCTTCTCTAGAATTAGCAATCCAAGAACCCTCATAAGTGTAGAGAGGATAAATTTATTTTCCTTATCCATGTTTTTTATCACTTACCCAATTCCCTATGTACTTAGCACCCTCTTCAACATATTCTCCTGTGCCTTCCCTTACATTTTCAACCCATTAACCTATATAATATTAGTCTGGTCCCCAATGAAATTCTCCTTGTCCATACCTCTCATCATTATCCCATTCTCCTTTATAATATTTTCCATCCTGAAGTGTCATAATACCAAAACCTTTTCTAGTGTTCCGACTCCAAGATCCAACATATTTTTTACCGTCACTCCATATATAGGTGCCTTCTCCTTCCATATACCCATTAAAGAATTAACCATCATAAGAACAACCATCCTTTTATGTAAGTTTACCTTTGCCATGCTTTAAATTTTCATACCAATCTCCATAGTAGATATCACCATTTGAATAACGATATTCTCCTTTGCCTGTTTTCTTATCATTCAACCATTAACCTTTAAAACTAGATCCATCTGGTAAATAGGCGGTGCCAAATCCATTCCTTTTATTATCCTTCCATGAACCTTCATATTTATTACCATCTGGACATATATATTCTCCTTAACCATTCTTTTTATCATTCTTCCATTCTCCAACATATCTTCTGCCATCTGCACATTAATATGCACCTTAACCTTCTCTTTAATCTAATTTCCATTATCCATTATAATATTCACCATCAGTCCAAAGATATAAACCCTTACCATTAAATTTTCCCTCAAAAAATTCCCCTTCATATATATTACCATTCTTAAAAAAATATTTGCCAACCATCATTTGTCCTTCCTTAAAGTATCCTTCAAAATAAGAACCAGAAGCTAGGAATAATTTACCTCTACCATGCTTAAGATTATTTTTCCAACAACCCGAATAGACATCTCCATTAGAAAATTTATGGGGTTGTAACTTAATACAGTCTGTGTAATTTTGATCCTACAAAAATTTGAATGATCCATGCTTTTGTATTTGCTATTATACGATTGGTTGAAGATCAGGTTCTTTGTCAATTTTCTGAGCTTCAACATTAGAATGAAAAGAGGATGTTGGTTTATGGACACTACTACCTCTATCTCTATCTCTTCTTGTTGGAGACTCAGAAACAAGACTAATTGACTGGATTTATGTAGATCTATCAGTGAAAGTCAAGATGTTTTCTGTTATCTTATCTTCTTTGAAAATTCTTGAATTCGATCTAGCTGAAATTCGAACAGGTGACTAATACAAATCTAGACGACTTTAAGATTTTCGAGGAGATAAAAATACTGTCACTGTACTTTTTCGTTTTTAAGATCTCTCAGTTACAGGAAAAAGTATTGTGATAATCTCATTTTCAGCTTCAATCATTTTCTGAGTGATTTCCTTTATTTCTTGGAAATCAAGAGGTTTTACAATCGAAACAGATTTATTACATCCCATCTTCTTTAATAATAATGGGAACAAATTATATTTATATTGGAGAAACCAAAATATTATTGATTATTATAATTATTCTCAAATATTCTTAATACTCTTACAATCTTATCAATCATCTCTTATTAAATGAGAGATCTAATTTTACCTTCAAATTACAATTCTGAATGTCAATTGGAATACAGCATAGATATAATTGATATTATAAACCCTTTGGATGACTAAATAAAGTTGTGATAAATCTAAATGAAATATTGAAATTCAAACTGGATTACTTTTATAATTATAATGTTAGAGGTGCAAATATGGAGAATAAATTAAAACATTTGAGATGAAATTTTTATTAACTTATATAGATCCTATATTCTGTAGAATCTAAAAATTCTGAATTTTGTCAAGATTTTAAAGATTGTCTTATTAATAAGACCAATATCTTAGAAATAGGGAATTCTTAAATTCATGTATTTTAGCAAAAGATTCCATTGATTTTGTTTTTTATTCAGTTTATCCAAATATCAAAGTAGAAATTTCCAATAATAATTATAGTCAAGTCTTTAGAGATATAGTTTTTATAATAGCACATGATTACTAAGAATATAAAAAAATAGACTAAGAGAACATTTTATGAAATAGAATAATTATTATTCTATTTGATTATTTTCACTTCAAATTTCATTTTTAAAGTAATATTCTAATTAATTTAATTAATGAACTACTTGTTCTAGTTATTATTTGCTATTCTAACTATTTCTTAAGCAATTACAGTTTATCCAAATCTTGGATCTTAAAAAGTATAATGGGAAGAGTAAATATGGATGGATTGCAATACTGAATAATTAATAGTGCCAAAAAATTGTGAAAATAATGATAAAAATTGGACTGAATGCTATTAAATACCAGAGTCAGGGTTATGTTTGAAGGATAAATTAAAAATATCAAAGTAATCATCATATAATCTTATATTCACCTTTTAAAATTTAAATTCTAAAATTCCATAAATTTTAATTAATGATATAAAGTAAGAGCAAAAGTCATATTCAAATAATTAAATAGTGATAAATACTGTATTAGATTAATCAAAAATTAATATTAAAATTTTAGGAACAAATTCTTAATTATAAAAGTTTGCTTTAACAACTGATTGTTACCTAAATTGTAAAGAATGTGATGCAAATTTTGAATGCAAAACCTGTATTGATAATTTTTCAATGATAAACTATTAGTGCATACCAGATTCTTGTTTTGATACTTTAAGTAATTTAACTACATAGAGTGCTTAAAGTGCAAATTCTTTGATAGATTAATAAGGAATGTATTAAGTGACAGTTGATTTTGATGTCCAATTAGGTTAATGTTTAATTCCAAAGATTTACATTATAAATGAAATAAAATCTAATAAAATAGGATATGTTTTAGCATCCAATTAAATTTCACTAAAAAATGAGAAACAATTGTCATTTTATATGTCTCTAGATTAAATTAACTAGTATTGTAAAATATTAGTTTAAAATAAAACAAAGATTATTCATCAATGTTCTCTAAGTATTGCATTAACTACAGCCCAAATAACTCAATATAATCTATTACTTTTTGGAGAAATCACTACTAATTTAGAAACATCTTCATCAATTTCTTCAACATAAATTGTTACTATTCCAGATGATGGAAATATCTAATTATAAGTTAGTAATGAAATAACAAAAGGATAGGTTAATAAGGATTTATTAACAATCACTTAAACTATCTATAATGATGATTTAAAAATAGATAATGCTTTGTTAAAGGAGGCTTATCTTGTATAAAATGGATAGTATTATGATAATTTAGATTTTATCGTTTCATTTGTAAAAGATAAATAGATTACTTATAAATTTAAAATCAAGAAAACAAATATAAATTTTGAAGAATAAATTGATTTGGTTTTGTCATCTGATTTGGTTACTTAAAGGAGAGTATTAATTTAAGATAGATCTTAGTTGATTATTCAATATAAGGCAAAAAATTCGATTAAATTTTTACCAAACGAGTTATCATAATTGAATTCAAATTCAAATGGAAACTCTAAATCAAATTATCTAATTTATGGAATTTCAATATTTTTATTGTTATCATTAGTTATCACTATTGTTTGGCATAATAAAAATAAGAAAAAACATTATGAAATAGGAGAAGAAGTCAATTAAAAGAGTATTTGAAAATATAATAGTTTTTTTATGTTATTTTTGATTTTGTTATTAAAATGTATAGATTGTGCAATTATAGAGAGTTAGACTATAAGACTTAGGTAAAGTTGTTAATCAAGATAAACAGGATACTTCTGGAATGGATAATAATGTTTGAGATGCAAGTCACCTAATTGTTAATGTTAAAGTCAAGGCGGATGTACTTCTTGCATTGAAAATTATTATTATGACAAGGAAGACACAAACTGTAAGCCTTGTCCAAAAGGTTGTTAGAATTGTTGCAAGAACCCTCTATTAACATAGTATGTTTGTACACTATGTCAATCTGGATACAGAAACATAAACGGTGTATGTGTGTTTATGGGTAGATGTGCTATGATATCAATGCATGGGAGATGTATTGAATGTGATTAAGGATATTATGTTGATTTTGAATTTGTTTGTCGACCATGTGGATAAGGGTGTGAAAATTGTTCTAATTTAGCATTTTGCAATAAATGTTAGGATGGCTATTATTTGGTTAATTTATAGTAAAATCTTGTGTGTAAACCATGTAGTATTATTGGGTGTTAAACTTGTCAAAAAGATGTATGTTAAGAATGTTAAAGAGGGTATTATTAAGATAATACTAATTCATGTATTCCATGTATTAAAGATTGTGATTCTTGTTTAAATAATAGTGAATGCGAGGTTTGCAATTATTATTCTATTGTTAATGAAGATAAAACTAAGTGTAATAGATGTTAGGATTTATTTCCTAATTGTATGGATTGTAATACAAAATTTAATGAAGATGAATCATCTTATTTTGAATGTGCATATTGTTTAAATGGCTATTTTTATAATGAGGATGAGAAAAAATGTTAAACTTGCATTGAGAATGAGTAAAACACTGCTCACATTAGAAGATGTGAATCTTTGGAAATGATTACATAATGTTAACCTGGATATTTGTTACTTTAAGATAGATATATAGATTTTAAATAAGAAATACCATATCTTTTAAAATATACTTGTATTAAAAATAATTATAATTGTGCAACAATAAATGATTAGAATGGATATTGTAAATCTTGTTTAATAGGCTATATATTATTAATAGAAGATTCTACACAAAAATGTATAACTTGTAAAGAAAAAGCTTAAAATTGCTTAGATTGTTATATTACACCAAAGAATGTATTTTAATGTATTTAATGTGCAGAGGGTTACTTTTTAGAATCGGATGGAAAGACTTGTTCTTCATGTGGAGATAATTGTATCAGATGTAATGATAAAATGAAGCAATGCGATATTTGCAAGGATGGTTATATTTAGTTAAATGGAGTTTGTGATAGTTGTGGGGTGGATAATTGTAAGAGTTGTTAAATATAAAATTTTTGTTCTAATTGTGAGGATGGTTATGGAGCAATTGATGGACAATGTAAATTATGTTAATTTGGTTGTAAGCAATGTAATTTTAATTAACAATTATGTTAATAATGTATGGATAATTACTTTTTGTATATGAAATCTTGTGTACCTTATCCTGTTCATTGTCTTGAAACTAATGATGATGGATTTTGCTATTTATGTGAAACCATAATAGATTATGATACTAGATTAGATTAGTTTATTGATGAAGGAAGTGAGATTCCTAATTATAAGGAATCAAGCATTTCCATATTTTATAAAAGTGTTAATGGGTATTGTTTAAAATGTAGTGATTATGATACTGGATAGTATTTTTGTCCAGACACTTGTTTAAATACGATTCATTCATATGAGATAATGCTAGTTTTTTTATGGTTATTCCACATTATTTTATGAGGACTCTTAATTTTTATATTCTATAACATCAATCAATTATTTTAATAATGAATCGTGAAGTTAAGGTCGTATTATTAGGAGATTCAGGAGTAGGCAAAAGTTCTATTGTGCTGAGATTCTGTTCGGATATATTTAAAGTCACTCATGAATCTACTTTGGGAGCTGCATTTATGGCTAGAACTATAGAAGTTAATGGAATCAATTTTAAATTTCAGATTTGGGACACAGCCGGATAAGAGAAATACAAATCACTCACTCCTTTGTATTATAGAGGTTTTGTGCTCATTTATTTTTAGAGGCTTAAGTTGCATTGATAGTTTATGATATTACACATAAAGATTCATTTGATGTACTTAAATCGTGGGTAAATGAATTGAAAGCTCATGGTCCAAAAAAGATAAGTAAGTTAGTATTTCATTTTTAGTTTAAGTTCTTGTAGGGAATAAGAATGATATGATTGAAGATGAAAAAGTTTCTTATGACGAAGCAAATAACTATGCTCAAGTAATAATAAAAGTAATATTCTAGCAAATTGGTGCTTCTCTTAAGCTTACTAGTTGTAAAGAGAATAAAGGAATCTAGGAATTGTTTGTATCAATTGCTGAATAGATCTTATATGAAGAATAAAATAAATTAGTTGAAGGTAAGAAATAAGAGAAACCATAAAATCCTAGTGTCAGAGTTACTGCTGATGATCAAAGTAAAAAAAAGAAAAAGGATGGAGGATGCTGTTGAATTCAATATTGTTTGAAATTATAAATATCTAATCTTCCTCAAATCATATGTTTCATCACATATATCATTACATATCCTATAACTGCCAATACTAAAAATAAAAGTCCAAATTATAGAAAGTGTTTCTCTACTTATTCACTTCCTGTTGCGAACTTAGCTAATTCATTCTTTTCTGATAGATTCCAAGTCAATAATATTTTTATTGCTCTTTATTTCCATTCATCTTCAGGTAATTCAGTTGGTAGATGTTCTGATATATGATCCTCTATTCCCTTTAATGTTTAATTCACTTGATTCATTAATTATGGTTACAAAACCAATAAATAACTTTGATTTTTCTCCATTCTTTTAAAAGAGGGAGATTGATCTTTATTTCTATTTCTTTCATATACTTATTCATTTCTTAAAAACTCCTTTATATCATTATCCTCTATTTAAGCTAAGCTTTATTTTTTTATTATTTTTATATCCTATTCCCTTATATCAAAATGGATAAGTCCAATGAATATTAATTAAGATGAGGAAGCCATTTTTTTAAATTATTAAAATTAATGTAATTTTCTAAGAACGATGTGTTTTGGGGCAAAATTTAAGGCTATCCTTATTGGCCATGTACAATAGCATATGATAAACCAGATAAATAAAAATGTAGAGTCTTTTTCTTTGGTGACAATGAACAGTTAATTTTAATTATCATTTTAGAGGTGAACTTAAATATTCAGATCTTAAACCTTTTGAAGAGCATTTTGAATAATATTGTGGTTAAGCCAAAAAGAATAATAATTTAAAAATTGCTATTGAATAAGCATTAAATAAAGAAACTCATAAACATCTCTTACCAATTTATGAAAGTATAATAAAAAATACTATTTAAAAAGAAATCATTAAAGGTACTAACCATTCAAAAGTTCAGGAATCAAAATAAAATAAAAACAATAATGAGATTAAGATGTAACCATTAAAATAATCATAACCAAAAAAAATAGAAATTTTCATATAAAAACATTTTAAAGATGTAAAAGGAGATGTTATTAACTAAATTCTTGAGAAATGCAATAATAATCAAAAAAAAGTAGTGAAGGCTATAAAAGTAAAGTTAATTCTTTAATAAAGGCTTATTCTTCACTATAAGCAGGAATAATAAATAAGATATTTAATTTTGAGACATTTGAAAATTATTATGATTCCTCTATCAACATTACAAAGAATGATAATTACTCAATATTTACTGCATTGCTTGATCCGAGTGAAATTAAAATATTTTTTTGATATTATATAAAAAAATGCTAATTACTAATTTCTGTCTTGTGTCTGCATCATGTGCTGCATTAAGGGCAGTTGTATTATTTAGAAAAGAGAAAATTCTATCAAAGATGTTTACAGATGTTGATAAAATGCCACTTTACAATCTTGATTATATCAATAGTAAAACAGATTTACCTATCAATCAATATCTTGTGTTGACTGGAAAGATCACATCAAATAATTTATAGTATAAAAAGTTATTCTATTATTAGACCTACTTTTTCAGATAAATCAGTCAAGGCTATTCTATCCACAATTGTACCTACAATTAAAGAAAAATAAAAAGATATAGGAGAAGGACTCATGATTAATTTGGGATAGGTAATAACCTTTAAAAGAGATCATTCAATATAATTTATACTTGGAAATGATACACATTAATTAGAAGTAAAATATTTACCAAATCGATCACTTACTTTATATAATCTTCCAAAATTGAGAGAAAATATTATGAAAAGTGAATTGTCATAAATTAAAATAGCTAATCAACATTTTTTACAAACTACATATACAGAATTCGCTTTGATACCTAATTAATAAGTAAAAATAAAAATAAATTTAGTACGGTATTTGTGGTAAATTATAGTAGGATGGTGTACTTACTCCTTTAATAATTTTAGGATCATCTAAAGAATCTTTTATTGATAGTTTAGAGGAAGAACTATTAAAAATAAATAAGGCTGCCAAAATTTGGTTATTATGTAGTGGAGGTATTACAATAGCAGCTGCTATTTATGCTAAGATGTATAAAAGATCAAGAAAACATAAAGAGAATCAATGAAATTTCAATGAATATATATATATCATATCTGAATTATATACATTAGTATAATATTATGGAAATTTATAAATAGAAATTCAAAGAGTTCTGTCAATCTTTCTTATTGCATTTAATATTGATTAATCTTAAAGGGATTCATGAGGAATTATTATTAATGCTTATCTAATAGATTATACTTTCTACTATAATGTAGTTGCTCGTATAAGAATAACTAAATAAAAAGTAATTAAAGCCCCAAAACCAAAAGAAGCGACATATGTAACAATCATTTGATAATCATCTTCTAAGATATCTAAAGAAGCTTAGATAATTGTATAATAGAATTCTAATAGAGCAAAACTAATATCAAATGTATAAGATAGAATGACTTATATAAATTCTGGGGATTGAAGGAATTAATTGACAAGAATTAAATTTGTATCTTTTATACCATTAAGTTCAAGAGAATAATGAGTAGTAAAAATTTATTATATACTAATCTTAATAATGATGATTATTACTTTTAAAAAATTCCATTAATTCCATATTTATAAAGCATACGATTATTGTCAATATCTTGAGCTGATGGATATGTAGGGAAATGTTTAAATTGACCATTCTCATATTCACAAAAAGGTAATTAAGATGGTATAATTAGACACAAATCTGTTTCATACATTTTTAAGAGTAAATCTTTATTTGCAGAACTTATTTTTTGGGAGGCTACTATATCATTATATATATGTTCGAAAACAGAAGTAGAGTCTTTTTGTAAAATAACAAATTAAGTTAGTAATTCAGCATATAATCTACTAAAATATTTATCTTTAGTGCTCAATTCTGGATTTAGATGAAATACTCCACTTGCCATGGTTTCATCAATTAGTATTTATTGATTTTTTAGTAATTAACTAATTATCATAACACCATCTAAATCTTATTTGAATCTAACATATTCCATAGCCAATCTTAATTCAGGTTGAGAATCCTCCATATTCTATTTCATAATTAAGAATGTTGATAGAATGTATCCAGACAATAAAACCCAAAGGAATAATAACATTAAGTATATATTAATGATTGAAAAGTTTGTTTCTTAAATCCTGGACACTGATTTGACTCTTGAAGTATTTGATTTTGATGTTTATTTTAATTAAGATACAGAACTTGAAGTATATTTAATTGAAGTATGAGTACTAGTTCTAGAGAACCAGAAATACTCTCTAAAATAATTAATATGTTTCCATAGTTATTAATCTTTGTCTAACATATTTGAAATAAATGATATTTTTTAACAAGAATATTCAATATCTTTCTCTGATATTCTACTTATGAGAAGTAAAACAGTTTACATATATATATATGGTTGATGCCATTGTCTAAATTGTAACATCAACATAAAGAATATAATCCATAATAACACTAATAGAAATATAAAATATTCTGTCTCAAAATAGTCAATTAAATTAAAAAATTCATTTTCAATTTCTTCTACTAATTTAATAGTGAGATTTAATTAATTTATTAAATTACCCTTCAAAAACTAAACCAAAACCTAAATCTTCTCTATATATCTAATTTCATCAGAACCTTATAAGTATTAATTGATTCTCTCTGTATATTCATTTACCATAGAATCAAACTAAATCATAGTTACATTTAATTCCTAATATGAATATTCATTAATTATTCTAACTGCTACAACAGGTAATCTATTTTCTTACTCTAATTTTGCAAATTCATTTTTGAGATCCAACATCATATTCAACATTTCTATTCTTCTAATAACACTTTCATTTTTAATACGATATTCATAAAAATCTCCATAAGATTGATTTAATAAATTTAATTATAAATCCAATTAACCTAATGTTACAAAAGTACAATAAAGTCTATTGAATCTCTAAGGTATTCTTACCAAAGGTATATCATATTTCAATTGATCTGTATTAGAACGTGCTATCTAAATTTCTGAAATTATTAGTATTATCATCATCAATGTCAAAACAATACTAATTATTATACTTTTGATAATTGAAGTTTAAAACTATTCAGAATAAGTTAGTTTTCTAATCAAATTATAAACAGAATTCTGTGTTTTATCAGAAGTAGCACTAGTAACAGATTTTTTATTTTATTTATGTAAATCATTTTACTCTAAATTTTATTCTCTCAATACAACTTATAAAATATCTGCCTATTAATTTTTCTAAGAACTACTTTTACCTACTTTTGAATTTTAATCTCTCCCATCCTCTTCTTCTTCATCATAATCATATTCTTTTTGAATTAAGATATCTCTGTTTCCTCTTGGAGAAACTAAATTGCTTTCTCTAGGGTCAATAGATTTTTATTAAGGTTAATTTTAATTCACTTAAGCTTCTTAATAAGTATCATCATCTTGATCATTTATTAATAACTTATTGACAACAGGTTAGTTGATAACAAAATTTAAAGGACCTTCATTATCATCTAATTGATATTCATCCTCTATTTAATCAGATGTTTTCAAATTTTTGGAATGATAAAATGAACTAACAGCACTATTAGAAAATTCAAGACCTTATTTTTTTACATCTTTATATCGATATTCAGTAATTTACATCAAAAAATATGGGTATTTATTTTTCATTACATTTAAAATTAGATTGTATACTATTTAATAATATGGATGTATAGAATTCTCTTTCAAAGAACAACTTGAAACAAATTCTTGGGTCTATTATACATAATTTTTCTTAAAGCATGTATATTTAGGTTATGATTAAATTTAATAATAAGTATTTTCTTATTATTCAGTTTTCAATGCACTTGTTTAAGTTATCAAATGTGATTTTTTATAGGTTTCATGTTCCCTAATTATAATATCAATATCTTAAATTGGAGTTACAAATGTTTTCTGGGAATTAATTTTAAATGTATTTATTTAATCATTTTACTATTCCTATTAAAATTATTAAACTTAATCAAATAAATTATGAAACCAAAAAAATATATAAGATTTTAAAATTTGATCATCAAATTCTTACCTATTATTTGATAATAAAATATTTTAAATTGATTTAGAAATCCCTAAAATCTTTCCTGTATCATCAAATATGATAAAATCAGTATTTTCATTTACTTGCTTTATTGCAGCAGTAACTATATAATCATCTAAATTATCATATGAATGTACTAATTAAAGAGTAGAATTGAAAGAAAAACCTGTTTAATATATAGGAAATACATCTCTACTTTAATCAAATAAATCAGATTCTCCAATTTTAAGAAAATTATTCATAAATTAATCATGTTTCTCTTGTAAATATTTTGGTAATAATTAATTTATATGCTAAATTTACATAAATGAATCTTCTGTAGGATACTAAAAGAACTTCTACATTTTTGTTCTATTGCTGACCATTATCTATCCTTAATTTTTTAACATACTCACAGATACTAAAATCATCTCATCATTTAATAGGTTAGTATTCAATATATTTCTACTTTGTAAATTTCTTTCAAAACTAAGAAGTTCTTCTATTCGTTATTCAATTTCTAATGTTATATGAAAATCATTCAAAACCCCTGAGAATATAAGAGACAATAATCTTAAATCTAAAATATTAAGTTTAAACAAATCTTTTTGGATTGAAAAAACATTAATTTAAAGTTCACAAAATACTAAATTCTTTAATTTAATTAGTAAATTACTTAAATTTTCTGATTATTTTGCTAATTCTTCAATTTTTTAATATCCTTATTGTAATCTTTCCCAATATTTCAGTTTCATCTATAATATTTAAGCAATAAAACTCATGCTTTTTTCATGTAATAATTAACTTGCTCTTATTTCAGATAAACTTAAAGAATTTTAAGAATCCTCATTTAATTGATTTATTTTTCTTCTTTTTCTATTCTTTACAACTGAATTATAAATGTTATCTGCTAAAATCTAAAAGTATAATGATTAAGAACTAGTAGATGACTAAAACTTTTTCATTTTTATATATCCCAAATTCTGTTTTTCACATGTTTACAAAAAAAATAGGATCTTATAAATATAAAAATCCTCATCCTAATATCTCTCTGTCATATTTAATTACTCTATTATTTTAGTGAATAATTGCATTATACATTATTATAATTATAAGTCAATATCAAATTTCTCTTTTATTATTATTTTATATTTGGTACGTATTATATATAGTATTTTATTCTTTATAATTTCATTACCGGAATAATACATATCTACAATTTGCAATAATAATTCCTTTTAGAGACAATTCTAAATTAAATTATCATCTTGTTGTAATTAAAAATATTCTTATACTACAAAACTCAACAAAGGTATAAGATAAATTCCTAAATAAAAAAATTAATAAGCATTCCAAAAAAAGACTATCATTTTAAACAGAGATGCAAAAAATAAAAGACTGCTCCAAAAGCAATATTATAGATTTACATAATATTGATAAGGATTTACAAATAAAGCATCTAAAAGCTGCACAAAAAATATTAAAATCAATATGACACATTAATATTATTCTTATAAGTACACTATTGAAACCAATCCAATCATTTCAATCAACGAGATCAGATAATTTGAATTTCGATGTCTTTTCACAAAAGGGTTTCTCGTAGGCAAGGAATAATTGCGTTGAATGTAATTTTATATAGTTGAGTTGAAAATTACAGGAATTATTGAAACAATAACAATTTCATCAAAATCTCCAATATATTTCAAATTTTGAATGTGAATAAATGTAGGATATAATAAAAGAGAGTTTAAATAAGTGAAGTACTTCTGGCTATAATGATGTAAAATTTTAGATTCAAAATTTCCAAAAATAATAATTAATGTTGAGATCCAATGAAATATGCTTATTAATATTACAGAGATTATTATAATGTTATGGTTATTCATAGAATTTATAGGGCTAAGCAACGTAAACCAATTTATTAATGTTTTTATTAAGATAAATTTTTCATCCTTGTAAATAATCAAAACAAAATGCATACTTTGTAATTTTCATTAGCAAATTAAGAAGTGGGTAATAAAATACTCAATCTGATTCCTACATAAAATAATGATAAAATCTTTAAATTTATCTAAGTTGATGCTTTTGATTCTTTGAGCAATTATTGCATTTCTCTAAGTTAAGTTTTAATGATTTTCCCTATAATTTACATAAATTAAATATTTTTATTATTATCAAAATCAAATTCTAAAAATAGTTTCGTTATATTTCTGTATTTAATATAATTTTCAAACTAAAACTCTAGGAATGAGTAACTATTGAAGTAATCACTATAAGAAGGAGAAAACTGTCTTTTAAATCATAAATTTCAAATGAATTATTGTATGAAATTACATAAAGAATTTAATTAAAAGAAAGTTATGGATTATATTTTTGAATACAATAAAATTATGGTAATATAGTTTTATTGAATAAATATTGAAAAGAGAGTATATTATACTTTATAATTTTATTATATGTATCTAAATTTTAACAGTGATTAATTTAAATTAATTAGAAAATTGATATGATAATGATTTCAAATTATATAGTTGTTAAAATATATAATTATCTGTCTAATCTTGAATTTAATTCTGAATTTGTATAGATATTTAAAATTATTTATAAAACTTTTGATGAAGCAGAGGTGAAAATTGTAAAAATTAAATTGTTATTTTAGTTTAGTAGATTTTGTGATATTGTTGAGAATTAATGATTATCTTTAGTATGATATTAAAGTAAAACTCATACGTAAAGATTTGATTATATAGCAATTATGTATATAAAATTTAATAATGAAAAAAAAGGAGAGTCCGTTCCTTGGCATAGATAATCCTGCCTATAGTTAGAATATATCATCTCCTAGATTTGAGGAATTATTGTCAATTTACTCTAAGGATAATGAAATAGAACAACCGATAGAGGAAGCATTAAAAGATAAAAGAAAAATTTTTGTGAGAAATAATTTTGGAGCATTGAATGATGGTCATAAAGAAGAAAGTTTTGAGGATGATTATTATTTGAGTAGTGTTAGGTAATTTATTTATTGGATCATATAAGTGATAACAGATTTGATCAAGAATCTGCAAGATCAAGAACAAATTCTTTGATAAGAGAATAAAGAAGTCTTAGTATTTCGAAAAATTTATAGATAAATTAGAGTTCTAATAAAAAAGTAAATACAGGATTAATAATTGATTAGACATTCAATTTATAAGTATAGGGAGTAAAGTCGAGCTCAAATATTGATAAATACTAAAGCTTTGTACAATAATTTGAATTGGATGAAAATAAAATAAGAAAGAATAAAGAACTATTATAGTAAAAAAGTAATCAAACTAATGAGCTTTCATCTAAAAGGAACAGTGGAATAAAAGAAGACAAAATTGGGTAAAAATTTAATATAATTTATATATTAGATTAAATAAGATATGGGCAGTGAAGGGATTTATAATAATAAGATTAGTATCTAGATTTATTCAATAACTAAAGACAAAAACTGAAACCATAAAATTTAGACTATTAACAAAAAAAATATTTTCTGTAATTGGAGATTTGTCTAGTAATTTTGAATATATTTTAATATCTCGATAAATTAAGTAGAAACCCAGTATATTCTTAATTTTGAAATATAATTTTTAGAAAAGAGCAACAAAGCTTCTACATTACTTAGAAAATTGTTAAGATTTCTTAAGCAGAAATATAATAGTAATTAGACCTGATAGTAAATTTAAAATTATTTGGGATATCTTGTTATTACTCTTTATTGTAATGAATATATTTTACATACCTATAAATATCAGTTTCAATATTTCAACTTAAGGAGTATTTGAATACTTATTTGATTTGTTACCATCATGGATTTTTATAGCTGAGATAATTATTAATTTTAATACTGCCTATTATGATAAGGGTTTGATGCATGAAGATCGAAAATCAATAGTGAAACATTATTTAAAAGACAATTTCTTTTGGGATTTAGTTGTTGTAATACCATTTCTAATGTCAAATATGAACATACCATTTGTTAGATATGCTTTATTACTTCGATTGACTAGACTAGCTCCTTTAATGGAGAGCATTGAAGAAATTCTAAATTTGAAGGTATGAAAAAACTAATATGTTTAGGAGAGTATCCAAATTATTGTTGATCTTTTAAAACTCATCTTTTTTCTTGTTTTAACAGGTCATTTCTGTGGATGTGCATGGCATTTTGTTGCATTAACAGAATATGAATCTTTTGGTATAACAGATAATTGGTTAACTCATTATGACAGATAGGCTTTTGAATATCATTGGTTCGATAGATATATAATATCTCTTTATTGGAGTGTAATCACAACAGTTACTGTTGGATATGGGGATATTGTACCTGTGACAACTTTTGAAAGGATTTTTGTAATTATTGTAACATTACTGCTTTGTGGAGTATTTGGATATTGTATTTCAAATATAGGAAATATATTTAAATAGATGTCTGATAAGAAGACTACTTATAAATTTAAACTACGTCAAATACATTAACATATTAGAAAAAGAGGTCTTAATTTAAATTTGTCATTAAAAGTAATGATTTAAATTTATACTCTAGGTCAAAAAGTATTTTGAATACTTTTTCTAACTTGAACAAGAAGAAGATAGTCATACAGAGATATTTATTACTCAATTAACTAAACATTTAAGAGAAGAGGTTTTAACAGATTTATATTGCAATACTCTTAAAAAATCAAGATTTCTTAGAGACAATTTTAAAGAATTAACAATCAATAATCTATGTTAATTCGTTAAAGAGAAGAAAGTATTACCAGAAGAAGTTTTGTATTCTAGATTCGATTAACCAACAAAAATTTGGTTTGTACTTACAGGAGCTTTAGAATTTGTAGCAGATCATAAAAGTAAATTAATTATATGAATAATAATAGATGAAAATGATTATTATGAAGCCACTGAAACTTTTCTCAAAAAAGTAAATTCTGGGTAATATATTTGATCTAATTTTAGAGCAGTATTAGGAGAGAGAGAATTCATAATACAGTAACCATATGAATACAAAGTAAGAGCATTAAAATTTACTTAAATGGCTTATATTGAGTAATTAATTTATTGATAGTTTCAATAGTTATGAGGATTTTATTAATGTTATTAGTGAAAATGATTCAGAATATGAAATATTTTGTATGAAGAGAGATAGATTATTATTTGAACCTTAATTTAAAGGTTCTGGAAATGTGTGTGAAATTTGTGAATGGACTCACAATTTTATATAGTAATAATATATATTAATATTATAAGATGTCCATTTGTATTCTTGTAACCAAATATAAATAAAATATCCAGTAGTTTCACAACAGTTAGGTTAAATAATAGGATTAAATTTCCATATCGACATACAATGAAATCAAGAACAAGAGAAACTCTAAATGGTGTATAAGAAGGAGCACTAAAAATATTAGTTGGAAATTTAACTGAATAGTAAATCAATAATTTTATTATAGAGAATATACTGATGAATATTTAGTATCTTTAGGATTTTAATTGACATAAAAAATAGAATTAGATTAATAAATTCCAGATGAAACATCTAAAACTCTAAAAGATTCATAATCTCCAACAACCAGCGAAATGTAAAAGACATTTTAAAAGAAAAGTACAAAAACATTAGCAGCAGGAGGTATGACAACAGATTTGAAAGATGTAAAAGATAATTAAGAATTGAAAAAAAGCATTATTAATTTCTAAAAAAATTAATTTGGAAGAGAAAAATCAAAAGCATTATAAGTATTTAAAAAGGATATTTAAGAAAAAGAACTTGAAGTATTAGAATAATAATAATAATTTGCTATTCCCAATAGTTAAATTCCAAATTCATCAAATAATAAATTATATCAAAAGTAAATCTAAAATATACCACGAAGATCATCTAATGTTGATGAATTCAGTAATCTATTATTATCATAAAAATTTGGAAATCTAACTCATTAATTAGATTAAGAATAAAATAAATGTTTTATAAAATAATTAAGTAAAAATAGTGAGAATAGTGAAATGTAAGAATCATTAATAAGAAAATAAATTGAGAATAAAGAAAGAAAAATATAGATTGGAGGGGAAAAAAGAAGAAAGAAAAGAAAAACAACTATATAACTTGGATAATAATCTTAACGTAAATGTTATTAAAATTAATAACCAAATTTAAGTCCAAGTCTATAATAAAAATAATAATTAATGATAGTATTAGATTAGAAATTAAAAAGATTAAGTATTGGAGATTCTAAAAAATAAGTTTAAGCAAATCATATGACAAGTGTTGCCTAGATTGAAATTTTAGGTGAATCTTCTGAAAATACATAAGATGATTCATTATAACAAAAGATATTAGATATTGTTCATACAAATGAAAATCTTCAGATTGATTGCTGTAAATCTGCTCTGATGTATTTTCCTGAATTTAATATAGATGAAATTCTTAAGAAAATTGATAATTATTATTCTTTTGTAAAAGGAGTAGAAAAAAGAATGTTTAAAAGAAGTAAGTCTAATCGTAATTTATTTGAAAGAATAAAACCATCAAAAAATGGAAATATAAAAAGTTTTCAAATAATAACTAAATCTTAATAAGATGTATTAAAACTTGATAAAAAATACTGAATCTTGATTAAATTTTAAAATTTTTTCAAGATTTTAATTAATAATAATAATAATAATAATATCAATTCATTCTATATAACTTTTATATCTTTTATATTTTACGGGAATGATAAATTGTTTAAACATTACCTTCTTCAATTCCTAAACTACTCTTTCTTTTTAATACAGGTTTAGGCTAAAAAAAAAATAGTATAAAATTAAATACATTTATACAATCTCCTGGTAAATAATCATTAATTTAACCTTATAATGATACTCTTTTCATTCTTCCCATCCTTCTTTTTTGATAAACAGGATTATCATTTAACTTTATTCTAGATTCTTAACTCTCAATACTTTTTAATGTAATAGAATGTTTAATTGGTTCAGTATCCCTTACAGTTCTTTCCGAGAAATATTACTAATCAGTAATAATGTTAGCAATTATCTGATGAGTATAAGTTTTCCATACTTTGAATGCTATTAATGACATTAATAGAATATGTAATATATTTCCATTACCATCCAATTTAAGTTGAGGTCCTATATTTGTTCTTCTCTATTGTAATCCTTTTCTTCTATAATATGCTAATCTAAAAATCATTGTTTTATGAAATTAAGACATTTTTTATGCTGCCATTTCTGAACATTATTCAAAGATTTATTTTTAATATCTATGATAGAAAATCTCATATAATAATTAATTATAAGAAATGTTATCTCCAATATCACAAAATAGATTAAATTGTAAACTCAGTTTGGCAGCATCCCATAAATTATCATAAGGTTTACATCCTAAAGGTTCTTTGATTTCAATTAATAAATGAGGCAAGCATCTAATATTCAATACCTACCCATTTTAAGTTGAGAATTTGAACCATGTCTTTCTAAATGAGTCAATATTTTCAACATATGTTTAAAGAATGGAATCTTAATTATTAAAGAAAAATTCAAATTATTCAATCATAGCTAAAACAAATAAATTCAATAAGACATAATTAGATATAAGCATAAAAGAGATAAAATAAATTTAAGCATAAGGTGAACCACAATATTTAGGATCTTCTGAACAATAAGGATTATGATGCATACAATCATTCATAATAGAACGAAAATCATCACCACTTACACATTTAAAAAGTGTCAACATAGCCAACCAAAAATTTGAAAAGTTTATTAAATCATTAATGACTTCACCTTTATCTATAGTTCCATATAGCATAACTCCATAAAATGCAAACACAACCATTATAATTAGAAGTATAAAAAGAATCTTAAGTAAAAATGGAAATGCAAATGACATAACTCTTACTAATCTTTAAAGATTTTACAAACCTTAAAAGATAATTATTATTCTTAAATTTCTTAGTGTATATAATATTCTTAATAATTAATAGTGTTAAGTTAATTAAGTTGAATTACAATATAATTTAAACCAATTGAATTTGAAATCAAGAATCAAATCAACAACTCCTAATATAATAACTAAAGATGTATAGAGTCTCCAGAAATTATCTTTAAATCTATTGATTCCTAATATTATAAATTGAAGCATTAACCAAGTAGCAAATATTAAAGTACATATATGATGAATTTAATTGATTCTTCCATTATAATGATCATCAGCTGAATGATGTATCATCATTATTACAATACAATTTACTAGTAAAATAGAAAATATGCATAAATCCATATATTTATTCATTATTAAAATATTTAAGATCCTTCTAAATTAAGACTTAGGTAATGAAGCTCTTATAGGATGATCATGTAGAATAATTTCTGAAATCTTTATATATTCTAATTATGCTTATGTAAATTATTGATTTTCAATTAATTTTGAATTGGCTTTTAAATTTATGAATAAAACACCTGTGAATAACTATAGGAAAAACATTGATCCAACAGTACAAAAAGCAACATAAAATAAATATGTTGGGATTTAACTAAAATAAGGATGTGGGCCATTAAAAGCTTCTCTACTATTTTATGATACCCATAAGATTGAACCCCATCCATCAAATGTAGAAATAATGAATAATACTGGCATTGCAGTAGTAATATTATCAAAATTATGTTTATAAACTTTCCATTCTTTACCTTATTTGATACATTCCTCTTATCCTACATCATAATTTATATATTCTTCACAAAACCCCATTTTACCTGCATATAACATCATTGAAAATACAGCAAACATAAGCCATACTAAAAGCAATACAACAAAAACATTGATTATATCAAATAATGATTATGTTAATGCTGCTCTTACTCTAACAACCCATTTTATTCTATAAAGTAATTTTAAAGGTCTAAAATATATAAATGTCTTGATCACAATAAAAATTGGTAAATCAACAATTTCAAAGAATTCCATATAATAAACTATTATATATACTAAATCAACAATCTTCCATGTATACTATGAATTATATATAAAAATACATTTAAATATGATCCCTTATCTAGAAATGCCCCTTAAGCAATAGATTTAATTATGAATTCAATAAAAATAGTTGAATTCAATATAAATAATATAGTAACTAATAAAGGTGTTTGTTAAATATTCTTTGGTAGAGCTAAATAAATAATGGATAGAAGTAATATTAAATCAATAAAGTATTTAATAAAATTACTAGAACTAATTCTAAAGAAGAATTTTCTTAAAGAATTTGATTTACTAAAACAATAATAGGATTACATGCAATCAATTCCAGCATATAATTTAGTATTCTATTTAAACATTTTTCTGTATATCTATTCTAGATTTTCTTATAAGTATTTTATTGTTTTTGGTTCCGAACTCTTCATTTTTAGCATATTGGTTTTGCTTTTTAATCTTCTAAAATCATCTTTGATTTTCTTTTTCTCCTCTTCTTATTAGTCTATTTTTCTAGTTCTAGCTACAGGGAATTGTAGAGAATGAAATATTTTCTCTGTGAAATTGCTATCCCTCTTTAATTACTCTCTTAAATTATTAGAAGATGATTAAATATTATCAGGTGATATACTTTCCTTACGATTATGAAATCTATTAGTATAACCTTAAAAATTGTTAACTTAATCTTAATATTATTGAATAGAGGATGAACTAGAATTAGATTCAGATTCAGAATCAGAATCATTTTCAGAAGGTTAAGAATCTAATTATTTATTAAGTTTATTTATTTATTTAATCTTGTCTTTCAAGAATTCATTATGTTCATTTGTAGATTCTCTTTCTAAATATTAACTAAATCCATCTAATAATATTGCCATCATGATTCCATAAATAAAATAATTAAGTGTAAACACTAAACCAATAGAATAAGTTATTGATAGTTCTGTTTACACTTCTGTTCCAATTCTATAAACTCCAAACCAATCATCATTAGTCATTATATTAAATACTGTCATAAATGCTTATCCTGGATCATCAAATGAATGCATATATCCATTCTTATGATATTCATCGAATTTATGAGCATACAACTCCATTCCTATCAATCCAAAAGTTAAGATCATAAAAAACATAAGAAAGGCCAAATATACATAAGATTTGTATGTAATTTATGCAATTGCTCCAATTATTCTAGCCATATAAATATAAGATATGCATCTATAGAATAGAAGACATTTTGTAGATCTCATTAATCTTAAATATTGTTCACTTACATTTAAGTAATCACTAAATCCAAATTCAATTAAACTTAAAATTACAATAAGTAATTCTATAACAAGATGTTTATTCTTTGCTATTCTTCCTAATATCTTTATAATAAATTACTTGGTTTATAGACAATTAATTAAAGAATAATTTCTGTTGATAATAATATTGTAGCAATATCTTCTACTTAATCAATTATACTTCTTTATATTATACCTTATAAAGCTAAAAATAATGTATTAATAAGTATTGTTAAATCAAAAATTAATTTTGTTAATTTAAAATGTATTATCCTAAATGCATATTTTCTTAAAGTTATCAAAATACCACTTAATGATGTTTACCAAATTTCAATATCCCTTATATTAAGTTATCTAAAAATATCATTAAATTTTTTTATTAATGACCAATTATTAATTAATATATTGTTTCCTGACCAATTTCTTGATTTAATGAATCTTTTTTAAAATTCTTTTCTTTTTATTTTAATATATTCCTCTTCTTAATATTTTAGTTCATCCTCTTGTTTAAACTTAATTTTTGCATTGATTCTTTTTGAAATATCTTCATAATCTAAATAAACTCCATTTAAAAGCAATTTTAATTCACCACAATGATAAATTGTAAAAGGTTTATATATAGTTTATTTTGGAATAAATTATTCTCCATTCATAAAATAGGGGTATTTTCTTCTCTACTTTTCAATTTCTTTATTATAAATTAATCCTGCATTTGGAGAATATGACATTGAACTAGATTTTGCTCCATGTATTTCAGAAGGATTTTAACTATTTTTTTTTATTCTTTTTGATATTTTTATTGGTAATAAAACAAAAGATCTCTAATTATTTGTTAATAAGGCTCCCATTGATTCAGATTTACCTGACTTTATATTTTCTCTTTATATTATTGATTTCTTTTTTTAAATTGGTTAATAGTAAAATACTTTCTTTTTATAAGTTTAAGAATTTTTATTATCTGTGGTTTTTAGAACCTAAAAAAGTGAATTTCTTAAAATATCTAATTGACTTGTTTATATATATTGATATTTATAATCTACATATTTCTCTAGTAAAAATGATGATCTACTAAATTATTTTATTATATCTTAAATTTTTGGATCTTAAGTAAATTTCTTAATATCTAAATTAATGTAATATTTTTATAGAATTGATAATTTTGGAAGAAGTAAGAATTTTAATGAAAAATTCTTTATTTAATTTTTAAGTTATGTAAAATTGCTTACATTAACTCTATTTTCATTTATCATACTTCCTAATAATAATCTTGGTTCAATATCCATAGATTATTGTACTCTATTTGTCCTAGGTTCAATTATTAAGATATCTTAAGAATTTGAAAACAAAAATTAATT